CAAATATAACATTTTTCAAAATTAACGTCATTTTGCGGAAATTGTTTTTTCTGGGTAGTGTCCCCCCTTAAAGGGGCACTGACACCCCAAAGGTCGTATTCTTTTTTATTGTCTAGAACGATGCAAGTTGTAGTCATAGACACGCCGAAAAAACTGCATCGCAAAAAAAAATTTCCCCGCGCGCGCGCCTTTTTATTTTTCGCGTTTATATTTTCCGTGCTGACCTCCTTGCTTCTTTTGATCGGTGACGTCAAAAATCAGGAAATTTAGAAGCTTTGTAGGTGACATTTCTATAACATTTAATAACGGCAATCGTAAAACATGTTTTTTAACGCAATGACGAACGCACTACGGCATTTCTTTTTGAAATACCAAAAATCAGATTTCGGTGTGATGTCGCTTCCTGGATTTGTGTTCTCCTTCGGAAAACTTGGCGGCGCTCGAGCAGAGGCTTATCGCCGAGTCAGGAAAGAAACCGGTTTTTCCCCGCGTCGGCTCCCTTCTATCCCGCCTGCTCACCTCCTCCTCTCTTCGGGTCGCGGTAGCAACGGCGCTTTGCTTCACAGCATGGTGCGGAGGTCCGAAAGAAAGTCGAGTCGCAGGAGACCGCAAAATTTGACTCACTGCACTGGCGCGCATCGCGCGGGAACTTCAAATTCGGCATTTGGAAATTGTTTTTTTAATTCACAAATACTGAATTCCCAAGTTTCAAATTTTGAGGGTAATGTCCCGGCATCATTTTCAATCGTCTCGGATAATAAAATAAATTACGATTTTGATGTGTCAGTGCCCCTTTAAGTACTGTTAAAGTTAAATAAGCGTTTAGCACAGTGCTGGTGCAAATTCCTTACATTTTGGTAAAACATAGTTGGAGCTAGCAGAGTAAGCAATTTGACATAAATGGCACAGCAACCACATTACAACAGATCCAAATGAAACAACCCCAATATTCTCAATATAGAAAAAATAAAAATGGTTTGAAGGGCGATATATTTTAATTTGGGATTACGACTGTTTTCAGCTAAAACAGCATCCCTGAATTACCGTGTTTGCACAATTCTAATGTGCCCCAATTCTAATGTGCAGGCAGATTTAGCTTCCGGATATTCAAGAAGTAAACTGCTGTCGATTCTACCATGCAGGTATGACTGCTAACCTTGGTTTGCTCATCTACAGTGCTCATCTAAGGTGTAAACCAGTGTCGCCCCTACTGGCAGACCGACCTTACGCTGTATAAATCACTAAAAACGTCCTATTTGATATTGGCTGAAGCTGAGCATGTTGGTTCATTGCTTGTGAATGGGGCCAGCTGAACATGGAAAACACACAGAGAAAAAAAAGCGGTGCGAATGTTATATTTTTTCTCTGTGTGTTTTCCATGTTCAGCTGGCCCCATTCAAGTCCAATTTGACTTTTTTATTTTTTCTAACGTGCAGGTAAAATGAAGGTTGAACACATACCTCATAGAACAGATGTTATGAAACGCATGCCAACACAAAAATAAATACCGTGCACTAGTTGCCGTCATCAGAGTTCCATGATGGTCCTTTGCTGTCTACAGAGGTATTTTGCCTAAAGCGTTGTAAGTCCCGCTTGCGCATGTGCGAATGTGCAACCGTCACCCCTGGAAGGGTCGTCGTCTAAACAACACTTGGGGTGCTCGTTTCGTCGCTAGGATTGCAAGGATATGCAATGCTGCTGCGTTGTTATCTTTTCCCGCCAGCGTAATGGACTTTCATTTAAATAAATTCTTCTGGTGGAATTACTTTTGTTTTTCCATCTTAAAACGGCAGACACGAGTCCGTAGCCACGATAACGCGCGTCATACGGGTACCAAAATGGCGAATGTAAACAAATGGCCATGATGGCAATGGGGCTAGCCACCTTATACCGAGTATTGCATTTTTTTTTTTTAGTTTCGGTTTTTGGTTTCAATTGTAAAGCACAAGTGTTCTGGGCACTGATTTTGGTGAAACAAAATGTGCGTCAGAATCGTGCAAAACACAATACAAGTTCCCCCCATATTGTGTGTAGATTTATAAACATCACGGCTCAAAGCTTGGTTTCGGGAGTCTACGGCAAAACCGAACCTATCTGCTGGAGGGATGGAAACACTAATCATCAGCCATATGTCCGCAACGTGACGTCACGAGGGTGCTACGGTACAACCAATGAACCGTAGTTCCACCACGACGCAATGTCACAAGGGTGCTGCGCCAGTGTTCCTTGACTAAAAAGCTAACCCCCACCCGCTAAAGAGCAGCTGGTCGCATCTTTGAAATCGGTTTCAGTGGAGTATGCGGCATCACTTTGACGTAATATTTAAGCTGTGATCATGTTTTGTGCTACTAAAGCGATACCATTCATTGATTTTGGTTTAGAATGGACTTGGCCTTTAAAACGTAAAAGATAACCAATAAGCCTGTTACAAAGCATGTTTACACCCACAAAGACATTAACGTCCTCTGCAACCAGAATGCATGCCAGGGCTCTCATTTCTTGTGCTAGGAGCTTTCTAAGTCTTAGGTTTAATGTAAAGGAGTGCAAATATCTCAAACCTGAAATAATTTTCAGACAGCACTTGCTCTTCCATTCGATTTGCAGCACACTTTCACTCACCAATATGAGCTTTTAGAACATTAGAAAATTGCAAACAATGTCTTGAGAATTTTCAGGTTTCTTGCAGAACACATCGTACCGGCGCATGCGTGTCAAGCTTCAGTGTTTTTGCACTGGTGCGTGCGTGTGAAGCTTCACTGCTTTGCATCCATGTGATCGAAGAAACGGCCAACATGGCGAAGCATCTTAATTAGTTCGATCGACTTGAAAATTTTTTCCACCCACACTCAAAAAAAAAGTCAACCTCTTGCTTGCCTTGTTACACTATGTTTCACCCACCTCATTTTAATGAGGACTTTTTAATGAATGAAAGTATGCGAAATGTCCCTCGTGCAATAAAACGTTTTTATTATTTTTTGTTTGCTATGAAAGATTTTTAGCTCCGATTTATTGAAGTATCCATGCTCAAATCACATTAAAGGTAAGATATTCATATTTGAAAATATTTTATTCAACCTGAAGTCCACTTTTAATATTTATATATCATTTGTGGTAAAACTAATACTATGTTCGTACACCTCTAGCTTATAATGGCTTGGTTGTCATAGAAAGCTCAAAGAGACATTGTGAATTATCCAACTTCTTTGTACCTACTTACGACACTGATCATTGGTGATAGCTTTCACATGCAACTCACTATCAAAAAGGAGAAAATAGAAGCCAACAAAGTCAACGAATACATGAATATAAATTAAGTTTGCCGAGAATCGGCCCCAATTTTAATTGTATATTTCAGAACATTGCTTCTAACTTCAGAATCAGAGAAGCAAGTTCTGAAACTGACTTCTAGTTGCATCCACTGGAGCTACACTTGGGGGAAGAGTGAGCGCTCGGCAATGCACAGTTTAGTCTTGCAGAGAGAAAAACACCGTTCTCTTTTTTCCCAAGCACCCAGTACTTAATAAAAAAATACCCCCCCCCCCCCCTCTCCCACCTTTTGCTACATTTGACCATATTCTACATGAATTCCCTCACTTTTCAATCACCTCGATCCCTTCACAATTCCAGGTTGCTCTAGATGGCAGATGACCTAAACTATGCCCCTTTCTCCAGCCACAGATGAAAGGATTCGAGATTGCAGATGGCTTAACTCCTTTCAAACCACAGAAAACAAAAATAATTTCTAAAAAATGGAAAAACAATTTTTTTTTTTTAAAGTCATTCAGTTTATGGCTAATTATGATACATCAAAATATAGTCAAAAACCTGCTCATGAGAAGAAAAACAAAAATGTTTAGACTAATGTTAAGAAAAAGGTAGCTAAATTTAAACTCTGAGCTTTGAATTTGTGCAAAAATGAGAACGAAAATTCCAGAAAGAGGTCATTAGGTGACCGATTTATGAGAGTCTAAAAGTCCAATCAATGCATTGCGAACAAAGTGTATGTCCAGGAGAGGAGGAGTTGGTGTCTCTCGGGGGTATACAAGGAGTGAGAGAAAATAAACAATCTAGCTGCGTTTGAGACGTCTTCTCCTCTGCCTTTTTCTTCGACTTTAAGGTTTCCTTATTTTTTCCCTCACCACGCTCTCGGGTTGTAAACATCATGATGAACAGTTGCAGCTATATAAAATCATACCATGATTTCTAAAAATCCTAAATATACGAAGTGTGCCCCCATATACACACTATCACTTCTGTAAGTTAGAGAACACTTGCCAAGTCATTTTTTGGTCTGTCGGCAAGTGTGTTTTCGTGGCGTCATGTCATTCAGAGATGCTGCTGTATGCAGAGGGCCATGTCCGCCAGAACACTTGTTTTTTTCACAAAACCTTGGCTCGTCGTAGTACCCCTCTCACTTCTTCTCAGCCAATGTTTTTATGGCTTGCGACACACATGAAACATGTGTCCCAGCTCGGAGCAACCTGGAAAGCTTGAACGACGCTTTCCAATGAGCACACGTCGATATTATGCGCCTCGAAGATTAAATGTCGCTGTAGGAGCTCAAATCAAATGATCCAACTTTATCTGCAGCCCTCACTACTGCTGTTGTCCAAAAAAACAAGCGGCAAAAGCAGTTAAATTGTGCAATTTGGCGCAGGAATTTATTGCCAATAAATCACCAGCTTGGGAGAAAGCTCACAACAGACTCAAAGCCAGAGCTGTAGTTCATCTGCTAGCCAAATTCTAATCCTGGGACATGTTCTAGCAGGACATGTTCCTGCTAGCCAAATTCTAATTCTGGTGGCACGTGGAAATCATAGATCACGGGTGATCGATGGCCTATGGGTGTGGTATGGAAAGAGTTAACAGTCGCTGCAGGCAGCTTTAAGCTGGCAACCCCGATAGAAATGTGGCAAAAATGTAAACGAAGAGACCGTCGGCAACGCTGCCGTCTTCCCTTTCCCCCAAGAACCTGCACGACAAGAAAGAGGGGCACTGACCTGTACGCAGGCTTGCTGCCGCTCCCGTTGCTCCTTGGCCCTGCGCAGCTGCTCCTTTTTGGACCACAGCTTCTGGATCTCATTCTCCTCCTCTCCGGACTTGAGCGAGACTTCTTGGTCGTCCAGGGAGTCTCCCAGCTCCTCCTCCGACTGAGCACAAAGGGCAGAGACACGGGCTCATAACTACCGCTACTCTTTTAACATCCAAGTAACAATAAAGTCAAAATAGAGAGGATGCATGCTGCATCTTGAGCTGCACTGGATGTTTATTTAAGAGTAACACGACTTTTGATTGGGCTAGTTGGTTCATACTGGAGCTTAATAAATAGCGTAAACTGAACAAACAAGAAAATTATACATTAAATACTTATCTACCACGCACCAATCGAATTGGATAAAACCATCAAGAAAATGTACTTTGACAATGAGACACACCGAAGGCATGCTGATGCACAATCTTAAAAAGATAGCTGGTAGGTATGGCGTTAATCTTCTTTTTTCTGTTCCTTGCAAGCTTGGCAATATATGTCCGATGCTTACTGGCAATAAACATGTTCAATATGCCAAAAAGACATGCCGTCATGTATACTGACTGCACAACTGCAGTTGTCTTAGAAACAGGTTGGTGTTTCATGACAGAGCTCGCGAACATAGTCTATCGGTACGAAGCAATTTAGGTGGTTATCTTGAGCAGTGTAAGTGTTGTGGGTGTGAACCACTTTTGAAAATGACAAAGTTCTTGAAGAGAGCAAAGGACAAGACAGAGAAAAAAATTATAAAGGTGTTATTTATCAGGAAGGTTGGAGATAAGTGCATCAGCATGCCTTCGCCAAGTCTCACTGACAAAAAAGTATCCCTTCTTGATGGGTCTATCTTATTCAATTGGCATGTGGTAGATGAGTATTCTAATGTATGATTTTTGTATTTCTTTTATTTATGTGTGGTTTGTCTGTGCAGGAGATGGTATATATTGCTTGGTTTGAAGTTGCAATAAACTTAGTTGGAAGTCAGCACCTGTCCTGTCGTGTGTGTGCCTTTTTGCCCTTGTTCAGTTGGCGCTATTTTATTAATGTAGAATTATTTAAGAGGTTTCTCGAGAGACAAGCTACACAAAACGTGTCTCCCGAATTCATCCAAAGTATTAAGATAACTATAAATTTAATCTGGCTAAATATCAAGGCCCACTCAAATATTTGTGACTGACCCACGACAAGCTGCCCCCCCTGTGGCGGGTCACGATTCCCTCCGTCATCGGCAACTATGTGTCAAATGACACATAGTTGGTCTCACTACGAGTCACGTGGCTTTTACAACTACGGGTCGTGTGGCCAAGTATAATTGTGTCAGATGACCACATGAAGTGATGTCCCGTTGCACCACCTGATTGCAATGCTTATGTGATCATGTAACATGTAGCGATAACACAATCATGGAACCGATGGTAGTTACATGATTGCATAACCTGTACTTTATTTGTGAACATACGGCTCTCCCTCCGACATAAAGGCAACGAAGTGTTTGTGGCAACACAAATACCGTGTTATCACGCTTCCGTACCAACACTTTGTAACACTCCAAGTTTAGAAACCGGCCCTGAACACATCCTGCCTAAACAGGCGGCCCTACACATGCCGTTCTTCCTTGCTCCGCAGTCAATGTGGAGCACTCACCGAGTCGTAGGTGATCTCCCGCTCCGAGTCGGACTCAGAGTCGCAGGTGGCGATGAGGGAGACGAAGCGCTTGCGCTCCACATTGAACTCGAGGTAGGGCGTTGCAATGCCACACAGGTAGTCCCCGAAGAACTGGACGCGGCTCATGCGCAGCTGGTTGCGCGCACGCTCCCGGTCGCACGGCAACTGCACGTAGAAGGTCTCCTGGGGCGCGCCCAGCAGTGGCACAAAGCCCGCCAGCGTGGCGTCCTCCGGAAGCGTCACCAGCTCCCGGTCCTCTGCGGGGTCCTTGAAGAAGCGCACGTCGGCCATGTTCAGCCTGCGCAGCACCGTGAGGAAGTCGGCCAGCGTGGTCCAGACGTTGCCCTTCACGCCAGTGTCGTAGTCGCACGGCGACGGGGGTGGCGACCACAGCCGCTTCTGGCAGGACATCCAGTCCGTCCACACCTTGAGGCAGGGCAGCAGCTCCGCCAGGTCATCCGAGAGCTGGGAGGGGACCCCGCCGCAGCCCGGGGAGGAAGACGGAGAGCAGGAGGAGGAGGAAGAGGACGGGGAGGAGCCCGTTTGGAGCCCTTGGAGCACCAGGCCCGTGGCCCGCTCCAGGAGGATGGCTACGTGGGCGAGCGCAACCTGCAGGCTTTGCTCTTGGAGCAGGGAGCGGCACTGGGGGTCCAGCGTGCGGTCCTTGAGGGAAGTGTTGGCCACCGTGAACATGTTGATGGAGAGTAGCTGCAGGTGGCGCACCGAGCCCACAGCGGCCGGCGTCCGCTGCAGCAGGCAGCGCAGCTCCAGGAGCATGCGCCGCGCTGTCTCCGGGAAGGTCTCCATGCCGACCCTGGTGAACAGCTTGCCGTGGACGTGCAGGAAGCTGAGCACGAAGCGCTTGTTCAGCTCAACGGTGCTCAGCCGGGCCAGCTGGTCCAACTCCCGGGAGGCTAGGTCACTGGAGCGGCTGCTCCGGTGGGAGGTGCTCCCATCCGGTCGGATCCACACCTCCAGCCGCTCCTGGTCCATCTCAGACAGCCGCCGCAGGAGGCTCTGCTCCCCCTCCATCAGGAGGCCTTCCTCCTCGCCACGCTTCTTCTCCAGGTGCTCGTACTGCGCAAGGAACCAACAGCCTTGTGAGAATCTTACCTCCGGGCTTTTGGCCCACTGTGACGCATTTGCTCGACAGCTTTGACCACCTTAACAACGAAATATCGTAGAAATTCGCCTAAGGTATGTCGCCACCTTTTAAAAAATTCTTTTAGATTTTGATCTCAAGATTATTACTTCGCATCTGCCTTATGAAGGACAGTTTCATAGGCCCTTTGAGTGTGCTAAACAATTAAAAATAAAAATAATTTATTTTTTAATAAAAAGGTTCCAAATACGCGTGTTACGCACGCAATCATAAGTCTCGATTTGAATACCCAAATGGAAGATGGCTTGGTAGTAATGTAGCTGTATGACCTGCCTGTGCAATGAACCAGGATCTTTGTTTTGCAATAAGTGTGAATCGTGTTATAAACAAAAAGAAACAAAAACTGCTGTCATTTTGGGTGGTCATGTTTCAATCGAAGCATCATAACATTAAAACTTATTAATTGTTTTCAATTATCCTGGTTCATTGCACAGCATAATGTGTGAGAAATACCGTATTTTCCCGATTTACGCACCCCCCACCTCATTTTCACAAGAAATACAAACAAAAAAATTTCACTTGCGAATGTAAGCACTGTTGTGTTTCATTTACTGTTGTATTTCATTAAATAAAGTGTAATTTCTTACAAAAAGCTGTACGATTTTAGTGTTCTTCGAATCTCAAGCATGCCCCGCCCCCCCTTTTTGGACATTGCAGGTGTGACAAAAGAGGAGTGCTTAGAATCGAGTAAATGTGGAAAGCATATGAAATTTAACTAAAAAAACTTTCAGCCTTTCCACTCTGGTGAACAAGGAAGACCAGCGAAGCTGTACTACGATGGGACAACATCAATACAACTTCTTGGACGACCTCAAGGACGACGCCTTGAGGACAACGTCTAGGACGACCTCAAGGGCGACGTCTAGGAAGACCTCAAGGATGACTTCTAGGACGACCTCGAGGACGACCTGAGGGATGACGTCTAGGACGACCTCAGGACGACTTCTAGGACGACCTCGAGGACGACCTCAGGGACAACGTCTAGGACGACCTCGAGGACAACCTCAGGGACGACTTTTAGGACGACCTCTCGGACAGCCTCAAGGACAACATCTAGGACGACTTCTAGGACGACCTCGAGGACGACATCTAGGACGACACCTAGAGAAATTCAGCCTTTCCACTCTGGTGAAAACCAGAGTGGAAAGGCTAGAAATGTTGCCGCCATCTATGAGCAAGGCCGGCAAGCCAGTTGCCTGGTTGCCGCCGTCGCTCGTAGATGGCAGTAGCTGTCCAGAGTATTGTGTCGACACATGTTTGGTACTGGACACGATCGTCGGGAACCTAGCACTCAAAGGGACACCGACACCCAGAAAATATTTTTTGCCTTTTTCGTCAGGCGATTTAATATGGTGTCGGAATACCACTCAACTAATATTTTGCTACAGAGTCGGGTATTTTTTTAATAAAGCCAAAAAACGCAAATGCTAGAAACCGAAACTGAAACTCCCGTACCGCACGGAGAAGTGGAGAGGAGAGAGTGAGTGGCGGAAGTCACGTGGCTACACCCAACCGTGCGGGTTTTTCTTTTTTTCTCCGCTGGTAGCAGATGAAATGCGTCGCGGGATTCGTTCGCCGTGCGATTCCTTTGCAGTTAAGTTTGTTCCGCAAGCTGTTCTGTACTTCAAGGTGAGTTGTTTTGTACATTTAAGTGTTGGCAATTAGTAGTGAGCGCCCGTGGTGAATTCCCGTGAGCGGCTCCGAAAAGAATACTCCCAGGATGTTGCGTGAAGAGCTGCCTCACATGTCCTGCATCTGAAAGTATCAGTGTGCGGCAGAGTGCACACGTTTCCAAAAGATCAATGAGTCGAGATCAATGGCTGGCTGCAATTCCTGTAGAACAGTTACGCGAAGCTCAGAAAGCGGACGCTACCCGATTCATGTACTTCTTGCATTTTGTGGAAAGTGACTACATTGAGTTTGCAGGTGTCAAAAATAGAATCCCATACCATTTAGTTCCGCGATGTATCGTCCACAACAATTGTTGTTTTTTTTTCAGATAGATGATAACCCTTACGCTCCGCGTAAGGGTTCTCACCTATCTGTCCAGCCCCAGACACCACCACCTGCGCCCTTGGAAGTGCAAATAAAATTCTTCTTCTTGTTATTATTATTAAATGTAAACATCGCAAAATGCTCGACAAAAGAAAATGGAACCCGCGGCCGCTGCTTGTGAAGCGGACGTCTTTCCACTGAGCTACTGAAGGAACTCTTACATGCATGTAATGCAGCTGGTCAACTGTATATCGGAAGTTTGCTGCCGATTTCCCTTCAGTACAGGCACACCTCGTGAAGAAACCGTACGCGTGCGTATTCAACTCGAAGTATGCACTTCGTGCTTGACGCTTGACCGAGCGATGTCTTCAGACACGAGAAAAGACGACGGCTCGGCGACGTTTTCGTACAATCGGCTTGCTGGTCGGGCGTGTCGTACGGGATGAATATCAGTTCTTTTGATCGGTCCAAAATTTCTCTTTCGAAGGAAGACAGAATTCGCAGGTACCGTGAACAACAGTTCTGAAGTAAGGGTCCAACGCCCGTCGTCCGCTGCCATCCGCTAGTCCCACGATACGCGAAACGATGCCATGTTGAAAATTATACAGTGAACGCGCAGAATGCTTCCGGTTGTTTGTGCTACCTTCTTTTTCAGTCAACGCATTTGCAGCTTTTTGGAAGCCACAAAAAATCGGTTTCATACTTTTTTTTTTCTATTTTTAATATTGACTGTGTGCCTTCAATGACCCACGACTTTGATTAAATTTGGTGGTTGCGTCAAAACCGTAGAAAACGGCCCGTGACCACAAAAAAGAGAGTGAGCACGACTCAAACCGGCCAGTTCTCGATCGCCGATTTTCGGGCGGAAAGAAACACCGAATTCGAGCCGAAAATTCTCTTCTGAATAGTTGGGCTCTCCTATGTCACGTACAACTAAAAATATCGGCGAGCATAAACACCCTGTCAGTGTCCCTTTAACAGCTCCACTGTAAAAATGTTTATTTATAATAAAGTTACTAGTGTTCCTGTAATGGGGAACACCTGAAAAACAGGTTTTGAGATTAAAGACTAAAACAGCTCAAGGACACGGACAAGAACAAGAAGGTAGACAACAAGGGGCTGCAGCGCCTTGTTTGTCTACCTTCTTGTTCTTGTCCGTGTCCTTGCGCTGTTTTAATCTTTAATCATGAAATACCAACTAGCCCAAACTTCTACTTTAAGGTTTTGAGAAAAACAAAAGTAAAAATGTTCAGTCAGCCTACAGGTGTTTGTTTCAAAAAGCTATAACTTTTAAACAGAACAAGGTAGAGACGTAACTTCTTCTACAACACAATGGACTTCTTCCAAAACCGACGCGCCCCATCGCGGCAAAATACCACACAGTGCACTCTGGGAACTAGTTGGCCACTCAGTTTCGGTTTCGACTGAGCAGCTTCATCTCATGCTATCACGCCGCGACCGATTGCGCTGCTTGCGTTTTCGGTTATCTGACTTTTCACGAATGTGCAATACACTCATTCTCGAGCGACAGAAAACGAAGACCGGGGCACTTTCCTTGGTTCCCAAAACACCGGATATTGTGCGTGTGTATGCAAACGTAGTGAGATGTGGCTTAATCACTTCACCACACGGGTGCATCTTTGAGCTCAATTTCAATACTCCCGTCTAGTACCAGCGTACTAGAACTGAAATTTGGTCACCTTGAGCCTTACACGTATTTTGTGTGCCAAACGTCTGCTCCTTGTTACTTCATTGGGCGAAAAGCAAGCCGCATCCTCAGAGGAGTATCAAAGTTGAGCCCAGCGTTGACGCGTGAACGCAATAAATCCGACCTCACTACTGCACTAAAGTTACTACGATGTCTTCCTTGTGTCATCATATATCTCCCACTCAAATTTGATGCTGATGGAAGATTAAGTTTTCGCAAACTCTGAGTCGGCTAGCTACGACGGAGGCCATAACAAGCGTCCCCGACTCCTCTGTAAGCCTTTTTGGACGAGCTTTATTGACGCCCAAGATCTGTGCCTGAACGGTGTGTGAACGGTATTCAGTCAGGAAGAAAGCAAACACATAACAAATATTGTGGCCGTTAGCAACCGTCCAATGCGCTTTGAATAATTTCGTTCGTTTGGCTCACCGCATAGGGGTTCATGCCCGTCCGGCGCACTTCCGGCAAACGATGCAGCATTCTTCAAACAAGTGCTCAACTTTTGCTTTGTTAAAACGGTTTGTATGTGCGAATGTGCCCATACGATTGCAGGATAACTTTATGCGCATACGCGATGTTGAATATCAGTGGAATGCAAGCGGGTGGGAAGTTCACTTCTTGTAGTGCTGCGGGTCAGTACAGGTAAGAGATAAGTGTGTTAAAATCGCCTCCGAGTTTTACTTCGCGTATTCAGGCGTACTAAGAAAGACAGTAATTGCAAAAAGTTACATTTCGTGTATGGGCACGAAACAAACTAACTTCCTGATCAACATCACTAACGTAAACGATGTATGCATACCTATTGGTTGCTATACGGCTTGTTGATTCGTACACATGCAAGATCCCCGAGCTTCGCAGCGTCGAGATTCCCAGCACCGGCTCGTCCACATACCTCGAAACGCCAACAGAAAGGTTTAAATACAAAGATAAAACAAGCATGTGTTAAGATAAGCTATACGTCTCAGGCTTGTGCTAAAGCTTCGAGGTCTGGCCATTTACGTTAGTTTAGAGACCACAAATGACGCTATCGGGACCAGAAAACATGTGTATAGCTCTTGTCGACGTGTCGATCGAAACCGAAACCATGCCACTCTCCTCCCTGGCCAACTAGTTCCCAGAGTGCAACGCGCGCCGTGCTGCATGCAGGGCTTTATGGAAATAGTCTATTCTGAATGCCTGAAGATGTTTAAAACATAAAAATAATTTTGACTTCAATTAAGTGTTGAAAAAAACCGAAATAAAATTTTTCAACCACCCTACAGGCATTCGCTTCAAAAAACTAACTTTTGAACAAAACAGGTTAGAGAAGTATTTTTTCCACAACACAATGTTGAAAGTCTGATGACACTTAAAATGTCCTTTAAAAACATCAAAAATAAAAATTCTATGTTTTTGCGAAAAACACTGTTTTCAAAGGTGGCAACATATCTTAAATGGAAACCTCCCCTACATTATGAAAGATACAACCTAGTTAAAACCACCTCTCTTACCACGTTGATAGCTTCTTTGACATTCGAACTGCCTAAGGGTCATTATATCCAATACCAAGAATACAATGGTTCTAGTCAGGGTTCTCCCCAGGAATTTCTGAGGGGAGGACATTACCTGGGGTGAAGGGGGGGGGGGGGGGGGGGGGGGGGAGGGGGGGGGGGGGGGGGAAGAGAAAAGATGTGCGTTCGTTTGTTTTTTTTTTTGGTTTGTTGCATATGTTTGTTAAAGCACTGCCGGAAGCGCTAGCAGCGCGCCGCTGAGATAGAGAAAGAAAAGAAAAAAAAGAAACACACCGAGCGCTTGCGCACTTTGTTTGAAACAGTCTAGCAGTGGCGGCAGTTAGCGATGCGATAGCGAACGATAACGTGGCGGTGCGCGGACCTGCTGAGTACGACAGCGACGGCAACGATGCGATTTTGCACAGGCAAAATCGCATCGTCCTCCCGCGACATAAAAAAAAAACGAGCGGTGGGCGTTCAGTTGAAGCGGTTAGTTGAAGCCACTGCCGCCCACTGTGGGCAGAACCCTGGTTCTAGTAAAACCTTCCATATGGCAATTTTACAAAAAAATAAGTTGGCTTTCTGCTTCTACTTAGTAGTATGATCCATGATCAAACTGTAGTAGTACAAATTTTAAGGCAGAAATGTGCTCAGTGGAAAGTATAATTCCATTAAAAAGAAAACAAATTATGGTAATCAGTAGGGGTGTGCGAATACCAAATAGTAGTTATCGAATCGAATACCGAATCGAATTGAGAAAAAAAAGACGAATATCGAATCGAATAGTGATTTTATTTGTAGTAATTTTTCGAAGTATGCTGTGAATGAGATTACTATATGTGCAGAGTATGTGCTTGGTGCAGAATATGCATTGCGTAAGAACAAAAACACAAATGTAAAAAAGTTCTGGTGAAAAAAAAAAAAAAACAGGTGGTGATGGACGTTGGGCACTAACAATCCAATTTTATGGTGCAAGCATAATCTATCTAGCCTAATCATCACAAATAACCTAAAGTTGCAGCCAAGCATGCCTTTTTTTTTCTAGTTAAAAGCACGACCTAACACCGCGACATGTTCTTTTTTTAATGCTTGTATATCTCAGAAAAGGGACATTTTGCAATATTTTGTCTCAATTTTGAGGAAGAAAAAGGGCCCGCGGGTTTTATTTTATATAAATAAACCGGTAGCTGTTAAATCTGAGTAAACAGGCTTCAACAATATAATCTTAAGTAAAAAAAGAAAAAAAAAAAGTGGTTAGGTTGCGCAAGTCACCGTCCAACTGCCGCTATGCGTCCATTCCTCGGTCCATCTATCCTGTTCTAGAGAGCCTAGATTTAAAAGAGGGAGCAAGCGAAACTGAAGCCACAGAGACAGCTCTTGCGCAGATTGGTTCTTAGGTGCGCTTGTGTTGTGTTGTCGCGTGGAAAGGCGAGCAAACGGAAGACTGACGACGCCTGCCCAATCGACGTTTTCGTCTTTTCGTCACCTTCTCACAGCTCGTAATTCAAACGCGGCTATCGGACTTTTGGAAACCCTCTCAAATCTAGGCACACTAGTGTTCCGTTTCGTTTCGAATCAGAATTTGCGGCTTGCAGTTCCAAAACAACGACGACAACTCGATTGGTTTCATCGGCGTGGTTAACGTGGTTTTCTTTTTGTGATCTTGCAGTCGCCGATTTCTGTGAGTGTTGCAAGTGTGTTCTACATCGGCGCTTCAATTTGAAACGAGGAATTTACTCGTGGCGTCCCAACAATTCCTCTCTGGAAGCGCCGCAAACGGGATGTTTCGGTTGTGATCCAAGTGTAGATTGTGTCACGATCATGAGTATCTCCGTGCTATAAAGTTGGTGGAGATCGTTACTTTTCTTTTTTCTAACCTGTGCGTTAGATTTTTGTGGAATGGTAGGACCAAGAGGTGTTTCTTGCATGGCCTGTCTAACATCACGGCGCTAACATCGAGAGTAAAAACGGCTCTTTTGTCAGCTCCGCGCCGACCCTGCGTCTTTGGCCGAACACGCTGAATATTCGAGTAACCGAATACTAGGAATTCGATTCGCGAATCGAATTATTCGGGAACTTGCTATTCGATTTGAATTTGTATATTCGAGTATTCGCACACCTCTAGTAATCTGAAGGTTTCTCAGGTCACTTTAGTGACACTTGACGGTAACCTATATCTCTATTTTAAATAGAGCGTGCGCAGAGACAGAGGAAGAGATGCACCATACCTTCTTCCGTGCATCATCAAACAGTGCCAACAGGCTTTCTCTGGCAGTCAGGAAAGGGTTGCTTGCTGCCAAGCTCCGCATGTAGTAGTACACGGCATCCAGCTTTCTCCTCTGTCCAGAAAGACACAGCAGCAGAATGCATAATATTAACACGTGAAACAAATGTATCTTCCTGTCAGGTTACATAAAAGCCACGAACACGCAAGCTAGCACGCACCCGCTAGACCTCGAAAGATTCCGAGATACCAGGGCCGTACCCAGAAAAAAAATTTCGGGGAGGGGGGGGGGGGGTTTCGGGGACAACGGCGGCCATTTTGAAAATGTCTATTGTCTTATTTTTGCCTATGAATCATGTGCATCGGTGGCATATAATGGAGAGTTATAGCAAACCGGAGAACCGGTCCCGGTTTGATACCCGGTAGCCTACCGGCGCCACTGCGCGTGCGCAGAGGTGGAGATTAAAATCGGCTGGCTGCAAGTGCACCGACCAGGGCTGTACGCGGAAAAAAAATTCGGGGGGGGGTCAGAACCCCTAACCCCCCCCCCCCCCCTGGTTACGGCCCTGCGAGATACTGCAACACAGCTACCCCTACATCAAAACAATCCGGCTTTTTATCCGAGCACTAATAGACACCCAAACAGCCAATGTGCTTTCGGTGTGATTGGCTCGCATGAGGTTTAGCCAGACATACGCAACACTCAAGCTGCACATTTTTCAAAACAGTGCTTCTCATTTGTGCGGTGCTCAGAGATCCCATAATATTTGTGTTGAGCACTTTAATACCGTGTTTGCACGATTCTAAAGTGTACTTTCTTTCGCCAAAATCGGTGCCCAAAAATACATGCGCGTCACAATCAAAACTAAATACTACCGAAACTCAGAAAGGGAAAGGCAATACTCGGCACAAGGTGGCTAGCCCCATCGCCATCGTGACCGTTTGTTTACGTTTGCCATTTTAGTATCTGTATTATGTGCTTCTTTCATGTCTACGGACTCATGTCTGCTGTTAATATTGAAAAACAAAAGAAATTCTACTAGGAGGCATTATTTAAGCGAAAGGCCATCACGCTGGTGGGAAAAGATAACGGAGCAGCACTGCATGGCCTCTCGCTCCCCCGACGAGCGCGGAAGGTTGTTCGGAAAACGACCTTCCCAGAGGCGACAGTCGCATACTCGTACAGGCACAAGAAGCACGAAAACCCTTTAGACAAAAGCAAGGATCGCCTCTGTGGACAGCGAAGAACCATCGTCGGACGGCGACTAGTGCACAATATTTATCTTTGTATTGGCGCGCGTTTCATAAAATTTGTCCGATGAGGTATGTGTTGAACCTTCATTGTTTTACCTGTGCGGCAGAATCGGCAGCAATTTACTTTTTTAATACCTGGAAGCTAAATCTGCCTGCGCATTAGAATCGGAAGCACAATAGAATTGCACAAAAACGGTACATATGATACTTATGTCACAGGTGCATGTGCTGCCACAGCTACAGTTAACCATGCCAAAATCAGAAGGACCTCCTTTTTGGGATCTTCCATACGTGTTTGCACTAACATAGTCACATCAGCTGTCATTGCAGTGGCCTTGCTGCAGAGCACATACTACCTTTGGCACAACCAAAGTTGTAATTCAGTGCCTTTTATCTGTCTATTTCACATGTTTCCCAGCCATGTCCCCACCTTTTTGCGCTGCTGCTTTGTACTACCTATGGCAGCATGCATTACACACCACAAGATTTATTTTTCCCACCAAGAACAAGCAGGAAGGACCACGTCGCAATGTCGTCACATGCAAGCTGTGCATAAACAGGTCATTACGCCATGGGGCTGGAACCTTTTTGTACTGGGGGAATGTTAGCATGGCACGGGATAGACATAGTTCCCACAGTCTTTCCTGCAGCATAGCTGAGACAAAGCATTCTCCAACATGGCCGAGACATTTAATTAAACTATCCGTAAGCGACCTCCAACACATTTTCAGTCCGTCATGCCGACAGAAAAAATGAGTGACTCACGGCATAGAGGGCGAGAATAGCTAGTTGATTGTACGGGCGGCCATTCTTGGGGGCAATCTGCTGGGCCTTGAGGTACCAGCTGCAAGCAAAGATTTCATCTGAACGTCAAACTTGCCACTAAACACAGGCCTCTGATGTCAGACCCGAGGTACAAATCATTAGTTGAAGCAACAACCTCTGCAACTGCAAAGTTGTCAACATTTCATGATCCAAAACTCCTACCAAATTAGGAATAAAATATTTCCTAAATGCTGAAGAGGTATGTGTGATTACCAAGAGTCCCCGAGTTTCAAGACAAACTTTAAACCAAGCCTAGCCAAACGCTCGGTTGTCTCGTGACTTAAGCTGCTTTTGCCCAAATGACTGGTTCTCCGCTTTACAGGGTAGCCGCACAAGAGCAAGAGCAACGAAGTTTTGAATGAAACCAACATTCTTTTCTGCTCTGGAAGAAGGGGTGCTAAGGAAAACTTATACGAGCCTGATCATGCTGATAAAGACAAGTAAGCACCGAATATGTGCCAGGCCCTTCGAGGAAGAAGAGAAAGGCATAGCGCACGACCACTCCCTCGTGCGCTGCGCCAAAGACTTTCCTCTTGAGTGGTCTGCAACAACAAGCCTAGGTAACTCATCAATAAAAAAAATTAAATTAAAAAAATATCCTGGATAGCTTAGTTGGTCTAGCACTTGGTTCATAATCTCGAGGTGCTGAGTTCAAATTCCGCCATAGGACTGAAGTCTCTTTATAGGTTCCCTATGGTCGTAATGCTTTTCGAAGTCGTTACAGCCGGCCGTTAGTCAGTATTTACGTCCAGCCGTAACAGCCTGCCATTACAGCCAGCTGCTACAGCCTGCCGTTACAGTCCGCCATTACAGTTGACCATTACAGCTGGCCATTACAGCCAAACGTTACAAAACTCCTTGGAAATCGGCAAATGAAACACATTCTGTGTTAATATGGGAGAGAAGAAGTTGGGCCAAAAATAAGGCAAGCACATCTTTGTTCTGTTATTTACGGTATGTGAACATTTCCTTTAAAGTTTTTGGGAAGCCCCGTTAGACAGTACACCTCTACCAATGTCGCAAAAGACTAACTTAGCGGCTTTGTCCACTGCCTGCTACACAACAACATATTCAATGGGAATGGGAAAATAAGTGGCCTATTTCCTCACTCTATTAAACTCTGTCAGTGAACTACTGACAATAGAGGCTTCCTTGGCGAAGTCAAATCTGTGAATTCTGTGCGATATCAGACAAGAAAAGAACCACGGGAAGCATATGTTGCACAGCAGCAAGATTGCACATAAGTGACTCTGGTTTGGATATAATGATGCCTGCACACCATAGCAGCAATCATAGCAGCTGACAGCAGGCAATGAGCTCTCATGTACACTGTGCAGCACCGCTAGTACAAACATGACATCGGCACTTTTTTCCGTGTTACTTTGAAAGTGCATTTCAAGGAGTCAGATTTATATTGGTGCCTCAAAAGGGCCTCCTTCACTACACTGTGGGTCTGATGACAATATTTTGATTATATGAAACAGTGAAAAAAAAATTGAGAAGTCCTGCATTAATTTACAGTACAGTCACGGCGAAGCCATTGGGCATTGGCGCCATGTTCACGCACAGTGGGGTGCGTGAACAAAAGCACTCGAAACAAAATTGACTTCTGACCATTTTGTTCCGAACGCTGCCGTTTATTCTTTTTATTTCGAAGCGCGTGAAAGTGCATCTCCTGGCATGAGCTCTTGGTATTAACAGTGCTATGAAGGCATTTTGTTATCGGCTATTTCTTTGTATTTCTCCAGAGAGCGCGTGCGGTGGGCATCGGGTACCACAAGAACCCTTAGTATAAAGTGGGTTGTTAACGCTGTGGCGTATACTTGCGGTAACGCCTCTGCTTCGCACGCAGCAGACCCAGGCTCAATTCCCAAAGGCGGCGGGTGATCTCTTTGAAGGATTTGGCAACATTGACGACAGACGCACTACTACGCCAACTACAACAACGACAACAACTGCAACATCAACGATGACAACCAAAACATCCAACAATAGATTTCCAGGGGTGGAAAGAGCCCATAACAACTACTATAACGAGACTAGCTGTTATCACATGTCTGTGCTAGCAGTGGCAAGCTCTGTACCATGCATGTTCTGAACTAGACTTAACTATCAGTAGAATGGCATCAAAATCGCCCACTTCAACCTTGCGATGACAGATCCTGTGCACAGAAACACTCGGTAGCTTTTTCCAGGAGCGAAAGGCAGCATTTGCCTGCTTTCCTTCTGCATAAAAGACAGCCATAACACTAAAAATAAAAAAAAACATGAGCTTCTACAGTGCAGCTGTAGACGACGATCCTCCCCTGAACTGTAGGAGGCCGTGACCGCAGGGCCTCACCTCCTGGCGCGCCCATAGTTGGTGGTGCCCATGGCCTGCTCCCGGTAGCGTGCCAGGTCCCCGAGGCAAATGTAGATCTTTTGGGCCGAGATGAGCACCAGCCGCAGCGAGTCCGGCAGGCCCGCCGTGCCCCCCACCCCAGGCACGGACCCCATGCCACCCACGGACGCGGATTCCGGCTCCAAAAACTGACTCAGGCTGAAGCCGTAGGTCTCCTGGAACTTGTCCAAAAGGTTCTCGTAGAAGATGGTCCCCTGCAAGCAGGGTGAACACGCAAGATCACTTCGGAGGCCAATGACTCAAACTGAGACTCTCCGCGTCCCCCCACCATATCCGCATCTGCAGGTTTCATGATCTCATGCTCAAACATTTGGGGACCAGCCCTGAAACAAATTTACCGGGGTGTGTCACGGAGAGTGGGTCAACAAACTCCATGGATTCACCGTGGCAATGCCTTTGTTTTAAGGATGCTCTTTCGATAAAAAGGACCTGCATTATAGTTACGGTGGTTGGATGTTTATGTTCCAGCTAACCATTCTAACCACGCAGATATCATGTGCAGCCAATGAAGCAAACGAGGCCATGTGGCTCGGCCAGCACAGATAGGTTCACTTTTCGCTGTGCTCTATGGGACGAAAGACAGTGACGTGAACTCTTCGACAAAAATATATTGTAATGCATATTCACGATCAATGCTTTGGAAGACCGAAAGTTTGATTTTTCAAGTGAAATCGTCGAGAGCGATCAGCGGGAAACACCACTGAGAAGCTGCCATTTTAGGTTTTATGTTGGCTGCACATAGATTGGCTTGATTTGGAAGCGCCACCTGAGTACTGCTAAGTCCTACTGCTAGGTACGCTATGCTACGTTTTTTTTTTCTCTAGTTGCGCGTCATTATCGTCATCATTGTTACCATGTTGCTTTATTCGTTCGCCATTCTGCAGTCGTGAATTGCACCTCTCATATCGTCTCGGTGAATCGTGTCTGCGGACTACGCTGGTTTGGACGTCACGGCCCCATCTGTTCTTCCGCCACCCCAAAGTGTCAATAAGAAAAAACACAGCCAAAAAAATCGACTTTTTTTAAAGTTGATTTTGAAAAATGATGTCACCAAGCTCAATAACTTCCGAAGCATACTTTTATGAAGTTTTATTTATGTCCGCTGCATAGTCATCTCATTATCAATTCTTTTCGGCGCGCCGGTTACGCAAGACGGCACAAAATAACATCACGGGCAGAGTCGGGCAATGTTTACACATTTTACTTCGGAAGTACTCCACGTACGCTAGGCCTAGCAAGCAGATCGTACTCTCGTTTGAATGCTTATCTCTCCTATTTTCGCCGCTGACACTCGTCGTCGTTCAAGGATAAGCGAGCGTGCTGCAAAAGGACTGGGAACCCCGTCAAAATCCGAGTGTTTCTGCGAAAGAAAACAGTACACGGGCCTCTATTGGTTGCAATGTTGAAACCTCAGCTCCCATTGGTTCCTGCACTCTGTGTGTCTGCCGCCTCGCCGTTCGCAAGTTAATTCTTGTTTGAAGCCTGTGTCGTGACATTGGTATGTCTCAGTTTCGACTGCGAACTTTACGGTGACCATTCTGTTAAACTTTGTTACCTCTTGACGCTATGCCTGCGGTAAAGTCGGGAAAGCGGAAACAATATGGCTGCCACTCACGATTTACAAAAGCACGAGGACGGAACGATCCAAAGAAAGCAGCCGCCGCCGTGGGCCGCCACCGCCGCCAATGACAACATGCTTGTCTGACCAAGCATCCGAAAGTGCACCGTTTTTCAACGCGGACACGCTCACTGCACTTGAGCAAACAGTTAGCTTTTTTGAGGCAGGTGAAAGCGGCGGGAGCGATAAAAATGACAAAGATTCCAGGAAGCCTTTCGGACTGGCTACCGTTTGTTGGACGTGTCCTGCTTGCGAAGCCTGGTTGAAGTGCTTCTCTATCCAACTTGACGTGCTGGTGGTCTTCAACTTTGAAAAATTAGTGCAGGAGTTTGTCTTACACTTACTGTCGAGTGTTCTACGTGTGGAGTCGTCGTCTCGGCGCCGCTCTCGTCGACCGTTGATGGCACGCAACAAACTGAACCCACAGCGCGCCTTGGAATTGTTTTTCGAAACTGTGGCATTGGTTTCACGAAACTAACAAACCTTTTACCAGAGTGAATGCCCCGCCACCGATGATGATCTCGCATGAAAGTCCAGGCGGTTTGTGCTTGTTATTGATGGATTTGGTGGTTAGATTAAACACTCTAGTTTGCTTCTGCATAGTTCTTTTTGTTTTCCCACGAGATGCTGATTTATTATAATCAAATGCAGGGTGCCTACATGTACGTCTGTCTCAGAGTGAAGACATCCATTGTTGCACTGAGCTGGCCAGCACGTGGCACGCTGGTGCACTCAGTGCATGACTTATGTGGTAAAATAAAGTCTAAGTATTAGTCAAGGCTATGCACTCGAGCTGAGTTACACCGGTTTGCACACACTTTAAAAGACAGAAAAACAAAGAACGATGGGGCAAAAAAACGGCCGAGACGTCACCACTCAAGCGAAAGCGTGGGTTTGTATGAAGGCGTTCTAACCAAATGCGCAGCCAAAGAAGAGCAGTCCTCGCATGCCGCACCTCCTTGGAAACCTTTGAAGTCTCGTGATTCGAGCACGTCTGCGGTCGATTTTGTTGATGACACTACCACGAGTGAGCGGGATGATGATGTCGGATCATTGTATTTTAGTTCTGACAGCAATGATTCATCAAATCAGACCGGAACATCGACGACTGCGCATCAGTAAGACTAGTTTTGGTTTTCGTCTTTACGTTCCTTGCTGGTCTCGCATGCAAGTCAGGGTGATTTGTGCTTGTTGGCGATGCATCTGGTGGTTAGATTAGACACTCCAGTTTGAGTTTCTGCAGATATCATTTTTTTCCCCCACTTGATGGTGATTTTTTATGAACAAAGGCAGAGCCGTATATTGGGAGTTTGGCCAGTTTATGATCTCACCGCCGTAACGCCCCCTCCCGAGTGAGCCAATGAGCCCGCAGCACAGAGTGACAAGCGTGACCGCATGCGTGTGGACTCCCGGCTGCTTCCAGCTGAGGGGGGAGGGCCGCCATTTTCATTCATTTGCCCAGTGGAATGCATGTGATCGGCATCTAAATTTCGGTTATTTCCTTTTATATCGCTAGCTCTGGCAAGATAATTATATACTGTTATCCCTCGGTGGGTTAAAAAGCTAACAAATAAAGTTTCCTCGACATCTGACCGCAAACTTTTATTCAGGAGGGAAACAAGTCGGCCCGTAGCAGACAACACGTAGCTTCAACAGTGCTCTGTACGGAAAGCGTGTTGCGTCAAAATGACGCTAGTCTCCCTTTTGCTCCCTCCTTCCTCTCTCGCTTCTTCAGCCCTCTTCTCCACTTTTCTCATTTCCAGCGCCTTCGTCGCCACATCCACAGGCTGACTCTCCCAATATAAGGCTATGAACAAAGGTACAGCCACGAACATAACGCTGTAGGAAATAGTGCTCCCCGTTGTGAATGTGGCGTCTGCACAAGAAGATAGAGGATTCCCACCCAAGTTGAAAGATTTCAGATGGAAGAAGGCAAAAAGAGGCCGCATCTCCACGTGGTGAATGATGTTGATTGGGGCAAAGCTCTGGTGGTGCTGATGATACTGATTTCATTGTTCATAGGTAGTGCTGATGGTGCTGATTTTTTGTTTATTGCTCATAGATAGTGCTGAGTTCCGGTGGCTATGGGATCAAAATGTATTAGTACATCTTCGATAGAAAGCATGCCGTACACATGATGAGCACTGTAGATACTGCCAACAAGCACGTGCTTGCAAAATGGAGAGAAAAAAAAGACATATGCAGTGGCGTATCTAAGCCATCCGTCTTTCGTAAGGACCTGTAGCCTCGATACCACGTCCTACGCGATGAACAAGCTGGGTTGAGGCTATAGTCAGGTTTTCCAGTTTTTCTACGGTCAACATGGATGCAGTCTGCCCATTTTATGGTTCTTCCAGTTCTTCTCGTGGTTCGTGTTTTTCGAGTGCGAACGCGAGAAGAGCAGCCGTCTGCCGTTCTTGTGGTCTTTGAGCGCAAAGGTTTTCTGCTCATAGGCTTAATATTGAAGCGAGCTTGGTGGACTAAACGTTGTCTACAAATAGTGCCGAATGGTGCCAACTTCGCTGTTTGTGCCAACGAAGGCGCCGACAAAGTGCAGCACCGCGATCAGACAAATCAACAAACAAGTGAAAAGGGAACAATATAAAGTGTACATTGCACGAGTACGTAAAATTGACATCAAGCAAGTGGAAAGTGGCCAATACACAGCGGAATATGCACGCAAATTTGATATTTTGGCTGAAATCAAATTTTCGGAAAGCTTGATTATTCGGACAATTTCAGGGTTTCCTCCAAGTCCAAAAAAGGTCAACAACTGTAGCGATTTTTTATCAAGCTGTACTGATGATCATCATCACTGCGTGTTTTGGGTCGTACGAGACTTGCAAGGAGCAGAGTGCAATGACAGCACTTCGCAAACTGGATGTCATCGCCACCGAACCAAAGCAGCGTAATGTTAGAAATAATGACTGTTGTCGAAGAGTCTAATGTAATGGAATGGTAAACTACTTACAAACTCTCTAATAGTATAGACCATTACATCCAAATGTACCGTAGAATACCGCGCATCCGCCCATTCCACACTAAGCACCCATTCCCAAATTTGTAAGATCTGAGAAAATATGCACAGTACATTTATATGTAAAACTGATGACCGGACAAGTGCTTATCCCCCATTTTTTCGTGATTATCTTCAAATCTTGAGTGGGAAGTTGCCCGGTATTTTACAGTTATGTTATAACAAAATCTTTAATAAGCAAAGTTGGCTCAATGGCCATAGATAGAAAGCAGAACCAAACCTCACAAATGGGTATGTTATAACCAAATGTCTGCTGCAACAAGATTTATTCTAATGAAGTTTTGCTGTATATTTTTAAGCAACAGTTCTACCTTATAATCCTAAATATAGCCTTGATATAATACATTTCTAAAAAACTAGCAAATGAAGTAACAGTCATCTTGGCGCACATGCATCCCAGCAGTAAGTTAGAGCAGATTCAGCGCTGTATTGAGTGGGAGTGTACAAAAAAAGGTCGGGTCTCATGCAGTGGTCTGCCAATACAGCAGAGAGAGAGAGAGAGAGAGAAGTGTTGAAGAGAACTGATGTAATACAAAGTCAGCACTATGTCTAGAGCGCTGAGCATGCCGCGTGTCTCAACAGGCTTTAAGAGTGACAACTCTTGCAACGGCCATGGACAATCTGGGGTACCTCGTCGACCAGGCTGAGCAGGTGCATCTTGGCTTCCTCCTGGAGGTCTGGGCACTCCTCCATGACTCTGCGAAAGGTCTCGATGCCCTGGTAGAAGGCAGACTTCCAGAGGGCGTGCTCCACATTCTTCTCAGCACAATAGCGGGGGTCAGCCAGGATCACATTCTCGTAGCGCAGCTGCAGCTTCCACCTGCGGGGCACGGGCAGGGTGCTTTCTAACTTGTCAGTCGTTGCGGCTCCTTAACGAGACTAAAACAGTCCTTTCACATGGGAAAAAATATTTTTTGACTATATTCAGCTTCTTGGGACACGAATATCAAAATTAGTGTTCTATGATTCGATGTATGAAGTAGCCATAAAGTGCTAAAGCCCCTCCCTCCCGACCAGCGCAGTGTAAGTAAGAATTTTGAGAGAAAGTGTGATGCAATATCCGAAGATCTCGGCATTTTCATGCCTTCCACAATTCATTCCCAAGCAGTCAACAATATGTTTCTGGTTCATCTTTCTTCTCCTATCGTTTGCTCACCGTTTGCTGGAGTCGATAGTATGTCTTTGCACTTGTTTCAGCCATGGAGTACGGGTATGCGGAAGTTTTATGGCTACTCCTATTTTTGACGGCAGTGGCTTCACAATGCCCTCCTTGTGGCACAAGATATGCCACACATATTGAGTGCTTCATAAAACTACACTCGCACACCGTTTATCTCTTCAGAAGCGCCTCAGAAAGTTGTCCTCGTACACAGGTGCAAGCAAGAAGTCTCAAAGGGTGACGGTTTTGCAGGCTCGCAGCTGCACCTGCTTGCCCACAAAAGTGCCATACACTAGACAGCCGAAAGCTCCGAGTTAATGTCAGTCCCACGGCAATTCTTATAGTTTTTCTTCCACTGGACAAAATATACCAGAGTTCACCCCTAGGTCATTTCTTTTTGCATACCTCTCCAACCTCCACTTAAAAAATTGTAGAGCCCTTCCACTTCACGTGAAGATGGAGGACCAGCAAAGCTGTTATCTTAACAGCGTCTAGGATGATGCCTAGATGACGACGTCTAAAACAACATCAAGGACGACCTCTAGGACAACCTTGAGGACCGTCCTCTAGGCATCGTCCTCGAGGTCATCCTAGAAGTCGTCCTTGAGGTCGTACCACATGTCGTCCTCTAAGATGACCTCGAAGACAACTTCTAGGATGACTTCTCGGACAACTTCGAGGACGACTCCTAGAGGACAAACTCTCGGACAACGTCTAGGATGATTTTTAGTTCGACGGTTAGGACGACCTCTCAGACGACTTCTAGGAGGACCTCTCGGACGACTTCTAGGACGACCTCGAGGACGACGTCTAGGACGACCTCACGGACAACTTATAAGACGATGCCTAGAGGATGACCTCTCGGACGACGTCTAGGACAACCTCAAGGACGACACTTAGAGGAGGACGTCTAGGACGATGCCTAGGATGACCTCTCTGATGACTTCGAGGACGACCTCGAGGATGACAACTAGGATGACTTTTAATACAACCTAGAGGACAATGCCTAGGACGACCTCGAAGACGATGCCTAGAGATGATAACAAGGGATTAAGGACATCACTATCTAATAATGCCGAGGAAGGCTGACTCACGCTGGTTGCCCCCTCTTTTTGTTTTTATTTATTCATACTTGCAGCGACCAATGGGGAGTTTCTGTCGACATGCGAGGACACATTTTTCCCCAGACCCTAGCGTATAACAGCTTAGCTGTAAAATGCAGCCCAGGAGAAACATAGCCTCAGGTGTGAAGGCAAGCCTGCCAGCGTGGTTTACCTTGACGTCCTAAGCACTGATAGTAAGGCAGCAAGATAACTGGAGCAAACCCATACAATGATTGACTTGCGTGTTGGCAAAGGGGTGCATTTCCCCATGCGACTCTATATTGTTAATAAGTGACATAGCTTTTAAACAGCAAAGAAGTGGAAACTTAATAAAAGGTCAAATCAGAAGGCAAAATGAAAACTAAAATTTCCAGTATCCCTTTGAGAGCCCTTTAAATTGACACGAGTATAACAAATTGCAACAGCGTTAAGCTTCTAACTCCCTGAGTTAGAGATTGTGCTACAAGGGAACAAACAAAAGATGGCATTTGTACAAATGCAAAAAGCCTTTATTTGAGACACTCCAAAATTTCAGGAGGAGCCTTGGTTTTTACGAGAGAGGTTTTCTTCCTGCTCCCATTATAGTCTCACCTGCAGTGTCCCATAGCCTTCATGTCGCTGTTCTGAATTCCTTTTGCCAGATGCGTCATCAATTCTCTCTCCAGGAGCGCAGCATCGTGCAGATTCTTCTCAACCAGAGGCTTCATCCGACTGGAAGACAAAGATGATCACTGAGAAAAGGCCAAACCTTAACCCTTTAGGTGCCGGCTTTTTTCATCCTAGCAAGCACCCTGTGTCAAGTGTTTTTCGCTGCACAAGTCTTTTGTTGGACGCACAAACGTGGTTGCAGGCATGTTACACATGCATGTTGCATGTGTATTCTGGGAAATAAATGTACCCTATGTACATCTATTTCCCAGATTATGTTGCTTAACGTTGAAGGAGTTCTTTAGCTTCTGAATTTCTTCAATTTAAAAAAAAAACTTTGTGTAGTATTTCTCGAAACACGGTACAATGCAAAGTGGCACCTTGCATCACTTTCACCAGCATCCCAAGTACACTCATTTTCACTGTCATCAGATTCTCAATTCATTAGCAGTTTCTGGATTTCAGCATCCGGCAAGGAGTGTGAAGTTGAGGAATGTGGGTTCGCCATTCAAAAACAATGTTGACTTGGAAACGCATACAGAGGAAGTTGCCTCCACAAAAATTTTGGTCAGCGTGAGTTAGGTTGAAAACGGCAGGGAATAAATTGAAAACTCGAAACGAGTATACTCGGGCACAGCAGGGGATGTGCTGGGGAGCGCGCCCGAGTATACTAGGGTGCGGCACTTAGAGGGGCCCTACAATCATATTCAAGCATCTACCCTTTTGCTGTTTACACGTCTCTTGGGGTTCAGGCAAGCCAGCGGGCACGCAGAGAGTAACTAAACATCAGTGCGTCATATTATAACTGGACAACACGGAAACCTCCTCCACCTATGGGGGTGACCCACGCTGCCGAAAAAACCCGCGATATGCGATGTTTTCGGTCCTGGCCTTACTACTGGTCAGAGTCGCTAAAAGTTTTTTTTAGTCTAAATACAAAGCAAACCGTTTTAATTATTTATGAAAGTAGCTTTTGTTCGGTATTTTAGATCAGAAAAGAAACAAATGCAGTTTATAAAGTATGTAAACAAGACATGACCCATGGACATACCCGCCACCAAGCAATGGAAAAGGCGGCGCATACTAGAAAGGGGTGTGGGATCAAGCACCGACGAGCGGTGTGCGTAGAAAGGTCCCAGATGTATGCGGCAGCGCTGCAGTCGGATTGGGCTCGAGGATCCGACCGGTGTTGAACATTCCAAAGCCCTTCGGCAAGCAGGTTTGGCTTGCAGCAGTTTGGCCGTTTGGCAGTGAGAAGTGGCTCCTGTTTTGACTGATCTTTACCCCGTGTTTGCTCTGATTTGTGGGCAATGAAGTGTCATGCCGAATTAGTGTTTAGTCGCGCAGCAAATGCAATGCAAGCCACCCTGGCTGCCCGCTTCATACAGCCTATCCAGCACATGCTTTAGTGGCGCCCTCTCGAGCCATGGGCACGGAGTGCGGCAGCCGTGAGCGCTCGCTGAGCTCACTGCCTAGTTCATGGCCACTCAAGCCAGGACCAGGGACGTCATGAAGGGTGTTATTTTTTGCTTGTTTTTGTAATTTTAATTTGCCTATAACTTTTAAAATAAAGCCAAATTTGAGAAAATAAAAGTTTCATTAAGGGGGGACACTACCCGCAAAAAAAAAGATTCTTCAAAAAACACTGATTTTGAAAAATTACATATTTACATCTATCTACATCAAGAGAGTATTCCCAGAAATTTTCACTAGTTTACACTGCATAGTTAATTTTTTATAAATTATTTTCTGTTTACCAAAGCTAAAGGAAAGGTAGGGTATGGAGCACTTTGAACACATTTTTCTCCGTTCCACTTTTTTGTATAAATTCCATTTTAGTCAATCTATCGTTTGAGAATGGAAATACAGGCAAGGCTCGTTCTTCACTTTTCCTGACTGAAATTTAATAAGGAATGCGCCTATGGAGTTTTTTTGTCACTTTACGGATGTCTTTTATACAAAATGTTGACATTTTGTCGGAGACACAGAGGACCAAAAAGTTGACTGATTTCACCAAAGAGAAAATTGATAGAAATCAATTACTTTTTACAAAAGCCTTTCCATAGGCGCACCTCCTAGGCATTCTGCTACATATCTAGCGAATAAAAATCTTTAATATTGTGATAGTTTTCTGACGATAGATTAACTAAACAGTGTAGGGGTGTTGCTGATAGAAGCTGCCCTAATTTCCTTCCCACTTAAGGGGGAACACTGGTTTTGGAACTTTTTTTCTTATTTTACAACCAAACTCAATGAACCTGCACAAGCTTGTTAAAGGGCCCATGAAACGATTTTTGGGTTGGGATAAATCATTTTAGATTGGGATTTTACTAATAGCACATCGTTCAGTGGACCAAAAGAAAAAAGGTAGAAAGTCAAAAGCCTGACTTTCAGTGCGAAAATTTGAAAACAAAGCGGACTATTTCGTACCTCCTCCCCTTCGCAACCTCTCTGCCTTTTCACTGTGATACATCCGCGGTCCCAAAAGCGTGTCATCGGGTCCAAACTGACGTCACACGCAACCGGACCTCACTTATTCCCTTCACATCTAGGCTGATATTGTGGTGGAAGCTACGCGCTTGCCGGACCAATCAGCCGCCTCCCTTTCATCACCTGACTTCATTCTCTGCAGCCACACTTTGCCACGCTCACGTGGCAAATGTGGCTGGCCCAACGAGCACGTAGCTCCAACAGCACTGTCAGCTTCGGAATGAACGGGGTGGGGAAAGCAACTTGTGTCTGAATTTTGAGCGACGGGCTAATCTTCTAGGGGGAGAATGGATGTGTCCGGGGATTACATAAACGAGAGTGCGAGCAAGAGGGGACTCCCCCTTTTCGTCTTCTTTAACTGTTTGGTGGAATGCGCGATTTATGAGTTGAGGAGGAAAGCTAAACAGGAAAAAGTTGGAAAAGCGTTTCATGACCCCTTTAAGCTCTTTGCGCTGATTTCATATATCTGGAAATTTCTTCAGTCAGTAGAATCGTCCTGAAGATAATTAAAACTTGCCTGCCTTCGTTTGGAGGAATGATAGGGAAAAGACTGCTCAACAAAATATCCTTTTTAACACATGGCCACATACTACGAAGTGTAAAGAATACAATGTTGGAAGTACTTTTAAGATAAACCCATTATTAAAGATTTTACAACATATTGAAGTTCAGTGCTCAATGCATGGCTAACAAGTAATAAAAGAAAAGATCAAATAAAAATTTTTCTAGATTCATATTAAAAAATCTGCTCTCAACATTGTATGCTTCACACATTTACCAACACATTTCGAAAAAGGTTGTATTTCTGACTGCTGTAGATGCTGAGATATCCCTCCTGCAAATTTTCAACGAGTCCAAAAACTGTGTTATGTGAAAACAATGTTTTAGAGTCAACTTTAATGCACATTCAGCCTGCATAGACATTATAAATTGCTTTATAGCTCGAATATTCATCCACGAAATTAGAAGCTTGGTAGATTCAGAAGAACAACAGCCATCGCCTTTTTCAAAAGAATGCAGTTTTAGGAAGTTTTTGGCTCCAAAGACCCATGTCTCCCCTTAACCAACAGACCTAAAATTTTGTTATGCACCCTCTAGCGTGACCACCAGCCTACCCTGTAAATTTCATTAATTTTAAGCCAAGGGTTCAAAAGTTGACCCTCCCAGGGGGTGTCTCCCCTTAAAGGGGTAGTGAAACGAAATTTTAGCGCCGATCTTGTTGCATAAATATGGGCTAGGGACAGGCACCACCTCGGAAATATAAATATTGCGCTGTAAAACACAGGAGAACTAATTTTAAACATAATTAAACGATTTCAAATTCTCATCTGGTGGATGGGGGGAAGTTCTCGTGACATCACTAGTGCCAAAATAGCAGCGCCGTTCTGCGGCAATACGGCGTGCCGGCAGAATTCGCCTAGGCCTGAACGCGTTCGCAAAGCCGTGACGGAGAAAGCCAAAGCGTAGTTGGCCACAGTGAGCTCGTTCTCGTTGCGGCTCTTTGCACGACACGGCCCGAGCATGCTTCTGGCACGGCCGGTATTAGTTGCTGCGAGTCGCGAGCTGCAAGCCGAAGTTAAAAAGGATATGTTTGAACTACGAGGGTGTCAGCAAGAGCCACGCAAATGCCAAATACCTGTTCACACTCGGAGCGGACACGCGCGTTTGATCGAAGTGCTGGATTCGCTCTGTTAGACCGCGTTTCGGTAAGCGCTTCTGGACCGATCTTTTACGATTGCAACTCGATACTGACATGACACTCGGCAAAGAAAGGTTAGACCGACATCGCGTAGCTCCCACGAACTGCTATAGCTCGACACTGACGTAGCGTCGAGTCAGAATAAAAATGGCATACTAATAACAGAGTGTACATACCGAGTTGCCAAGGTAATCCGTATGGCGTTTATTTGAGCTCTATATCACACAAAACAAGGAGATAGAATCAATGAGAGTCCCTTTTCGACGACAGCGTTCGTCACCGCTGTCTCGGAAAACAAGGAGATCGAGATGACAAGGGGAAAATATTGACCTCTGAAATTTAGTTCAGGGATCAAACTACTCATCCGGTAAGGGTCCACAAGGGTCGCGCGGGCATATTCCATTCAGCAGGCCAGCCGGTCATGGACAGACGGTCTTGGCCAAGGACCGCCGGAGCAACGGTGCGCCGAGTCGATGTTGCTGCTAGGCCTATACTATATTCTGCCGAGCTCGCTCGGTCGGCAGAATCGTGGCTGTTGCAGCTCTTCTCGTGTGTTTGTGGATCCTGCGTTCTTGATCGTGGTCTGTTTTAAGTACTCCTTCCTTTTTTCTTGCTGGTTGAAGTCGGGACGCACGAGAAGAGCACGAAGAAAAATAAATGTCCGTTGGTGGCCGATACCAAGTAACTGAGCGACGCTGTCGGCCTTGTTGATTTGATCGTAAAAAATGCGTAAGACAGCTTCGGAGCTGTCGTAGGATTCTGTCGTAACCTGCGCAAAGGTTACGGCAATTTCGTTTCGAGAGCACGGGTTTTCTCTCAAATTTGTTGTACGCACTTTTTTCGTCGTGAATTCGCTTTGAGAATCCGGCCTCAGAGCTGGTTTTGTCAGTGCTGCCATGGTTGCCGACTTGCCGTGGTCCCGTGGTGCAGCGTGCGTGCAGCCCTTGCACATCTCAAACGGCCACGTTGTCACAGGTCGTAAATCGTCGACGCGCCACCAAGTGGCAACGCTCGTAACCACAACATTCACGCCGTAGCCTTTCCCGACCGGCACAAGTGACGTCACGAATGCGCCCAATATCCCAAGACGCATCGCGCTCTCCGATGGCCGATTTTTGAGCGCGCGCTGCGCGCTCAAAAACATGCTCCCTGCATGTTCAGCTTATGCGTCAGTTACTTCTCTTTGGATATTTGGTTCCAGACAGATCCTGAGACCTTTGATCAACCTGTCAGATGCCAGTCTTTTTTGACGCCTTCTTCGAGCTTCACGGTGAAGCAACTAGCCCGATTAACTGCTCTGCTGCCTCTCTTCCAGTGCACCAATAACACCCACCTGCGTCCGTAGGCGTCCAGGGGCAAGATCTGGTCGCCGTGGAAGACGGGGGATGCTCCGTGGGCCGGCAGGTGGCACGGGTACTGGCCCAGGGGCAGTCCCAGGTACGGGGGAGACACCATCGGGGGCGACACGCCGTAGGGAACCCCAAAGCCCGGCATCGCGGGCACGGCGGCCCTGCCGGGGGTCACCTCCAGGGCCACGTGGGGCTGTGGCTTCACCGCAATCAGCGGCTTGTCCTGGCTCGGGTTGCAGGGGACCGGCTCGCGCTCCGCGCCGCAGTCCTCCAACGGACCTTTGGCCGCAGTCTGGTGGGTGACGGGACAGAGAAGCAACCCGTTACAGAGATGGAAGCGTAGATGAAAGCTCTTTCATGAGCGGAGTGAGCCTAGCAGGCAGATGCCACGCAAAGCATCTCGGGTACCGGTTGGCCACTAAGCTTCGGTTTTGATTAGGGAACCTCACCTCGCGAAAACATGTCGAAACCAAACACGGTGCTTGCAAATATATAAAACTGTAGGTGTTGCCTACCAATACGGATAAAATGCAGGGGCACATTTTTTGGGGGCTCCCGACAACTGAGTTTGTGCACAGGTAAACGCAGAACGACGATGGCATGTGGAAGTAGTTGGCTTGGCCAATCATCTGTTCCATCAAATCCTCATTATCCTAGGCTTCTTAAATTATCTGTGAGCAGAGAGGGGGCAGAAAGGAAGGAACTGCCCCTTGATGTCTTTGTGCCTTCCCCAGAAGCAGGAAAGCCCGTGTCCTGTCTTTGGGTACTAGCCCTGGACCCTCACCTTTTGGGTAAGGAAGAAAGAGCACGACAGGGAACGCAAAGGACACTGCGGAAGGATTTGCTGCCTAGCAGAAAAATGTTGCGTGTATGTTGGCCTTTAAGTCGTGCTCAAATTGTGAACGCAAAACATACGCTGCTTAGGTCCTATATGATTTGCAATCAAAATTCAAACCATGCTCAGTCTACTACAACTAAAAATCATTTGCTATCAGACAGACTGAACCAACATATTATCTTACTCCATGGGGATACTGCAAGATATTTTGGCAGCCCTATTGTTCCGTAACATCGGCACAGTAGATAAGTTCCTAACTTTGAAAGGTCACATCTTGCTAAGCTTCAATTCCCGTACCTCCAGCAAGTTCGTGTACCCTCAAGCCCTTCAAAGTATTTTGTTTACAAAAACAGCTAGGCTTCCATTTAGACTGTAGGTCTAGGAGAAGTATTCTTGTAATCAGTCTATTCCGTGTGCACGTGACTTAATCTGACACTGGTGCTCAAAGCTGTATCAATTCTGTTTTCGTTTAATCTGCAGACCATTATTTTACACTAGGAGCAAGAACAATGCAAAAAGCGTGGCCACTAAAGCACGCTGATAAAAGGGAGGCGAATTAAAAATGGGGCGTCACTATGATTATTCTACAATGATATTACTTTAGAGGTAGCCACAAACACCTAACAAAGCTCCGCTTTAAAATAAATGAAGCAATAAGGAAATTACCACAACCACACGCGATTCAAAGTAGAGAGCTGCGACACTTACCAAACAAGCCTGCTTTGGTGTCAGCGTCACGTCACATGGGATCCGAATGAGGCCTCCCTTAACACCAGGCTCGGGAGCACTGCCGGAAAGGGGGCTCCGCTTCTGGAACCGGGGCGGAACCTGAGACTCCTGGGGAGTTTTGGGCGGTGGAGACGCCGCCTTAAAGCTGTCATTCCTCCGGTTCTTGCGCCTCACCTCCAGCCGCGCCAATGAACGGCGGTTGGAGGACTCCTTGGCACTCTTGGAGTTGTCAGCGCTCTCCCGCTCCGCCGACAGGCGCCGCTCCTCCTCTTCCACAACTGCCACGCTCCAGTCCTTGATGACTGGCACCACGTACGCCGGAGCGTGCAGGACACCCGCGTCCTTCTCTTCTTCCGAGAAGGAGTCTCTGTTTCGGTGTCCCAGCGACCGCCGGTGTGGATGGACTGCCGCCGGGGATCCCTTGTCCCTGTCGGCCGTCCGGCTCAGGTCCTCCTGGCTGAAGGTCCTCGCAGAAGACTCCACCACCATCAGGTCTCCGTCCCAGTCCTCTTCTTCGGGGACACTGCCGCTCCCGGACGGCACGACCGGGTCGTGCGGAGCCGGTCCGGACTGCCGCCTCGGCCGGTCCTCCCTGGGCCTCCCTTTTTTCTTTTTCGACTTCTTCTTGGATGACCTCCGCCTGCCGTCGTCTTCCGCCTCATCCTCAGAGCCACTCTTCCGACGCCGGGGAGACGCGGCCCGTCCGGCGGGTCGGCTGTCCTGTCTCGGGAATGCGTCGTGGGGCGGCCGCTCCTGGCCACCCTTGTCACCCCTGCCGCTCCAGCTCTTCCTGCCGCCAGCTTCTGCAGTGACCCCATTGGGCCGATGGTCGCCTCCACTCCGCCTCCCGGAACCCCTGTCCCCTCCACTCCGCCTCCCGTTGGTCGCTGACGACCTCTCGGCCTCTGTTCTCCCCTCTCGCGGAGTCGTCACATTGCCGCGAACCCAGTCCCCCGCTGACCCCCCAGGCTCGACGGGCGGGACGTTCTGCTTTGGCTTTGCCAAGCAGGTCTCAATGGGCCTCGGCGATTTCGACGCGCTCGAAGCAGAGTTCTCTGGGGGATCGCCATCCACTTGCTGGGCCCCGACGAACCGCCGCGGTTTTCCGGGGCCATTACGGTTCGGCCGCTCCGACGCATCTTCTGCCGCTGGCCGCTCCTCGTGAGGAGGACCGTCGAGGTAGGGCGACTTCGTAGAGCTCGAGCTCTTGGGTTCTGACACGTCATCTGTCACTTCCGTCTGGGATCTGTCTGCCGGTGGGGTCTTCACGTGCTTAGGTACGTACATGGGCTGGTCGGGACGCTTGCAGCGGCTGCCCCGAGAGAGGTCGCGGACGGAGGGCGGCGTCTGCTGGCACATACTTTCTTCCGTGGTGCACTGAAATCCGTCACCGGGCGTTCCGGGCTTGGAGGGAGTGTCCGGCCGGCCCACCTGGTTCTTTTGGAGCAGCCCCATGCCGGGCCGGTACAGCACCAGCTCCGGTTTGGCACGACGGTTTTCACGTTTTGCGTCCTTGTCAGCGGCCGTGTCTGTACAAAGTGGCAAATTAAGAGATTAGTGCACGTTGGCTCGGGACCTAGGATGAGTAGTATCAAACAGTCAAAAGGTTCACAAGTCGGCAACCAAATGACTCTGTCTGAAAGCATGGGCATGTATCTATTGTACTGTGTATCCTTTTTTCAGACAAAAACAACCATCAAATGTGTACTCATTTTTGTGGCTAGTTCGAAATGTTTCCCCGTACTTGGTGTCTCTACAACCACCAAATTGCCACTCCATAGTTTTATCTAATCTTCCATAAGGAGTAATTACCACTGAAGAAGGGAGCAGTGCTAACCACACACACACTTTTCTTCTCTGCCATCATCAATACTTTCCAAAAGAAAGCTCATGGTTTTACTTTAGATAAAATACAATAATAATAATATGGCAGTTTCTTCTTTTTTTTTCTTTTTTTTATTCTTGAGGAACTTTCTCTTAAAGGGATACTACAACGAAATTTCGGTGCTCATTTTTTTGGTCCATATGTGTTCAAAAAAGCAGTATCACATGGAACATACCAATATCTTGTTAAAAAAAGTCTCGAAAAGGAATTTTAAAATGAATTAAACGATTAGCAAAGAGCACCTGGTGGATGTCGCTAACGCCTCGTTTGTAACGCTTGTCTAGGAACCTTGACAGCTAGTGACGGAGGTTGTCTCGTCTCCGGCCACGACGAGAGAAGGGGGAAGCAGAAACTCCCCTCCTCCCGAGAATCCCTTTTGAGTGTCGCAGAAGTCGCTATTGTCCCCTTATAAGATTAAAGAAAATTAACCCGTCACTTAAAATTCGTACAAAAGCAGCCGCTTCGGTGGCTGGAACGACTAGGCCATCCTCTCTACGTCAGCCTCGCCGTAGCTTTGCTCGTCTTGAGACGACCTACGTCACGATTGCGTTGGATGTCACGTGCTCTAAGCTGGGCCTTCTCCGAGCGCTTGTCAGAGTGTGCCGTTTATAAGGAAAAATACAGCCCCCAGGCTCAAAATACAAACGTGCGATTGTCATTTACGGATATTGTGGATCATATTCAACCTATTTTTGAACACGACGGGAATATTTCGAATTTCGTTGAAGTATCCCTTTAATAGCAAGGCGTTGAGTCTAATAAAATAAAAACTATTTCAAGGAAGAATGCATGGCAACAGGTAAATTGACAAAGTATGCGAACCATGGAAACACTTATACTAGAGGGGAGAGGGAATTGGTGGCCAAGTGTGTCTGAGCGTGTAGAGCGAAAGCTTGCGCAGCAGAAAGGAAGAATTTTAAGTTCAATCCCGACCCTTACCCGTTTTGATCTTGATGAGCATTGTACCGGCGTGCTGCCGTGTGTCCCTACTGCGCGATGCACGTTAAAGACCTCAGGCTAGCGGCTGTAATGCACTGACTAAATTTCTCATCGACAGACAAGACACCAGGTGCCCATTGAGGCTGACTAACTTCCGGCTGTATGATCATACACACAACACAGTTATTATTCATTATTCTCAGGGGCAACCTTTCTGGCTATGCAGTCAAAGGTATAGGAGCAAAGCTGGACACAGACGCTCCTGCTCTTATCAAAAATGTCTCGAAAAGCTGTGCTTGAGTATAGTAGCCACTGGCGTGCGCTTGTAAACATGCACCGGTGAATACAATACTTAAGAATTTTTCTTTCTTATTTTGGTTCACATTTTTTTGCTGAATATAATACATTATATGCATGCAGGTCCTTACAAACAACATTTAATTATTAATTAATTGAAAAAATATTGTCTTTCCCAATTGCTGTGCGTTGCTAAACTGCAAATATACATACACACATCGGAAGTCTACCGGGGCATGCAATACTGCGACACCCTCAAGCTATCAACTCCTGCCAAAGACGGTGAATAGCGAGAAATAAACATTTATCGATACACTACACAAACAGTGTAGAATAACCTTTCTGAATAAATGACACTAATCTGAACTGCATAACACACAACCCTCGGGTTGGAATCAATATAAAATGTTGCAAAACATAAAAGAAAAATTTTATAAGTAATCATTAAAGTTCTCCTCCTTCTATCATGTCACTGCTTTATTAGGCAGCTTAACCAGGAAAGGCTACAACATCATACCATGATGTTGTAGCCTTTCCAAGATGGCTACATGCTCGGAAATTTTGTCTTGCGACAGTTAGTATAAGCAATGACAATGGTACCCCGAGGATTACAGAGCACCTGCAATCGCAATGCCACATTTTAGCTGAAGAAACCTTGTCTAGTGAATTCCGTTTTTAACCATAGGCATTATGAATTTAGTGGTATATTTGTGCCTGGGAGAAATGGGAATATAGAAAAAATTAAGATGGCAAGTTGGTTGTAAATTCTTGAAGTAAAACACCTAAACACAGGGGCAAAAGAAAATAGATGCTAACGGGACATGGTGTACTTCAAATTGAATATTTATTTTAAAAACACAGAAGCAAAACAACAACAACTCAACAGACTGGAGGTTGCAGGCTTCCTTCCCCAAGTTCTCTGTGACATGTCAGAAACCCTCGCAAAAAATATAAAAATGAAAAGCCGTGATAAGTGGCCAAACGGTGCACTCAGGAGGAAGGGCAGGCTCGTGGCCCTACCATAAATACACAAATTATCACACAACCTAAAAATGGGTAATTGGTTCCTTATGGCGGTCCTCTTTTCTGCACCGAATAAACTAGCCAACCTGTGTCAGAGGACTAACAGTAGCTCAGATGAGCCGGCGGCGACAGAAGGAACATGCACAAAGTGCCACAAAACTCAGTTTCGCAAATGCGCCAATGGTGCGACATATGAAATTCCCCTTTCCTGTGGAAGGATGTATGTGGTCCAGACAAGGAGGTGCATCAATGACAGAATAAGAGAGCACTCTGCTGCTACTATGCGGTCCCTGTCTATAGTCACTTGGCAGTATATTGTGACTGCTACGGAGGCAAACCAGACTTTGAAGAAACTAAAGTGGGGAGCAAATTTAAAACAAAAATTGTGCAGAAAATTTATGAAGCCCTCCTTGTCACATCATATAGCAACCATGTGTGTGTCATCATGAGTTCCCTAGTGCTCTCTGATAAAAAGTTTATGCACATCCGCAATGAGCGACTCATGCATTAGGGGGCGTAGCCTTTTTATCTTCACTATTTTTAGTGCATATGTTTTATGTTGTTCTGTAAGTGTGTTCTCAAAATAAAAATTCAGCTGAAGGTATGCTGTGTCCCTTTAGCACCTATTAACAGGAACCATACTTTGGCTAGGTGTTCAGCATTTTGTGCAGTCCAAAAGTGTGGCCGCAAGGCTAGACACCGGGCAGTAAAAAAGTGTTTGCACCAGGCGGGAATAGAGCCCAGACCATATAGATTATTACGCGAGTGTCTTTCCACCATGTCACGACAAATCGCCATGAGTTACGGTGCCATTTGGCGGGAAAACCCCCTGGGCATTTGCTCGGCGTCCGTCCGGCAGATGGCAACTTGACACCCTGTCACACCTTTTTAAAACCCAGGTTAGCGCCGGTATCTCCATTCCAGGAATTGCCATCGAGTGCACATGCCACGCATTAAGCCAGTAGCTAAGCTAACCGATGCAGAGCGCCAAGAGCGTAGGCGCCACACGTGTGCCCAGCAATCTGCTATGCTTTTTTTTCTGTCCCTGTCTTTAAGCATTTTACTTCAAGAGAGCAAAATTAATCTCTGAATTTCAGATAAATAAATTAACTCCAAAAAACACCCTAGAAATTTTGCTAAAAATAAAAAGCTGGAAACATGACATTTTAATTCCAAGTCAGTAATGGGAGATTCACTCTCAAGCCTTTAAATTGTTTCAGACATTCCTTGCCCATACACTATCCGTCACATTATCACTATTCCAGAATGCTGTTTTTCGCTCCCAAGGGTGTACATTTTTTCGTCCAAGGGAGGGCAGCCTTCGTGCGTTTTCAAAGACTGAGCGCCAGTAACGACTGGGATATCGCAATTTATTATACACCTTACACTTTACCCCAGCTATGTTCACGACCCGGTTTTTTAAGGCTTACTTCACGGCGTAAAAACATTCTTGCGTATCTTCGTCGGTGTGGGAGACACTGTGCACATGAATCGTTCGATATATTAGGCGCATCGAGTTCTGAAACGTTGCGAAATTGAGGACATCGGCCATGTGTCAAAAGCCTTGAAATTGTGGCGGGACGCCACTGTGCTTGAACACCGATATTGTGCTTCAGCTCAACGCTACAACTGAACATAGTTAGCGAAGAGAAGCGTGCAGAAAGAACCATGCGAACGCCAGTTCTCTGTCGCGTTACGAAGGACGTCATTTTCTCGAAAGTTCCTCCGATGATTGCTGTCTTTCACGCACATAGAGGGGGGTGAATAACCGCGGAGTCTGTGGGCCAAACGTCGCCAGCTCGAGAAAACTCTACACCGCCCCCTAGCTCACCAGGGTTTATAATTTTGTTAGGCAGCGAAATGGAAGATGTGCAAACTCAGGTACGACGCGAACACTGCAAAATTTTCGTTTCGCCAGGGGCCAGGGTAGGAAAGAGGATCCGCGGCAAAACATAAAATGATTGCACACGTGCAGTTAGGTAGTTCCCGCATCCAACGATTCCAGTGAGTTCTTTCTCTGCGGAGTTCTTAGTAAGAGATACTAGCGAAACGTAAGCCGTTGTACAGCAAGCATCCTCGAAAACTGTTTACTGCGTATCCAAGGCATTCAATGTTTACTAACAACAACGCCATTAGTAACCCGATGCCCAAATGGCGCCGAAAGCAGATTTTTCGTCTTGCATCTAATAGTTACTTACCTGCATTTTTATGCGCCATGGCGTGTCGCTTGGAAGGAGCTTGTTCCATGTGAGAAACCTTTTGTACGTTTCGGTACGTTCGAGATTGTTTATCCGCCATACTTTTTTTTAGCCACTGTCACTCTCGGACCCCTGGTGAGTGTTTCGGAGGTGTCGGGCTCTTCACAAATCTTTTTCTTTTGCGATACGGCTAAAAACAAATCGATTTCAGTTATAGTAGTGCTTTATTTCTTTTAGATTGCTTTTTACCAAATGTACTCTTTAGTTGTTGTTGCTGTTTCGTTATTCTTTTAAAACAAGTTATTGTTATTGAGCAAAATGGCTGCCCCCAAGAAGTGAGTTGTCTGCGGTTACTGTAGTTACTGCGTGCATAAGACCGTTGACTAATTTATCGGTCATTAATTCATGTATGAAACTTGTATTGCGTAATTAAGCGCGTGCCGGTTGTTTTAGGAAGAGTAATTAGTGTGCAGGTTCTTCAATTCATCTCCTTTTCTCTTCCTTAGTTGCGTTTTGGGTACGTTCCGCGGGAAACAGCGATGGTGTGCGTTTGGTCGGGAACTAAACACGGGCTACTGGAAGCTCTGCCGTCTACACATGATAGACACAGTCCTGATCATTAATCGCGACGTTTATCTTGGATGTGGTCACGGTCCCAAATAAAATTTAATTTAATTTTTCTTACGAGGTCATGTCGCCGAAAACATTAATCAATTAATTAGAAAGCCACTGCCTAGATGAGGAACATTCTTAAAATTTTGTGTGATGGTTATTCTTAATAAATTAACATATGGGGTGTTATTAAACAAAGAGAAAGATATAGTGGCTATAACAGCAGTCATGAAAACTTTTTTTTTATTATATATTGTTGAATATAGTTTTGACAGAAATCAGCCCGTTATGGCACTTTCAAGGACAGTTGATGAGTAATCTACTGCCTAGACCAGCCGTTATCAGTGCACTGCAGAGAGAGAAAGCCAGTGAAGCTGGCTGGCTGCTCGGCTGCTTTTCAACCACCTTTTGTTCATGTAGCAAAGAGTACAGGCTACAGTCGTACAGGCAGTACAGGTTCGTGATGCCGTCGTCACTGGGTAGTGTCAAGTAGCTGTTGGATCAAACAAGATTTATTTAAAACTTGGACTTCGTTGACCTTGATATCTCGGTATCTTCATAGATAACTAGGAATGTTTGGCAAAGTACACAAACATAATAATCTGCCTTTTCTTATTTTGGATGGCAAACACGCCATTCGGCTGCATTAGATGAAATGGGATTGACTAATGTGCATTTGTAGGATTCTGAACTGGGAATCTCATCTTTTCCTTTCCAGGTATGGATTGATCCTGCCAAAGAAACTTGACAAGCCAACAATTGCAAAGTCCTCCATCTTCGACGATGACAGCGATGACGAGGTATGCAACATTCTTCTATACATGGGCATGAAAACTCATCTGCCTTCGGCACATCTGTACCGATTTGTTGCGCATGTCTTTGGTGTTGGTGAAGGGCTGATACGGTGTTTTTTCCCCATGTCTCAAATCTAGCTTACCTTGTATAAGTAAAATAGTCATTGTATTGTTCTTAAAAAACAAAAACTGATGTGTTGCAGTGTCATGCAGACATTAATAATCTCAGTTCCCCAAACCAAAGAAGTGTTTTCTTTTCCAGCACGACAGAGCAGCCATTGAAAAGTCCATCAAAAAGGAGTCTATGAGGAACTTGAAGAAAATGCAGGTATGCAATAGTTGTGCACCCTCGCTTGCGGGAGGCCAACCCCTTTGCCTGCTTTACACAGACCCAACTCCAGCTCCAAAAGGCCATGGAGGAAGACCCAACGGTCTTCGAGTATGATGAGGTGTACGACGACCTCAAACGGGACCAGGAGGAAAAGAAGCAAGAGACCAAGAAGGACAGCAAGGTATGCGCGCTCTTTGGCCAAATCGGGCCCTTGTTCCATTCAAATGCAACCCATAAATCAAGCAAGCGATGCGACGCAAACAGCTTGTTTGGCATTCAATTTGTGTCTGTCTAGCCTAGAACACCGATAGTACAGACGTGCTGTTGGAACTAGAGCTGCTGAAAAAGCTATACTTCAGAGCATCGACACTTCAGCCATATTGTTGCGTAGAATCAATGTTGCCGGTTGTCGCCAACCTTTGCCGACGTGCCTAACAGAAAATTTAAAAAGTGATTTTGGTCATTTTGCTTGCTGAAACAGCTCACAATAGAGCCAAGCAATACCGCGGTGGTCTCTTCACACCGTATCGACCGCTCAAAAAGTCCCGTTTTAGACGCACAACCATTGCAAACAGCACGCGTGCAGCGAAGAATGAATTGGCGGCATCCACAAGCTGCTGGCACGTAAGCAAATGTCGTACGATGCAAACAGACGAATGATCGCAATGGCGGCATCAGAAAAAGGGCGGTCAGAGTGCGGGTACTCCGAGTGTAGCTTTCTAGTGACGTGCCTTTCACGGGGCCCCCCAGCCACGCTACATCGAGCAACTGCTGAAGGCGGCCGAGAACCGGAAGAAGGAGGGAGACCGTCGGATGCAGCGCAAGATCCAGAAGGAGCGGGACCAGGAAGGGGAGGTGTTTGCGGACAAGGAGGCCTACGTCACCCAGGCCTACCGCAAGAAGATGCAGGAGATGCAGGAGGAGGAGGAGAAGGAGATGCGCAGGCAGCGGGTCGAAGGTGATCGTTGCATCTCGCTCGTAGTTGGCATTGTTTGCCCACAAGTGCTTCACTTGTACCAACATCTGGCTAGTACGGCCGCAGTGCTGTATGCTCGGCATACTTAGAGGGGGCACACACGGGGCATAGATTGGACACGGGTCGCAAACAAACGCCAATGCAGCAGTCCGGTCCAATCTGTGTCTCAGATTCTTTTGAAGCGACGCCCAACATTCAGCACTGCCCTACAGTCGACTCTCATTAATTCAAACTCCAGGAAGCCACAGACTTTAGTTTGAAATATCGGAAGTTTGAATTATCAGAAATTTATCTAAATATGATGGGAGGCAAAGTAGTGATTTGCTGTAGGAATAGCTGCACATACCAAGCAGATTTTTTACTCTTTCCTCTACACTGTCCTATTTATAAGCAGGCACAAACATAAAACATTAGTGAAGTTCAAAGTAAATAGTGGTTTTGACCGACTATTTTCTAATTGAATATCATATAGCTTTTTCGAGCCTTCTACTACCGTTGTACCGTTTAAACGAAAATTCAGCTGAAGAAGTGAAGGTTGCTCCCAACCTTCCACTTGTCCACTTCCAAGTTCAGTTAGTTTTAATATCAACTATATCTATGGACCGTGGCCTCAGATTCCTCAATTAGGATAGCTGGGTGTGTCTAGGTTTAATTAATGTCAAACCTGTCACTTACATGCCCTCCCAATCGAGGCATTGGATGCCTCGATTGGGTGGGCATGTAAGTGACAGGTTTGACATTAATTAAACCTAGGCATACACAGCTATCCTAATTGAGGAAATTTATAAATCCGCTTGCTATATGCACATATTCATTCTTTAATCTCGAATTTAACCCCCTCAGAAAAATAGAAAAAACAAGCACGAATAATGAAAGCGGATTGTCAGGACAGTTCTGCTCGCGTAATCGCAATGGGTTAGTCTCATTGAGTGCGCCGCTCATTGAGCACCCGCCCACTGCGGAAAAGCGATGACCACCGGCGTCGTGAATATTGCTTTCCCTGCTGTTTGAATTAAGCAGCTTATAAATGCGTTGAAAACATAGCGGGACAACCAAAATTTCATTTTTTAATTTCACCGGAAGTATGAAAAATCAGTTTGAATTATTGTGAGTCCACTGTAAAAGGTGTTTCTTGTGCTGAGCTTTGTCAATGTAGAGCTTGTTTAGCAAATATTGCAAAGGCCAGCTGTAGTAGCATACTGATGCTTGGAAAAATATGTACAGTATTAGCTTACTGCTGAATATAAGAATACAATCTTCTTTTTCTCCCCACTTTCTTACCGACCACAGACATGATGGACGTAACAAAGCAGAAGGACCTGACCGGATTTTACCGACACCTCCTGAAGCAGTCAGTCGGCGAAGAAAAGATACCCGAAAATACGGACAAGCCGCTCTCATCTGGTGATGCGGTCGCGGAGGCAACGTTTACCCGTCCGAAAGGACAAGCCCGCGATTCTTCATCGTCAGAAGGCAAAGTCGGGTCGCATCCGGACGAAGCTTCCGCAAGCTCTTCTCGAAGGTCCAAGGAGACCGGAATGCGCAGACGGACTTCCGAGGACGGTCGGGCACGAGAAACGGGCACTGCCGAGCCCAAATCGGCAGCCAAGGAGAAAAGGACGTACAGGACCAGGAAGACGAGCGATCCTTCGGAGGACGAAGAGGTTCCTCCGAAGTCTGCCGTGAAGCAAGAGCCGGCTTCGAGTTCGCCAGCAAAGGAAGACGAGGCCCAAGGGGACGGAGATCTGGACGCCGACAGCGACTTTTCCGTTGACTCCGCAGACTCTTCTGACGAGGCGACCCCTTCCGCACGGCCGCGGAAGAGCGTGAAAAAGGAGGACGGCACCAACGATTTGCCCGAGAAGCCAGAAAACGAGGACGGGAACGAAAGTGCGAAAGCCAAAGAGGAGGCGTGGATTGCACTGTTCAAAAAGAGGACCGTGGGAGATGCGCTGGAAGCGGCGAAAGCACGGTATCTGGAACGCAAGGCAGCCATGGACGAACACAGAGCGGCATTTGGGAGCGTGCAGTAGCAGTCTTCTCACGTTGCAGAAACACTGCATTCATGTTTGAGTGTATGGTACAACCTCATTGCTGCCGGTTTATAGGCAAATCAAGCAGAATTCTTCAAACATTACGCAGTCACGTATTTATACTGTGTCAACTATTTCGTGCAACATTGCCGAGGCTGGTATAGGTTCCACACTGCAGCAGCCCTACATCGCTGTGCAAGCACGTGGCTTCATCTTGCACCTCATGTGCATGCGCTCTCGTGCGAAGGAGCCACCAAACAAAATCGTGCGTTCGCATAGCTTTGACAGCACTGGACCACTGTGGAAGCTACGCTATCCTCGGCAACGTATCACGAAAGAGTCGACCCTAAATATAGTATGCCCAAATGTCGGCATCGGTGCTGTGTCACACCACAAATTGTACGCTTTTTTAATCCATCGGAGGCTGCACTATGCACTTTCAGAGAAATGTATGTTTGTAAGAAGGACAACATGCAACCAAGAAAATGTTTGACGTTTTAATGAGCATTATAAAGAGGCTGTTGTAAATAAATTACTGTAAATAGAAGAATTATGCAAAGCGCCATTCTTTTACTAAAATACTGATCACGTCTACTGTAACTACAGTTTGAATGCAGATAACAAAGTTTTGAATTTCTTACTTCCTACTCAAATATACAGAGACCCAAACCAGCCATCCCTAGGTATCATATTTTTTTGGTTGTCATTAAAAATGCTATGGTAAAATAATGGTTTCATGGGTGCCACAGTTGAGGCAGTCAAGTTTGTTGATCAACACAAAGGCTGGAGTAAATTGCGAGGAAGTACAAGTGCTATATTCGTGCAAGCTGCATTCAGCAGTGCACAGGCCATTGCTTAGAGGGCATTAGTTGCCGTATGGCAAGGCAGGAAGCTGATGACACGGTTTCCAAAGTGTCCCGACCTATTTTGGCGCTTCTCAGTTTTATTATCAACGAGACAGTAGGCAGTAATGTTGCACAATATGGCAATGTGCAACACTGCTAGCACAAACACCACTCTGACACTTTTTCATATTTTACTTTGAAAGGTTACTGGCAGGCATCAAAATGAACCACTTAAGTCAGTCTCGTGAACAGCACAGCACACAAAAAGACAAGGACAGAAAAGGAACATGCCCGACACACAAGTGCTTGTGTGTTGTGTATGTTCCATTTCTCTGTCCTTTGTGCAAAGAAATATTCACCATGTCGTCATACCAACTCGTTGAACCTACCACACTTCTGTAGATCAGTATTCCTACTGAGCACTTTTCACCACTAGTTTTAAAGACAGTCCTGCAGTACTGGCAGAAAAACGAAAATCTGGCAATGGCTTGTTTGCGCTAACAGTGTTGCAGAGTGTACCTTGTTGGCTGACCTTCCTTATACATTGAAAAGTTGTTCACATTGGGCTAATTCAGTGAATTTAGCTTAGCTCCTAAAACAAGAACAGGTCCCTTTCAAAACAGCTATTGAATATCTGCATGGATGTTCACAAATTACACAAGCATAAAAATCACCTGAACTCATTAATGCAACCACAGAAAAATAGTAGGTATCAAACAAAAGCAACTATTATACTCAAAATTATCTGTCACCTATGGCATTACAGATGCCATTTGCATTACATGGTACAATAAGTTGTGGGATGGTACTGGCATTTTTAATTGGCATGTTTTAAAAGAACATTTACGGTGTCTGCCTCTATGATACGCCTTTAACCTTTAACACATGTATCTTGAAAGGCAATGTGCGTCTCAAAAATGTACTCGAGAGGTTGGATATTCAGACAGTGAAAGCCGGCCGAGGCCTAAAGATGTTTTGGCCTTTCCGTGACAGATCACTATTACTTCAGCGCTATGCATTAAGTTCATAGAAGCATCACGTGGACAATCATAAGTTGCTCTTAAAGCAGGCTAACAAGACAGCTGCACACATACAGTTCTTTTTGGAACAGGATAACAAACAATTGCACAAGTATCGAGTGTCGCGCTTTAAAAATTTGCACGAGGGCATTTTCGAAATTGCAAAAGCAACAAAATATACAAGCTTTGATAAGTATTCTGACAACATGTCGATGTGTATGAAAAAGTTATATCACATGTTCACAACTTTGCATAACCTGTGTGTTGGATAACAGGCCAACTCAACACAAGACGAAAATTCTCAGTTACCCAACAAATACAGTAAATTACCTTGAAAGATCAGGAAAAAGTTTTCTAGTTTGCAATGCAAACCCCCTTCCCTATTATGCAAGTTTTATTTAAAAGATTATTCTGTAAAAACAATCGAGGTTACAACATAAAATCATTAAACCACAAAACCAAATTGGGCACAACTAAAAGCGGGTGTCCGTTGGATTCGCTATGTTTCAAAGATGAAACTAAAATGGCATTCACAAACACGAAGGTGATTCTGCTCCAGATGACTACAGCTTTCCATAGGTGACTCCGAGCGAATCCTGCAGGCCAACAAAGAACTCCCTGCATATGGAACAAAGGGATTGTATTAATAACTAGAGAAGGAAATAAAAATATATTTTTCTTTGATCACTACAGAAAGTCTGCAGTTTAAGAAACTTGCGTACGTCGTCTTGGTCGTGAGATATTGCATTTAATATAGTGGTGACACAACTACTTTGTATATCTGTTATAAAAATCATGTCTTAAAGTTGGTGGGCCAATACACAAGAAATCTCTGAACGGTAGGCATGCACAAACAGTGGTTTTGACGAAATATAAAAGTGATAGCTTTAAGGAGCTCATGTCGCAAAAAAAGGCGGCGTCGGTGGCGATGGCAGACGGGAAAATCCTGATTGGTCGATAGGGTCATGAGGTCACAGCCATATGACCTCGCGCGGGAATTTCATACAACGCTTCCATGAAAGGTGACGTCGCGCGTGGAATGAAAGTGAATAAAACATGACATGTAATGCGAATTAAAGGTCACTCATGTCTCAAATGATTTCACTTTATGAAGTAATTCATTTGTTTTAAAGCCCGACGCGCAAAAATAAATTCTTCCTGGCAGAAGATTTCTCTCCTTTCCTTCGTTTCCCCATGAATTTCCTTCTCACTTCTTTACGTCCTTCTCGCATGCTAAGTGCTGAAGCGGCTTATAACCCCCCAAACCTGAACAAAAGGGGTTTGTCGGACCAGTCCTATCTCCAATCGTGTGATTAGGCTTCCGTCCATACACGCGCGCAGGGTCGGGTGATAAAAGGGAGGCGGTTGATTGGTCCGGTGAGCGCATAACTCCCACAGCACTGTCAACCTAAACATTTAATAAAGGTTTTTTCGGTTTTTTTATAGGGCTTGCTGCGTTGAGTTTTTATGCCCGTTTTCACCTCAAGAAAAAAGCAAGCTTCGCACATTGTTCATACGCGGCGCGAAGTAGTTCTTCAGACTTCAGTTTCCCTGCCACACCCGGGATGCATCCGGGCCACCGGACCCGTATTCAGGCTAGACTAAAGTGACTAAACGAAGCACGGAAGTTCACTCAATCGCTAAAGCAGGAGGGCAAAATACATACAGAACACCAACTGAACCGACCGACACCCCAAAAAGGGGGCCGTTCAGTTTCTTCGCAATTAAATGTTCAAAGGTTCGGTTACGCCCCGCAAAGGGGGCGTAACCACGTGAAAAAAGATAGGCGTATGACTGGTCCTACGAGCACATAGCACCCGGGGCACTGTTGATACTTCAACTCCGAGGGTCAAAGTGAAGAGCGGCGTCAAGGAGGGGTAAGTGGGGAGGAAAGAACGAAAACAAAAAAAAACGATTTCTCCAAAAAAAGTTGATTTTGAAGAATGTCATATTTACATCCACCAACATCTAGAGTGTATTCCCAGAAAGGTTGATGCTAGAGAAAAGGTACAGGTTGGAGCACTTTGAACGCACTTTTCTCCATTCCACTTTCTGGCATAAATTTCACTTTAGGAAAACTATAATTTTGTTATTGCATAATTTGGATTCATTTTTATAGGTTTTTCTGGAATGAAATTTTAAGTGGAAGATAGCTAAAAGCTTGTATTTTTTTTTTAATTTTTTCATGTTTCATGCTCAAGAACTAAAATTTTGTATAAAGAATGGAAATCTAAAAAACAGTATTTGTGTTTATGTGACTTTTTGTCACGAAAGATGGTATAATATAGAAATATAGCTCCAGAGCTATCTGCTTTGAACTGTCCTAAAGCAATATAAGACATGAAAACAACAAATTTATAAGTAACTTCAAAACAATAGTTTTTCTATGCAAACACGCCCACTTTCATCTTTGAACATTTGCAATTTTTTTTTTATACTTTACCCAGGTTATTAACAAAATTTGGCAGAAATGTTCTCAACATCAACAGAAATAAGCTCTTTAAATGTTATTTAAATTAGTCAAGTGGTTCAAACATTCCCTTTTCTTAGTAGAGCCCCCCCCCCCCTTAAAGGAGAAGCTGAAAGGGATGCTAACCGAAATCTGGATTCCACAAAACACGGCGGCAGAAGCACGCAACGCTACAAACTCGTACAGCGACATCTTGAACGGATGACCATATTTTTCTAAAAAAAAAAAGGAGGCGCATTTGAGAGGAAACAGCCTCGCGTCTTCTCCGTCTCGCCCGCTTGAGGTGGCGAAGCGGAGAGGAGGAAACGAGATATGTTTACGTCACGCGCCTCGTCAACCTTGTTCAACCACGACCTCTTTTTAAAAAAATACAGCCGTCAATTTGAGATGTTGCCTTATGGTTGATGTTGTAGGGATTCTAGTGTCCCGCCTACAGCTCCTGCATTGTTTTCTGAAGTCCAAATTTCGGTTTACCGTCCCTTTAAGCCTCCACCTGCAAATTTTTTCTAATCAAATATTGAATAGTTTCTCTACCGCACCATGCCTGAACGAAAGCCCAGATGAATTCGTGAAGGTTGTTCTCAAAAGTGCACTTGTCCATTTCTAAATTAATTTTAATCTAAATCTATTTATAAACTGTGACCTCAGAAAATTCAGTGCCTATACATTGGGATGGCAAGTAAGAACACATTTGACATAAAATTAAACTTTTAGGGATGGCCAGATATATCATATCGAGGGGATTTATAAATATGCGGAGAGCAAGTCGTCTGCTTGTTGCGCAGAGGTTGCGGCAATGTCAGAACGACGCTGAGTTCTGATTAAGTTTGATTGGAAGGATAGTGGGTAGACCTCAATGCTAAATGCCTTGAGGTCTACCCACTATTTCTTTTTCAATCGGCCAATAGGAGCTTGGCGTTGTGACATCTTTGCAACCCCTGAGCAAGAAGCAGACGAACTTGCACTCCGCATTCTTGCTATATGCAAATATCTTTTATATAATCACAAATGATTAATGCAGGTTGTCAGGACGTCTCTGCCTAACATATACTCACGCATAATAGCCAGTTTAATTTTAAACATATTACTACAATGTAGATATTAACAATCATTAAATTTCCGTTCTTTCCTAATATGCCTGGCACATGCGAGCGCCATCCCCTTTTAAAAGAGTGCTTTTTTCCCAAGTTTGCGGCTGCAATATTTGTATTTTTCTAAGCGTTGATTGCGGCAGATTCGCCCCATTGAGTGTGCTTCTCGCAAGCACCGGTGCACTGCAAAGAACCAACACCTGTAGAAGCGAGCTCCGCGGGTGTTGCTTGTCCAAATATTCGCACAATCCTACTGAATGTGTATACATCGCGGTAGAACATTTCTAAATATTGTTCCACTTTTCTGCTGAGTACAGCAGCACTGTGGAAATTCATACTCGACTGTTAATGGGACAGTGTGCAGTTTTCGGCACTCAAATATTGTTGCAGATCAGAAAAGCTCCATTGACTTCTACTTGAAAACCATTGAGCTAGCAATAGGTTTGATTAAAACTAGGAAAAAGGGAGAACCATATAACAAGAGGTTAGCCTACTGGACAAGTTTTTTAAGTTTGTACATGTTTAACATACACATGTATCAAACATGTATGTTTTCTCACAGTCTGCATATGGTAACGTAGGAATCAAATAAATGAATAAATAAATACCATAAAGCCTGACCCGTAGAGGGGCCATCTTTTTTATTCCACTGGCTTTGCCAATTTCTGTTTAATTTTGCTTTATATGTATATTTCCTGCATGATAACATAGGAGACGTTTGCTCGTAGAAGAGACTTTGTAAAGTGATTCAGAAGCACTTGCAGGTATTGAGATCACCATAAAACTCAAATGATATAAACTGATAGTACTTACCCAACTCCACCTTTGTTGCTGCTATCTTCTCCATTCTTAAACAACTCTTGCAGGTCTGAAATGTATTAAAGTGGCGATGTGGGCCAGTTGGTTCATGACTGAAGAACATAACCCACAGTATGCAAACCACAAAGACCAAAGTCTGTGTTATGCACATGTCAGGTAGCACTTGTCCTGTCTACTTCTACTACTTTGGCCTTCCTGTTTTAACGTGAAACATTCTTTGGCTAGGTGTTTGGCATTTCGTGAAACCCAGAGAGAAGCATGGCCACGAGGCTTGGCACCGACTGGTTGATGGGAGGGAGAGGGGGAGTGAGGTGCTTGACGCTGATTGGTTTATTGGAGAGATCACGCGAGGAGGAGCTCGACCACTTGTGTGCACTGAGGGAGAGGAGCTCCACCAGAGTATGGAAGGCTCCGGAAGATCACCAGGTTTATCAGCCCGACTAGCGGTAGTATCGCTTCATTCTAGGAACAACTATCAAGTGTACACATGGTATGCTTTAAACTATCTGATGAAGAGTGCCGTGGGTGTATCAACTAAACGCTTGCGATGCTAAAATGTTTCACGTATGCGACACAATAGGCCTCTTGCGTTGCCCAGGAGGCGCTGCGAAAAGGGACCTGTTAGGACTTACTTTAGGTTGTACAAACTTGAGCGTCTCAAACTGCCACACATAAAAGGGTGCCTGCTCTGGTGTGAAATGCGAGATCGCGAGGAGTATACCCCAGAAAATATGGCAATTGGACAAGACCGTGAGCTGTTTGTCGGACTTGCCTTGGACTTCTCTGGTTTGGAGCTCCTTGGTGGCAGACTCGATCAGCTTGGTCACCTGCTCCAGCTGCCGATCGATGGACCTCGACCTCACCGCCGAGGTGCCTGCGCCACCCTGGGGTTTTTCGGGTGCATCCGGTTGTTTCGGCTTTTCGCAGAGGTCCAGCTGGGCCGTCATTTGCATCAGCTCCAAAGGTGTGATCTGCAGCAGGGTGGAAAGGGACGATTCAACGGCACACTTTCTCATCTCATGATAACATTTGGTCACAGTAAGTGCAGAAAACGTTTCGAAACTAAGCAAAGGACCCACCCAAGACACTTCCTACCTAGCTAAACCAGACGCACCTCGTCAGCTGCTGCTTCGAGCGCACTGGTGTAAAGCAGAGAAGCCCACCTTATCATGTGCCCCTTTTGCACTTTCACTCTTGGACCTAGCAAGCACTCGTCGTCCAGTTGTTCAAGATGATCACTAAATTTAGAGTGGGTGCTTGCTCGGCATGTTACAGCACATCTGGGACTTAATGGCCAACTATGGTCAAAAATGAAACCAAAATGAATGACTGGTATCACTTTTGTGGCACGAAATACGATCACAGCCGAAATATTACGTCAAAATAAAGCTGCATACTCCACTGAAACAGATTTTAAAGATGCGACTCGCTGCTTTTTAGCGGGCGGCAAGCAGGTTAGCTTTTAGTCGAGGAACAATGGCGCAGCACCCCCGTGACATCACGTTGCACTGGAGCTACGGTCGATTGGTTGTACCGCAGCACCCTTGCGACGTCACCTCTAGCAGGTAGTTTCGGTTTTGACGTAGACGCCCGAAATCAAACTGAGACGCAATATTTATAAAACTATGCACAATCTTGAGAAAAAAAAGTTATACCTTGTAATTCAGGGACACTGCTTTAGCTGAAAACAGTCGTACATATAATCCCAAATTCAAATATACGCCTCGCAAGTGGGCTTATTTTCCTCTTCTGCGCATGAGAAAGGAAATAGTGGTGACGTCAGAACGCCAAGCCCTGATTGGCTGATGCGACCCTCTATCTCAGCGTCGTCTGCTCCTTTGCAACGTCGTCTGCGTCTGTCTTACACCTTTCCCGCGACTTTCGGAAGTGCAGGTTTTTACGAGCGAGCACGACTTCGCCTTTCAGAGAGGGCAGACGAAATAACTCGAGCGGTACGTTGTTTTTGTCTAACAACTAGCAGACGCGCATCAAGGAGCGAAGTCAAAGGACTCACTGGCGAGGTGTCCCGAGGCGCCGAGGTTTGTTTGCTAAGAACCGAGAGGTGAGCGTGTTAGTGTCCGCAAGTTCCCTCCTAAATACTTTTTCCCTCCTTTCATGTGCGGCGAGACCCCTCATTCTTCAACGGCGTCGGCGGGTTGGCGCAGTTAACGTCGTCTGCTTTACGTCTGGTAGTCAAAGCGATGGCTGCTTTACCTTTCCTGCGTCTGTCGGAGATTCACCGCTTTTTTACCGGCGGGAGTCACCATTGCCTCGGGAAACAAGGAGATGACAAGAGGAAGAAAATGACCTCTTAATCTAAAATTGAGGTCAGCAATCAAAGTATAATACGGGAAGGGTTCGCAGGGGTTGCGCGGGCGTTTTCCATTCAGCACGCCAGCCAATCGTGGGCAGACGGTCGCCGAGTCGGAGTGCCTGCTAGGCCTATCTGCCGTGCTCGCTTGGTTGTTGTCGGTGGAACCGTGGCCGTTGGAGCTTTTCCCGGGTGTTTGTGGATCCAGCGTTGTTGTTCGTCGTGGTCTGTTTCAAGTACTTTTTTACTTTTTTCTTGCTGCTTGAAGTCGGGACGCGTGAGAAGCGCACGTAGAAAAATAAACGTCCGTTGGTCGTCGCGACCGCAACGCTGTCGGCCATGCTGATTTGATCGTAAGAAGTGCGTAAGACAGCTTCGGAGCTGTCGTAGAATTTCGTCGTAACCTGCGCAGAACTTACGAAAATTTCGTTTCGTGAATACGAATTTGTTTTGTTAAGTTTTGTCTTACGCACATTTTTGGCGCAAGATTGTTTCGTGAATCTGGCCTCTGCACTTCCGAAAGTCGCAGGAAAGGTAAGACAGACGCAGAAGACGTTGCGAGCAGACGACGCTCAGATAGGGGCTCGCGATCAGCCAATCAAGGCTCGGCGTTCTGACGTCACCGCTACCTCCTGCGCAAGAAGCAGACGAACTTGCCCTCCGCATTGCCTGGACTCGCCCTTTAACTGAACTATGCTGAAAAGTTTGGTATTGTCACTCTCTCTTCATTACACAGAAGCTAAGACTAATCTGTGTATATTAACAGTACAAAATTAGATCACCCTCATCTTTATAATTATCATTTATTGTTCCATTAGAGGACGATAAATCGAAATTTATGTTTTACTCTATAGTCCCGGCAGATTTGTTTCTTTTGGGGTTGTTGCGAATATTATACATGGCTGTGGTCAGTGGTGAAGGCAGTGGGGGGGAGCGGCCCCCCAAACAAAGTCGACCCCCCTCCCTCCCCCCTTCTCGGAGGGCAATTTGACATGGGTGGACCCCCCTGCACAAGAAAGAATGGGAGAATAGTATCCTCAAAAATTTTCCGCCCCCCCCCTCCCCCCCCCCCCCCCTCTCCTCCCTCCCCTCCCCCGCCCCCCCAAAGCAGAGTTCTGGATCTGCCACTGCCCCACCCCCTCCCACCCCAAATCTAGCTGACCCTATATTATGCACATGCATTTTGCACCCCCCCAGCCCCGAGTCATGGACATCCAAGGCATTTCAGCCCGGCCCTCCCCCACTACAAAAAATATTCCTGGCTATGGCACAGGCTGTTGGCATACATGAAGAGCTGTTCAGGAGGTCTAGCTGTGGCTTTTGCTCTTACTTCTCCTTTCATGTTTGTGCTGGAAGGCTTCAAGCATGAAGTATCTTGCGACTTGATGAACTCCTTCGCCGCTTGGAAAGTCACCAATGTGTAGCTGCGAAAAATGTAAAAGGCTTAATTCGTGACACACTTTATTTATCAAAGTAATGATCAACAGATTGGAGCACCGTATGATTAGATATTGCAGTGCTATAGTGCTGAGATGCACGTCCACTGACCCCATTCATATTCAAACCGCCCTTGGTCTTGACGTTTGGATGTTGACGTACCCAGTCGCGAGACAATTAATAGATAATCACTGACTGCTTTGTGATCCATCAATGTTCCCCAAAACCGAGGGAAAAGATTCAATGCTAAAACCCCTCTAAAACAGTTTACAACCTCTGCATTCAGCTAGTATACAGGATATTTTTTTAGGCTTTACAGATTTGTTTTAAAGCCATGAAAGCTACACTAATGCACCCCGTGCAGGCGAGTTATATGGCCAGGGGGACATAATAGCGAGGGCTAATCATGACGATAAGCCGGCCAAATAACTTAAATATGTTAATTAATGTTTTAATTTGCGAGAATAAACATATGGTTCCAATAAGAAACTTGCTGAGCGTCATAGAAAACCACAAAACCAGTCAATGTTAGAAAGACTTGGAGCACTTGGGCAGCACAGTGGAGCGCTAAAATTACCACCAGTGCAGCACGCACGAGGCAACTGGTGCAATAACGCGCCCAGGCAGTTTTTTCATCTATCCGTGTTTTGTAACCGCCAGCCTTGTGCCTATTGCACGAGGAAAGTTTCTAATTGAGACCATACGTTTATCTTTAGTAATTGAAAAGTTAATTACCAAACTTTAGTTAATTATTCAACTTACTGTGACAATTAGCCCTCTATTTAATGTCTCCCTCGCCATACAACTCACCTGCACAGACCGCGTTAGTGTTGCTTTCACAGCTTTCTTAAAACAAATCTGTAGCCTAAAAGAAAAACACCCTGTACAATGTTCAACGAAACTGCAAATTTTAACCTCACTGGGCTGAAATTGTGCCTCCCGCCAAAAAAAACATTCAAGGTAATCTCTGGCTCTGAAGGTACTAAGACAAAATAAATAATTAAATTTCCAGTTAAAAAGTCAATGAGTCGCATGCCCCTGCTTTCTTGAAAGTTTGAGCTGAGCTTGTTTCGTCCCACTGTGCCACTCACGTGTTCCCCGTGGTTTCTGTGTTTATATTACAACGTGTCGTACTATACGCTGAGCAATGTAAACTGGTGATAGGGCCAAGTCAGGCAGAACCCATCTGCCTTTTGCCTTGTCATCCGAGACCTTGTGTCTGAATAAAACCAATTCAATAAGCAGTCTTTACACGTTACTTGCAAAAAAAGTAATTGATTACAATGACAATGACTCTCGGTTAAAAAGTGTTCAATTAGATTACCTGAAAAGAAAAGTGCTGAGTCGTTACTTCGGAAAGTAGTCGTTACTTTTCAGGTTACTCGATTTTCATAACGACATATTTGCCTGCCCGTTTGAAAACTGCTCTATTGTACAGTCCATTTCTGGATCAGAACTACCAAACTCTTTATCTTCTTAATCCACCAATTCTGATAAGCCATCCTCCTGTCCGAGACCTGGTTCGAGGATTTCTCGGTAGGAAACTTGTACAAACAAAGGGCACCATTAGGAGGGGGAGAGAAAGATGGAAACGGTCACGAGCAATCTTTAGTACCTCCAAAAGTAGTTGGATTACTCTCGCGATAATTTCTAATAAATGTATTCGAACGATTAAAAAAATTGATCCAAAAAGTAATCGATTACAAGTATTTTGATTCTACTTGCAACGAGTACCGTCTGGTTCTAAGGTCCAGAAGGAAGAGGCATTACCCAAGCATGTCCTTGTCAGGGAGGTGCCAGCTGAAGTTCTGGATGTAGTACAGGTTGCTCTCGAGATGTGGCAGCTTACACTTGACGATCAGGCAGACCAGGATCGGGATCAGGTCGTCAGAGGTCAGATGCAGCTGCTCTGCACGGGTTGCCCCAGGAGGCATAGTTAGGACTCGTTGGGCTGGCGAGTCTGGCAAGTGACATCCTCCAGAGGAAGAACACCGCCTCATTTCTGCTATTACAACCCAAAAAAAGCTTCCAGAGTCAACGATGGCAACGAAATGGTCGCGCAAGGAAATTTCATTGTGTGTGACAACTATGTTTTAACCTTACCCTGTCACTGAACAGATAGTATAAAGAATTAAAATGCTCTCAAGGCACAGTAATTCAATTCACTGGCCTAATAACATATATAAGCAGGGTTTCGTGTTTTAAAACTGAAAGCTACAAACTCGTACATTTCCGTGGACAGCTGAAATCAAACACTTTGTTCCGTGCAGCAGATGGAGTGGTGGAATAGGATGGGAAGGTAACGAGCTTCCCAGCAACTACGTCCAGGGGTTTACAGATTCTAAAGTACCAACATCAATTGAAACAACAGTGTTTTTGTTTTTCAAAGTTTTATTGTGGGACAGTAATACCAATGGCAAGGGGACCAACACGAAATCCAACTGAAGAAATATAATTTGGTACAAGCGAGTTCTCATGAACTTATTAGTACACTTTTATGTCCGGATATTTTTCTTTTTGTCTCGAGTATTGAACAATTGGGAACATGGCAAAATTAAACTCAGAATTTCCGAAAATTTAAAATCAACCAAAAATAGACTTTGAAACACTTGAACGTAGGGAAAAAATAAACCCCGAAAAACACCCTCCGAATTTCAGAAAAAATAAACTCCAAAAACACAGAATCCCACATATAAGCCAGATCTGTGGGATCCTGCAATCTTAAGTGTCTCGAGAGGCCATTTTTCCCACGATGCCAGACAATTCCTTGGGAGTTTTAGGTTCAATGCGGGGAAAAGCATGGGCTCTAAAAAGTGGGGTGTGCAAGTGGAGTCAAGTTTTACCTTCCAAGTGTGAAAGCAAAAGCATTTAACGAATGAAAAGGGTGATATACCGTAATATCCCAAGAGAGAGCACACCAAAAAATGAGAGCAAACTGGGTGAAAATAAGCAGTGGGCTCAATTTCGATGTGCAATCGAGAAAAGTTGTAAAAAATGCAATTTCTTGGCCGTGTGTCTCTGCCAAACTTGTTATCACAACAAGGGGCAATAAATGAAAGAAGACTGTGCTCCCCAGTCAGCAATGTTCCCCTGCTAACTAGCAGCACCTATGCCGAAGCCATCAATGATCAGAACACTACGATTACTACTAAGAATAGGCTATCCTTTGGTGTTTAAAAAAAAATAGCAAATCGAGCCGAAAATAGGGGCGGGTTATCTTTCAGGGCTGGAGTATCTCTCGAGATATTACGGTAGGTATAAACAATAAAAACATCTGTCTTACCATGAGGGTTTTTCAACCGGGCAGTGTTATAGGGAGTCGATTCATAGATTTCCTCAGACATAACTTTCTGTAATGAGGAAATGGTGTGCCGCTCATTAAAACAAAAATACAAAGTGAAAAAGAAAAAAAAAAAACTGAAGACATGACTTGACAAAAAGAGGCTTACAGAAAACCAGCATGTCTGCATGTTAATGAATATAAAAAACAAAGCTACTTGATTGACGCTCAGGAATGTCCCGGTTGATCCGTGCAAATGTGATCGTCCAGCTCAATACAGTAGAACTTTGTTGATAAGTTCTTGGCTAGGAATACATTTTCCCAGCTCTTACTGCTCCTCAAGCACACCCATGGAGACAAGTGTAAAATTTCTAATTCAGATAAAAACACCTGGCATGCGGAGGCACCTGGGCTAGCTCAATGGGCTCAGAAATTTTGCTTCTCCTTATATGCTGATATTCTTTAGTCACAATCATAGATCGACCCCTAATTGTAAGTAGTAATTCGTCCAAAAACACAGACCTATATTTGAATAAATATAAGTCTAGAGTCCCCCAAAAACATTACTGTTAAGACCGGTTATAACGAAGTCGACAGACAGGAATCTGAAATCACTTCGCTATATCCGCTTCTTCGTCATATCCAAACTCCATAAAAACAATGCATAAAAAAAAAAATAAAAAAAAAACATGGGTTGTCACGGGTCACATTTATCGTGCCTGCAGAAGGCGGCCAAGGCTTCCCAGCACGCACTCTCTGCTAGATCGGAGCTGCTTCTAGCCAACTGCGAGAAGCTCCGACCGAAAGAAAACCTTGCGAGCTACGTATGGAACGCGCTCGGAGCCTCATCAACAGCCACCACGGAGGATGCCGGCGGTGGACGGCATTCATAACATCGATGCGCATTTCGGCAAGAATGGCGGCACACTTTTGTTTCAAGGTCTTTGCCTTCCCCGTCAAGGTGCCAGCGGTGCCGAGACTCGCCATCGTTGAGTGGCGATGAGTCGCCGAATCGGTGCTTGTTAGAAGCAAGACTTTCACGCAGAGAGCGACCACACTGACCAGCGACGCCGACACGAAATACGAAGTAGACAAAGCGCGCATGGCACCGGGTTTGTGCTCAAGTTCGTGTTTTGTCTGTATAGAGAGCCTAGATTTAAGAAGGGGGCAACCGCTCGATCGGGGTCACGAGGTTTGTGGGCCGCGTTTGCAAAATGAGCCGCAGCCTGCTAGGAGTCAAAAGCATTCACCGTCCGCAAACGTGACTGTCTGTCCGCCCAGTATCCTTGCCACGCTGGCCACGAGATGACCAAATGCAGGTGCATTTGAGCCCATCTGCCCAGGAGGCATCCAGCTTCAAATTGGAGTTGCTCCCTCTCTCAAATCTAGGTTCTTTCCGTCGTCTCCGCCGGTACGTCATAGGTATGTTGTTGCTAGCATTCCGAATGCCCCCCTCAGCACGCCGATGCGGAAATGCGAGATGCGGAAAAACTGCTCCCAAGATGAGGAGCGGGGAGCAGACAACGATTCAGAGCCTCAGCCTTTGCAGCACGTCTGCGGCTCGTTCTGTGCGGCCGCTCGACCACGGCAGCAAAGTGTAGCGGTCCACGACTCAATAAACTTCCCGAATTACATTATTTTTTTATATTATCGGAAAATTTCTCTTTGCTATATCCATAGGAGCCGCTAATTTCCTTCGCTAAAAACAGACACAAATACACTGAAAAGTGAAAGCAACAATGCGAGATCATGACCGCTTCTCTATAGCTGCTTTTTTGTTATAACTGAGTTAGTTATAAATAGGGTTCCATGTTTTCGGATAAATCTGAAAAAATCTGAAAAACACTTGCCAGTAAATTTTCCGTCAATTCGGATTTATCTGAAAAACGAATTTTGAGGTCCACAGCGACAAATAAACAGCAAAAAAGACGAAGTTTTACAACTAAACTTTATAAGAGCACAACGACAGTGGTCCTGAGGAGAGTCCACTTCTGTTTCTTTTGAATTTTGGAACTACTGACAAAAAGAGGTTTGCTTTTCAGCATGTGGAGGTTCCTTCGGACAATGTGTCATGGTACCCGAACCTTGTTTATTTTGTTTTCGAATTTTAAAATTTTATGCAGTAAAATAAACTCAGAATTTGAAAGAATTGGGAATCTAACAGACAAACTCCAATAAACCCCAAATCCCCAGCGAAAAATAAACTCTGAAAGACACCCTTTGAATTTCATGAGAAATAAACTCCTAAAACATGGAACCCTAGTTATAAACGGTCGGGACAATATCGGTGGTTATGCTTTTTAGGATCGTACAATTTTCTATTGCAGTCCCCCGAAATATGTATCGAGAAATTTCTAGCGAACTTAGCTGCTCCGAGAGCTTCAAAATAAAAAGCGACGACCCAGCTATCCCTAATTGCAGTATTGCTGAAGTACTTTCTTTTCAGCAATTGACCACAGTTTTGAACCTACTATACCAATCAGAACTTCCAGTAGACCCAAGAGCTCAACCGAGGAAGTTGCGAGAGTCACACTTGGCAATGCCTAGGACAAAGATCACGCTTTGTGTATTACCAGCACCCAAATTTCCGACTAACACAAATCAGCCTGTAACCACCATCCAATGGTAAAAAATTGGATGTGACTGCTGCATTACATAAATGGAGAGCATCAGTCCCTTAGAATTCATGAAATGGGTAAATTTGGTACCCCGCTCTCAGGTTGGTCACCCTAACTTACCAATGTTGTCTTCAAACACCAGAGCTTCTCCAGTGGGGTCAACTTGGAGTCCAGAGATGCCAGCTCCACAACCTTGAACAAGCAATTTCCCCGTCAAACCACACTCCTAAAGAGGCCTGACCAAACACACCTCAACATTATACGGAGCAGAGGAGTGTAATGCAACATTTTCGATGAGAAAAAAGGTCATTCCTTTTCATATGGGTATTTCAAACGCCAGCTATTTGGTGGATCATCATTTGCTAGTTTATTGTACCAGGTGAGTCTAAAAAAAGTTCATTTTACTTATCATGTAAACAAAGGCATTCCCGCTTTTACTTTTCCTTTGATCCTACAAAGCGAGCTAACATTTTTAATTAATATTAGCCTATTATACGCCCACATCAGCAAATATGCCAACCCTTTTCAATATGGTGACCCGACCAAACCACATCTCTGCAAATGAGAGGGAGGCACAATAAGTGAGAGGCATTGATCATGTGTGCCATCAAGCTCTGCCCTCACAGATGACATTCTCTTTAGAGGGTAAACAACACTTTGACTGCAAGTCCTTTGCTTGTTGTGGAGCCTCGAGTAGTTGTTAGTCAGCCAGGACGTGTATCCTTCGAGGTATTTCCCCTTCCCTTTCTCCAATTCCAAGTCCTCGTCCGTAAAGAGACAGACAGCACCAGAAAATAAAAGAAAGGACAGCCATTGTTACAACAAGCATACAACACTGCCGCAGCACCACAGCCGCCAGCCCCTGTTCAGAGCAGCCCTCAAATCCCAGCCTGGCATGGTTTTTGTCACTGTTTACCCACTGTAGGAGGAACAGGCAAATTTGCTCGCCATCCATAGATAAATACCGAAAGTGAATCCGCGTGTCGTCAGCCACAATCACCGGTCTACCAATTCGAAGTGCAATGGAGAGTCGAGGGGTTGAAAAGAGGCCTACATACCGCTCTCGGCACGGGACAGCAGAAGGCATCCCTGACCCCGAGCTGGTCCGGGCTGAAGCCTGCCCGGTGAAGCTGTTTTAGCTTGCACTCCAGGGCAGAGTCCTCCTCCAGGCAGAACTGCTTCACGGCTCCAAACACCCGCTTTTGAACAACGCCCAGGGTGTAGCTGCAGCCAGGGAAGGGGACAGACAGACCTTTGAAGTCAGACTGCAGGTGGTGTAGAAAACAGTCTGGGCAATCTAAAGCATTTACTCAAACATGCTGTACGAGTAAAAAGGCGACCAAGCTGTCATAGGCATTTACTTCTTACGGAGCATGAATGCAGCCAACTGTCGCAATCTGCAAAAGCAGCCATATGAAAAACGAGACCTTGAAAGTGTTTACCTGAAAAAAAGTGTTGCAGCGCACATATGACGCCAAGCGTAACGTTTGCATGCTGCAGAGGTTATAAAAATGCTGCCAATTACCAAGTTCGCAAAGATGCATTGCCAACACCTCAAGATGAGGACGGGACAAAATGGAAACACTGTGTCTGCTTTGTGCTCTACTATGTGCGTCGGTCTTGAGAATTGGCAACAAGCGCAGTTTCAATTAAAAACATTTGAATGGTCTTGGGTAACAAACCTTTCTAAGGCCAACATAATTTTTTGCAGCGTAGCATCTTGACTCCCGAATGGTGGTGACTGAAGTCTTGCGATAGCCTAAAAGTAGTAAAGAAAAACACAAGCCTGCATATCTGAGCCAAATTTTCTTGTCTACAAACATTTCCTCTAAGCTATATTTTCCTTCTTGTACAATTCCTCAAAATTTCTCAAAGATTGCTGACAAGATGGCATCTCATTGCAGTAATCAATTCTGTGCAACTGCCTACTATAAATGCAGTTTTCCTGAGGTACCCTACATGATAAAACGGTCTTCCACTAGAATCTTGAAAAAAAACAAATGTTGACTCCTATTTACAAGCACATTCAAAAAGGGCCACAAGGTATTTAGCTTTCAATAAGTTCACAAGCCATGTACCACAATTTGTATTTTCTGTAGAATTACTACCATTTTTTTAACTTCTGAGCATTGTTTACACATAAGTGCCCACCGCCTACTCTTGAAACATAAGCAAAGGACATATCAAGCTCAGTGGGCCCAGCAGACTTCTGAGCCCATTGAGTTAAGCAATATGCTTCTCCACATCAGCTGTTTCTCCGAGTGGTGCAAAGTGGTGAAGCTTTATGAGTGCAAACCGGTGCAAAGTGGTGAAACTTGACACAAAAGCGCAGGCTTAACACGACCGACGTGGGTGCTTTAAAGATTGGCGGTTCTGTGGCCTCTATACCACTTATTTATACCTTTCCATCGAACCAAGCAAGGGCCCTCCCTTCCCTATCCCTCCGCTTTTCTGCTCTCAAACCTAGCAAGCATCCATCTTCATTTTTTCGCGATTATCTCGATTCTTGGGTGGGAGCTTGCTCAATATTGCACATTAATCCACAACAAACCACCTCGGCAGACTTTCGGACGTTCAACTAGCTTTCATGCAGTGAAACCAGGTTGCACAAAAGATATTTTTAACTTTCGGATATGAAAATAGGATGGAATGAAAACAGGCGCCACTACACGATGATCCCAATCCCTCGAATTGCCCGTCGATCCGGGAACCATAGGCCCAGTGGATAGGCATCTGAAGACTGACCTGGCCAGCCCATGACACAATGTCATTAAGCTTCTGAGCCGTATCATGAAGATATTCGGGCAATATCATGTAGTTGACGCAGAAGTCTTCTAGCTTCTTGTCCAGCTTTTTGAGTACCGGTGCATACTGGGAAAAGCTTTGGAGAAACGTCAGGCACCTACAAGAAGAAAGAAGCCAGCTTTTAAAAATTTCCCAAGAACCTCACTGACAAACTCAGTTTCATGTACAAGAACTATAGCACGAGACACCACAGAAACATATGTATTATACAAATGTCAGAAACATATATTTCTAAGGTACCACAGTAATTAAATTCTTGCGCTCTACAGCTATTAAAGGGGCACTGACACCCCAAAGGTCGTATTTTTTTTTATTGTCTAAAACGATGCAAGTTGCAGTTATAGACACGCAAAAAAAAAAACGCATTGCGAAAAAAATTTTGTTGCACGCGCGCGCGCCTTTTTATTTTTGCTGTGCGATTCTCCCGCTCCTCGCCTCCTCGCTTCTTTTGATTCGTGATGTCAAGAATCATGAAATTTAGAAGCTTTGTAGGCGACATCTCTATAACATTTAATAACGGCAATCCTAAAACATGTTTTTTAACGCAATTGCGAACGCACTACGGCCCTTCTTTTTGAAATACCAAAAATCGGGGGTTCGTTGTGGTGCCGTCTCCTGGACTTGTATCCTTCCACGGAAAACAGGCGACACCGCTCAAAACCGGTCCGCCAGCGCTCGCTCCTTTCCTCCTCGCTTTGGGTCGCCATGGCAACAGCAAGGAGTCGTGAAAGAAAGTGGACTCTCATGACTCTGCAATATTTGACTTCAATGCACCGGCGCGGATCGCGCAGGAATTTTGAATTTGGAAATTGTTTTTTTACTTCACAAATACTGAATTCCCAAATTTCAAATTTTGAGGGTAATGTCCCGGCATTGTTTTCAATCGTTTCGGATAATAAAAAAAAAAAATATGATTTTGATGTGTCAGTGCCTTTTTAAATAGAACGAAGGTAATTAATTTGCACAGAGTACAACAGAGGTAACCAAAACTTTTAACTACTATCAAAACTGCCTACTAGCATGGTTTTGAGGAAAAACTAGAATGGCAAACGCTAGTGCTCAACGTCGTATGATTGTCCGTGCACTGTACCGTCGCAGCCACCATGAATGTGAACAAGTAACAGCGTGTCATGTAGTCTCAAACCTATCCAACAAACGCCATGATAGTTGCCTATGAAAGTAGCAGACAACGAAAACAAAACAAGCATAGAAGTAGCTACACAAGCTCTTGCCCTGCTCGTGAGGCGGACATAGCGTAGTGGGCATCACTTTGCACTCGCCACCTTCCTATAAGTAACTAAAATAATACTTTTCACTAAATTTAAAACTGTCCCACCCAATTCAGTGCCAGAGTCTACCGATTGTATGTAAACATGAACTGATCAATTTTGTAAAAGAGTGCGACAAGTTGCAGTTTACTTCATGGATTGTGGTGAATACGTAGTAAATCACACCACCACACAATAGGTGCTTAGTATTGTACACGAAGGGCAAGAACTCTTACTCTTTGCATGACAGACATGTCTCAGCATCAACTGAAGCCAGGGGCTCGTTCTTCACCTACGACAAAAGACAGACACTAAACTTGAACTCATCCTTGCAAAAGATGAAGCCAGATACCCCAAAACTGCCATACCATATTTTTAGTAATCTGATCTAAAGCCTTTTACTAACAGAAACAAAGTTGCCGACCTGAGGAGATCCTGGTCGATCACCTTCCAAGGGCCTGCTTATTGTGAGCAACCTGTAGGGCTTGAAGTCCTGAAAAAAAGAATAAATGGTATTTGCAACAACACACTATATAAGTAAATTAGAATGACTCTCCAATCAGTTACCTTGTTATAACTGAGTTCCTCTCCTATGACCTTTGCTTCAACCTCTGTGGGAAAGCCTAAACACCAAAGAGGTCCGTGAGGCCATCAATCCACAAACACAACAGTTGCTAATGCACCGCCATTAACAAAGATTACTGTAACCACCCTGTACAGCCGCAATCAAACTTAACGGGGAACACTGGTCTTAGAGATTTGTTATTATTTTACGACCAAACCCAATGAAACTGCACAAGCTTATTAAACTTTTTGTGCTGATTTCCAATATCTGGTCATTTTCTCAGTCAGTAGAATTGTCCACGACATAATTAAAACTCACCTTCCTTTGTTTGGAGGAACACAGGGAAAAAACTACTCAACATAATATCCTCTTTAACATATGGCTAGATACTGCAGAGTGTAAAGAATAAAATGTTGGAAGCACTTTTAAGATCAACCCATTATTAGTGATTTTATCACACATAGAAGTTTAGAGCACAATGTGTGGCTAACAAGTATTATAAAGAGATGAATTTAAGATATTTCTTAGACCTATATTAAAAAATATGCTCTCAACATTGTATGCTTCAGACATTTAACTGCATGTTTTAGGAAAAGTTATATTTCTATCTGTCCTAGATGTAAGAAATCCCTGCTGCAAATTTTCAAAAAGTCCAAAAATTGTGTTTTGTAAAAACAGTGTTTCAGAGTCGACTTCAATGCACATTCAGCCTGCATAGAGGTTATAAGTCGATTTATAGCTCAAATATTTTTCCACAAAATTATAAACCTGGTAGATTCAGGACAGCAACAGCTGTAGAGGCGAACTTCACATTTTTCAAAAGAATGAAGTTTTAGGAATTTTTCGCCTCCAAGTATAATGTATGTATAATGGCAGCACATTTCTTCCCATGAGGTGCAAGTCTCGTGTGAGCTGATCCTACCAATTCATTATCTAATTGACAAAATTTGCCGTGCCCCACTTTTGTCACCTGCTGTTACAGCATGCTCACACGCTTAATTTTACGTTGTCAAGCACCCAATCTTTTGGCCGACAATTTTAATAAAAGGCAGCCCATAGAATTTAAAAAGGATTGTCAGTTACTTTCAAACAAAGTTTGATAATGAATGAAATGCCATCGTTCAGCAGATTTTCTATGTTTCTGTCGAGACTCACAATGTTACTGGATTATAGAAGTACTTTTGAATTGTGTGCAATTTGTTTAACTCTTTAATCCTACTAGCATTCCGCAACCCGGGCCTTGGCTGCGGTTCACTGTGAAGATCCTTTCTAGGCATTAACGTTTCGCTACCCGAGCCTTTTTTGTGCGAAGTTCGAAAAAGCATCCTGCATTCTCTTCTGCACCATGGTAAGAGCTGATGACATAGTATCAGAGCAGAATATATGGCACAGCTATACCTCGAAAGCACATTGATGTGTGCTATTGGTTGGCGACACCGGTGACATGCTAACCAATGAATGGCTGGCCGTTGTACGGAGGACAAATTTCTTAAGTGTCTAGCTTCATTAGAATGCATTTGATACATTAGGAACAAATATAATATGCAGCTGTCACTTTAGCACATACCAGAGCAGCGAGCAACAAAACACTAAAGACACAGATGTTATGAGCTCCTCATTTTTATGCAAATGATAAATACAAATCTAGCTATGACAGTGCTCTTGGCATATCTAGTATCTTGAAACCAAAATTTGCATGAATTCACAACTCACCTGACACCGCTCTGATGTGACTTCCATCAAATTCCAAACTTTTTTTGAGATCGTAACCACCACATGTGTACTGACTGCAAAATGAGAATGTGTGGAACATTTACTCATCAGAGCAACAAATTGGGACCATTCCAACCTACCAATATGCATGGGGCACTGAAACCATGCACACATTATTGGAGTGCTCACCTTTTAAAAAATGGAGATGGTCTCAGGATATGAGTATCTAGTACGACAACAAAACATGCAAGATTAGTGTGCTAGTTGGGAAAGGTATGACTACACTTGGCAGGCACGTGTAAGTATGCAATTCTCTCCTACGCTGCACGGGTCGTCATAGAATCGCATAAAATGGCTACATGTAATACGCATACTCCAATCTCACATAGCCACTTAATTAAAGCAGTAAAACAAAGTTGACATACCAACAAATTTGCTTGTGATTTTTATGCCTTTCAAAGAGTCTGCATGTGGGACACACACCAGCCAACAGTTTTCTTGTGCCTCGTCGAATTTGGATCTGTAAGTTGTCTGAAAAAAACCAAGTCAGAATTTTTTTTTTCATTACTTTGTTGTCAATTAATGACCTCAGCTGACCAACAAGCTTAAAACCATATCTTAGCTATATCAAGACTCAGTCAGAAACAGATTCCACTAAACATTTAAAAGAAAAGCAACATGCAGTAGGATTTCACTTTTAAAAAATGCAAGATGTCAAGGGTTTTTTTAGTGGATAATTAATTATTGTTATTTTATTTATGAAAATGGCAAGGAAATGGGCAGACATTACAGTGCAGTTTGAACTTATGGAGCACTACAGTACTGTAGCAGGTTTTCTTTTCTATATAAATTAGTGAATAACCAGAAATAAGCTCTGAGCAGGCAATCATCAAAAGGAAAATTAGGTATGCATAACTTAATTACCAGCTGCAGAGTTTGCTTCTCTGCATACCCATGAATTATCGTTGTTATCTGATGTCCTGGTGGTGCTCATATATGCAAAAACATATGTGACAGAATGTGCTGATAAATGTCAGTCTTTGAGAATGAATATGTGACCTGCAAGAGTCTGGAACTCAAGAATGTGTACTGACACGGTGTAATAGCCTAACTGCCTCAAATAAAAAGGTGGTCATTATTTTTTACCTGCAGTGCACTCTGCTCATGACTAAGAGGGAACCCTCAATTTCTCTAATATGCTTTGCATCAAGATAAGATTTGAGGATCTTGGCGAATTTATAATCCCATAAGGAGAACCATACTGCCCATCATAAAATAATATCAGTGTGAAATTCAGCTTAAAAGGATAGAAAGTTGGGTGAGTTAGTACAACAACATAATAGAAAAAAAGTGTCAAAAGACAACAAACGGAGAACAGGAGCTGACAGGACACGGTGCCACGTCCTATCAGTTAATGTTCTTCGTCCGTTGTCTCATCGTGCTGTTTCTCCATTATCTGAAATTCAACTCAGTCACATTATGAATACCGTTACAACATTGCAAGTTGTAAGCATCAACAGCGTTCTGGCCCTGCTAAGGACGTCCTGTCAACATCTGTAAATTAATCACATATGTGTTCCTTGATAAAGTTTATTTTCAATTAAAAAGTCTTCTTTAATAGTCTGTGAATTTCTCTTTTCACCATTGTGGGTAATATAAGAAAAATTATGCCCCACCAAGTTTTTCTTTGCTTGTATATTCTGGGCTACAGATAAAATAACTAAATACCAATAGTACGGCTCCTCCCTTCTAAGGCCATTTGCTTCCCCTCTGCAATTTTGTAACTATCATCAGGCAGTGTAGGACATCACCAGGCTGACCTTTGGATTATTGGACAAACAAACTAAGAACATCACCCCCTGCCTCTTCCCCCCGGCGAGGGAGTCGCCAATTTTCCTCTGGTCAGACCTTTTCGGCGTCACCCCAGCACCGGGCCTACTGGGAGACAGGGTTGAGACTTTGGGCTGGAGCTGTGCGGGAGGGAGTCCCAATTTTTCACTGTCTTGCCCATCCCCAGTTGTGTTAGTTGTACGTCATTCAATTCTCCCTAGATACTTCTCACCAGACTTATAATCTCCTCTTCGTTATTAAAATGCACTTATCATACATTCTCATCTGCAAATCCCAGGGCCCCAGCTAGATCCGTCGCTCCCTACGGGAGGGCGGGAGCAAGCCCTATGCACTAGATGTAAGAAATCCCTGCTGCAAATTTTCAGTTTTCGGTTTGACCATTTAGTGTTCAGACTTTTCATGTATAGATGCTTATATACCTTTCTCGTCCATCGCGTATCTTCAATTGTGTCTAGCCTTTGTTCAAATTTCAACTTGCTGGTCAGCTCTCTGGCCTTGAAAGATGCCCAGCCCATGTCTCCCTACACTCCTTCATTTGATGTATTCCCATGCGCCCCCAGTGTCAGTCTACCCACGCTCCTCATTTCATGCATAATACCGCATTGCCGAAAAACAACCCTGGCACTAGGACTCCTTTCTATATTCCTCTAACAACTTCATATATATTGTAATTCCATAGTACACCATGCTTCATAATTTTTGCATCCCTTTTTCTTTTCTTAAGGATATTTTCTTCCGGTTCTTCTAAGTACTGTTTCCCCTAATTCACCCATACCCCCAAGTTATCTTTACTTCTCTATGTGTTCTATTAAAACATGTTGAATTTTCAGTGGGTCCCCCCTCTCATTGTTATAAACCATTATTCCTGACTTGTCGCTACTGAATTTCAGGCCCAGAGAGTCTCCTTCCCCTCCACACATCTTAATTAGCTCGTGTAGCCTATCATGGCTATCTGCTAACAGTACAATGTTGTCTGCATAGAACATTCCTGGTATAACTTGATTTACTTTTTTCTCTCTCTCCATACATGACACATCAACTTGCACTCTTCCAATTTCTCGTCTATTCTACTCAGGTATATTATAAAAAGCAGAGGCAATAGAGGACAGCCCTGCCCGCGCCCTTTTTTTATTTCTGCTTCCCAAGTTATAAGAACCTTATTATTTGTGTATACCGGTTGAAAAAGCCGAATCAAATGTACATCTAAATCCTACTCGCTGAGCTGTACCCAGAGTTTTTCCTGACTCACATTCTCGCACACTCCCTTAATGTCTAGAAATGCTACCCATAACAATTATTTTTTCTTCTCATCTGTGCCACCTCTATACATTGAGTGATGATGAATAAGTTATCATCCAATCTACTATCTCTTTCAAAACCCGTTCTGTAGCTACCTAAAATGTTTTCAGCCCATTCTTCGTTTTACTACATGCATACTCTGTGTTGTTCTTGTAAGCGCTGTAGGAGGGTTGGGGGCAAAAGTGAGAGCCAATCGTGTATGCGCGCTGGGCACATTTGGCACTGGTTCATCATAGTCTGTACAGACCGAAATTAATAACATAACTGGCAATGCCTTTTTTTTTTCTCTTCGCACATTAAACAAAAAAATTCGCAAATAAAGTAAATAGAAGCGAATGTGTACGACCCTCCCCCTTCTTGTAAGTCCATAATTTGTGGATAATTCTATATATAATTGCTGATAGGTTGTTTCCATTGTTTAAAGGATGATGAGACCGGCAGGGAGGTTTATCAGTTGCCCCGCCTCCAGACTAGTTCGGCGTCTTATGTGTGGAGCGTGCAGACAAAGCACGAGGAAAGGCAGCGAGCGTGTGCTAGAGGCCGAGCATCATGCTGTTGACTCCAGAAGCTCGGGTGACTCAGTGCGGCTGTCAACAACCCAATTCGTGCAGAGTGAAGGAAGGCTGCGAAGCTAGTCGACAGATACGCACCTGCAACAATCTGTAGAACGGGTTACAGTCCAAGTCATCAGCAGACATTGTCTCCTTGAGACTCTCATTCACTGACAAGGCTGGCAAATGCTCGTTCCTTGGCGACGACGACGCTCCCGTGAGAGCAAACGTGCCTAGCTGTCCGTGTCTAGTATATTGCGAGAACGGCCACCGGCGTGTGCGAACAACTTGACTCACAACGTCGAGACGAAGGCTACAGATAAGGCGACGAAGGACTACCTGAGAAGACGATTCGGGCAGCGACCATTAAGGACACGCAAGATTAGAAAACCGAGAAACTGAGAACCACCTACCCCACAAAGCTACCACCTCTTGCTTTCTGCTTCCCCGTGCTAGTGTTGCCAGCTCTAAAGCCCGTTCTTCTCTCGACAGATTTCAACCTTTCAACTTTCAAATAACGTAAACCCATTATGCGTGAAACATTTTAGACATTTTATATATAATTATCAGTTTATAAGGTTAAATTAATCTAGCCCCTGTACAATGCAACATATTAAAAAAAAAATGTGATAAACATCACGAATACTTTTAGTTTCGGTTCCTCAATCATGATATCGACTCGCGACCGAGCGCTGCTTGCCGTTATCCTAACTTGGCAAGGATCGAAAGGTGGTCCCCTGAAGCTAATCAGAGCGATGAAAGCGAGCACGTGACAGCCCTCAATAAAGGCACAAGCGGGCGAGAGCGTCTCAAGCAGTTGAACAAGAGGGAAAGAAAAAAATCCCCTCTTGCCCCCCCTTTTTTTTTTTTCTTTGTTTAAAGCGTTGCTTTTGTAAGTTTCGCATTTTAGCCTGCCACTCAAAATTCGGACAAAATCGACTTTCCCGTGGCTTCAACAGCACTGCACGCCACTGTAGCGACTGTAATCGGTGGCAGGGCCCCCCTAAACTGCTCCCACGTTTTTCCACTTTAGTGGGGCGGACACTGCAGAGGAGGTGACGTCCGCTCCAGTGTTCGCTTCGCCAAAGTGTTGAGGTGGGAGGAGGTTCCTAGAGTCGTGAGTCTTCCTCCGGTCTGCTGATTGGCTCACTGTAACTGTAGCCTTCGTCGTTTGCCAAGTTACGATGTTTCACAAATGACCTCGTCCGTAAGAGAGTAATTTGCATTTTTAAATCACAAATGCAGCGATGCTTGGCCGCTTGGCTCTGGGACAACTCCTAGTGGTATTCTCAAAGAGGAGTGCGTGTGGTCAGTTTTTGCCGGCGCTCAAGCACACGTTCCCTTATCTTTAACTGCATAGTTGCAAAGAGTTGTCCCCGAGTGATTTTTTTATCTCCGCGGAGCATTAGAAAGCGTGAAAAGTAAATGTCATCTCCACCGAATGATGTGGATGACATTTACTTTCTGCTGCGCCAAGAGAAACAAATCAGATATGTCCGTTAGCATTCTGTAAAAAAATTGCATAACCCCTGGTGCCTCCTTACTTCGGAAACAATGTAACAAACAAGTTGATACTCACCAGGTAATGCCTAGCTGAAGCAGTACTAGTTTTATTTCTTTTGAAGGGGGTTGAGGGTGGATTTTAAGGGGGCAGACGAGTTGAATAGTGCCACATTATATGCACAAAAACGCAATATTGTCACCTTCAATGCCGAAGCAGCACACCGATTATTCCGAGTGCGATCGTGCGGTCTTATTCCTTTCCACGTGAGCAATGGCTATTCAGAGTTGGAGTCAGTCACTAATGGTCTCAGTAAACGAGATTGTATTTATACCAGATCTAACGCCGAGCTTCATCATGCCCGTGTTTAAAGCAAACTTGGCACGACTGAGTCACACTTAAAGGGGTAAGGAAACGAAATTCCAGCGCTCATTTTCTAGCTTGAATGTGCTGCATGTTGCAGCATAACCTCAAAAACACCAGTCTTCCATTGAAGTTAAACTTGAAGAAAACGAGAAGGGACGGACAAACACCGTCCGTTTGTCCGTCCCTTCTCGTTTTCTTCCTCAAGTTTAATTATCCATACCAACCCGCTCGTTCTGTCCTTATTCCGTTGAAAGGCACAAGAAAGCTGATTTTAACGCTAAATAAACAATTTTTCAATGTGCACCTGGTGGATGCACGCGGAGCCTACTTGGGGGGTGATCTAGCAACGTTGGGGAACTTGCTACGTAGTCGTGAAGTAGCAGAATCCTTCGGAGCAGCGCCGCTCTTTGGAATTTCAACATTTTCCTTCTTAGCTTTCCTCCTCAACTCACAAATCGCGCATTGAACCAAACAGTCCAAGAAGACGGAAAGGAGGGACTCCCCTCTTGCTCGGACCCTCGTTGGTGCACCCGGATACAGCCATTCTCCCCGTAGAAGATTAGCCAGTCGCTCGAAACTCGGACAAAAGTTGCTTTTCCTACCCCGTTCAGCCCTAAGCTAACAGTGTTGTGGAAGCTACGTGCTCCTTGGTTCAGCCATACGCTCGTCAGCCCACGGGTACTTCGAACGCCTCGGTTGCAACGCGTTGACGCGATTGACACCACCACAATGCTGACAACGCCACCAAGGGCAAAGCTCATAACCACGCCAGCCTTGCTACGTCACGCATGCGGGAAATCTTTTCTTTCTGAAGGGTCTGGATTTGGGCTAGTATATTGGTTGAACATGTTTATGGGTTAAAAGCGCTAAAAACGACGGACGAGTAGGAGAGACACACTAGTTGGTTGAACATGTTTAGGGGTTAAAAGCGCTCTGTGGTGTGTCTCTCTCCTACTCGTCCGTAGTTTTTAGCGCTTTTAACCCCTAAACTTTTCTTTCTGTTTTTGTTTGCGCCGGATATCGCATGACGCATCGCGCTCTCCGTTCGCTTCTCTTCGGGCGCTTGCTCGAGTGCACCGTTGGGAACGAAAAATATAGCCAGTCGTTCAAAATACAAACGTGTGATTATCATTTACAGTTATTATCCGTCATGCTTGACTCATTCCCGAACGAAATTTGAATATTTCAATTTTTGTGTCTGTGCCCCTTTAAGTTCAAACACTTTTGGTAAAGATCTGGCCAGCCAAAAGGCCACTCACTCTCCCCATGCCAATGACCCCACACTTTGGTCAACTGTCCCAGCTTCGTAACTCGACGCCAAAATTATTAATGCAGAATGTGTTTCAAGGCTGGTTTCCAAGCCTAGAGTGTCACGAAATGTTGTAACGAAAATATAACAGTGCTGGTTGTCGTTTCCGACAGGCAGGAATCGAAATGGCCCAGTAATTCAATTAACCCGTTGCAAGACATGCAACACCCTCTACGGCACTAAAAAGGAATGCTGGTAACGGCCTGTACAGAACATGTTGTAGCAGATGAAGGAAACTGAGAAAATGCAGGCGAGGACAGGTGAGTGACTGCATTACTAAACTCTTTCTTCAGTGTCACATTGTAGATGCTGTGGGGGCAAGCGTACAGTGCTATGTTCGGCCTTTTGGCATTTTTGCTAAAAGGCCTCCCTTATCCCCTCTGCTAGCATTTGGCTAGCTTCATTACAGTAGGTATACGTATATGTAGTCATCCTGCCACAAGATCTTTGTCGCCCCAATGGTGGGAAGAGCTCAAAGCACGCTACACATTACATGTCTCCGGACATCGCCGTGATTACCGTGTATGAATACCGTTCAAAATCTTCTTAGTCCTCTGCTTGGTACTTTTTTAGAGTAAGAATGGCCATATTTTCCACGACGCATTTCAAAGCATTTTTTACTAGTTTCCTTTTTTTGTGAAAGGTTGAGCATGTGCGCAAATTTTAGGCAATCAACACACGACGCAGTTTGCTCTCTTTGCAACAGAAAGGAGTGTCCTCCTTCATGATGGCATTTATTCTCTCGCTGTACACTATTTTTCAAAAACACTGTAGACTGGTGCAACATCAAAAAGAAAAAAAAAATAAGGAAGTTGCTGCAGTCAAGTGAGCTTTTCCATGAGGTCAAAACAATGATGCAAATGTCGCCGCAATTTCGATGTCAAAACTTGTCAAATAGAAGAAAAACAACCAATGCAGCATTTTGTCAAAATCTATACTCATTTCTTCCTAGACAATTTTTATAAATATGCACAGTTGGCCCACACCACATGAATGCACTGGTCTTAAATAAAGAGGTCTCTCCAGCTTTAGTTACAACTTATGCACACATTTCTCTACTCCCCATCATAAATTATGCAGTAAAAAATTGTTCTACAGGTGACCTGCAGTTGGGATTCGTCAGGAGAGAGAGAAACAAGCACTTGGTAGTCCATTTCCTCCTACGGAAAGAGCCGTTCCTAAGAAATAAAAAAAATGCCCCGTTCAACGTGTGAACAATATAAATATATGTACACCAAATGCACACATCCACATTCCCATACACAATGTGCAGGAAAGGCAGTATGCACTTCACAGATCCTTTCCTTTTACTGAATTTTCCATAAAAGCTGACAGCAGCATAATTTTTATTATTGTTTTCACAACAGGGGAGAGGATGACTTTGCAATGCCAAATCAACAATAAATATTTTTTCAAATAAAAAAAAATTGACAGAAAAAAGCCTACGGAAAAGTACTCTTTGCATCGCCGTCCGGCCACAACAATTGACCAAGCATATCACAAATTGCAAACAAATGACCATAATAAAAAAAAGTAAAAAGTTGTACAGCAAGTCCATTGCAGTCAAGAGCCTGCCTTATATGTACACGCACGCACACATGCAAACACACTCCCCACGACGACGCCGTATGTACATTATGGACACGCAGAATGTACACATTGTGTTTTTTCTCTTGCTCCTCGCTCCCTCCGTCGCCACGGGTACCTATGATACAAACGAGACTCGCACATTTTAAAACCTATGTACATTCGCACACACGCACACACATACACCCGTACACATTCGTCCCACACTCTAGACCCCACGAGTGGCACCGGCCGCCGCAGCGGACGAGAAAAAAATGGAAGAAGTCCGTGTGAAAGCTCGGCACGCCGATCAACGGCGTGGCAAAGGATCGCTGCGTTGCACGTCGGCACGACACTTTGGTTGGCAGGGCAGGGGCCGGGGCTGGAACGGCCGTCGATCGACCGTACGATCCGACAGAGGTGGTGCCTGTCGGACTTGGAACTGGCTTCGAGGAAGTTCAAACGGAACGACAGCCAAGGTCGAGGAAAGGGAAGTTCGAAAGGACGCTATTTCGAATGGTGCCCTGCCCACAGTTAGGCACGCTACTTGCAGACTGAACAGATTGAGTTACTTCACCAAGTTTCCTTCTTACAAGTGAGCTGAGCAGATGTCTCCTTATTTCTAAGGCTACTCTCGCACCTTCACCGCTTGCTATCTGCCAGCATGCAGCCCAAAACTTCGATCTGACCAAAACTTGAGATGCCTCCCAGAAAGGGCAAGCGAGGCTGTGTGACCATTTGAAAAGGTGTGTCAAATATAAAGATGCAAATAAAGATGAAAAAAATGTTTTGCCTGAATCCTGCGGCATAGCTAGACCGCCGGTTACATGGCAGAATTGAAAACTAACCTCTGTGCAGCAAACCAACCACTTTGTCTGTGGATCATCTTTAGACTTTCTAATGCAAAGAATTACTGAGCCAAATTTCTCGTAAGTGATGATGCAGCAGTGCTGTATCCCCCTCTTCCTAGTGCTTTTGGTCATCCCAGCAGCAACAAGGCAAATGGCTATATACCCAGGTTGAAAACCGATGTGTGGTAACGTGTCGCAGGGAGGGCCATCCACAACTTGAAACAAACAGTGTGAAAACTAGTAATGCCAAGTGTTGTCCTGCCAATCCCTGCATATTTATTTTTCTTTTAAAGTAATGGAATGCATAACAGGAGCTCCTACTCCGAGAAATGTGTTTGTCTGTGCATTCGAGCGTACCCCATGGCAGGGCTTGTTGGCGCATCCGTCGCATGACATCACGACTTGACACTGCAATGTCATGTCGTATGACCTCGTAGCATGACATTGGGTCATGTTACACTATAAGACTTTGGAGATAAAGGTCACTACCAATTTTCAAATCAAATTTGGGAGTTCTACACGCCGAACCAAGGAAGGGCATCTGGTACGCCCCACCGCAGGGCTGAGGATTAATTTGGACCACCTGGAGATCTTTTGAAGTGCAACCGAAATCTCAGTTATATGGCGCCTTCTCCGCAATAAGCAGATGTGGGCATCTGGGCCAGGATTTGAACCCGTCAAATGGGGAGCCAATTTTTCGGTTCAGGAAATAAAGTTAATGTGCTTATTTCAATGCTGGATAAAAACAATATGTTCGACCTTAAACTGCAGTCAGAAATGGTCGGAGGAACCAGTTAAAATTCCCACGAAAAGCGAATCTGGGCTTCTCCCCCCGACGATTTGCCTCATCTCCTATACGAGTAGTACATATACTTAATCACAGAGAAGTCAAATCTTTTGTATTGCAAATGCTTTGACCTAATTGAAAGCATGCATTAATTGCATGTATGTCGGCTGCTTGGTGAACTTTTCTGCCCAGGAATAAAGCTATTCTTATTATCAAATATGGGCCTGTAATGGGCCAATGAAACAAATTGCTGATATATTTCCACAACATAAAAAGACGAAACGAAAGATTTAAAATGTGAAAAAAAGTGAAATGATAGATGTGCAAGGCACAACGGAACAAGTCTCTCAATGTTTAGGAGTCCGGAGATTTCAGACTGCTTTAGAGGTGCAGAAAATCTGCCTAATTTTTAATCCTTCTTGCGGAGCAAGCAGGGCCCAAGTACTTCAAGGAGCAATAAACAGTCCCATGCCCATTCTCAGTGTGTGTAGACAGCAGATACCTCTTTCATTCCTGTGCCTCTTTGCCACTAATGGAAGCTTTCCCCAATTTCTTTTTCCTTGACAGGTCCCTTAAAAATATTTTGGCATATTTCGCAATAGTACCTCAACTCGGACGATGCAGAGGTGTATCTATCGTCGAAAGCTGCAGCAAGTTTGGAGGCAACCTACCATCGTCCATACAGCCACATACAGTCAGGGTGGCAGTTGACAGCTCAGTTCGACCATAGGAAACCGCTGACATATTGAGTAGGGATGATCTTGACTATCCACATAGAAGCGGGTCGACATCCGCAATATTTTGTTCTGCGGTGCCACAGGAGAACCCTTTCTCGAGTGGCCCAGATTGAAAACGGACTGGGGAAACCGACCTCTGGACGCCACAGCCACCGGCCGCACCCGGCCCCTGCCCTGTCCCTGATGGGCAGGACCCCCTCCGGCAGTGCCTCTACTACCTCAGCTGCGTGGGGTCTGCCTTGTGGTTGGCCAGCGCGGCCCGGTCCTTGGCGTAGAGGGCCAGCTCGTGGGCCCCGTGCTCCACCAGGGAGCCCATCTTGTGGTTAAGAGGGGACATGCCGTGGCTGTTGACACCCGGCCCCCCCGCCCCCCCGCAGGGCACCAGTGGGGGAGGCACCGCCCCGTCCCGCGAGTTGGCCCCCACGGCCGGGGAGGACCCGTTCTTGCCCCGCCCGGAAGCCAGGGACGTCAGGCTGCTGAGGTAAGACCCCGGAGGGGGCAGGGGCGGCCCCAGGGGCGGGCCCAGGGGAGGGAACAGAGCCGACGCGGGGAAGCCCCCCCCCTGGGGCGTCGGGTCTGTGGCGCGGAGCGGAGGCGGGGCCAGCTTCGAGTGCAGCTCCCGCTCCAGGGCAAAGCGCTCGAGCTCCGAGGGGGCGGCCTCTCGGTAGCGGTCGTGCAGGGGCACCATGGGGCCCAGCAGGCGGTAGCGTTGCATCAGCTGCTCCCTATCCAGCTCGCCCCGCGCGTGGAAGTCCAGCAGGCTGCGGTAGGCATCGCCCGGGGGTGCCCCCAGGGCCCCGCCCCAGAAGGCCCGCTCGGGACCGCCCAGCCCCAGGAAGTGCTGGGCCCGGTAGTCGGGGTCGGGGGCCGGTGGGGGTGGAGCCGCCTTCTTGCGCTCGGGCTCCTCGTCCCGACGCTCCTCCTTGACGCGCACCTCCGCCTTGGGGACGCCCAGGGGGTCGAAGGCCTCCGCCTTGGGGGCGCGGGCCGGGGACCGCGAGGTCATCTCCCGCATGCCCCACTCGGAGGGGCGGCCATGGGGCTCCCGATCCCGCCCCAGGGGGTGGCTGTTTACGCGGGCGTCCAGGTAGTCTCCGTTGCGTAGAATGCCGTCGGGCTGGCTGTGGTGCATGTGTAGCCTCGCCTCTCTGTCCCTGCAATCACGGCGGGTCAGTTGCCACGACGACGTAGGTAGTACTCGCGAACCGAGATGGCCAGAAAGAGAGACCAACCTTTCTCGTTGCCGTTCTTCGTGCGCTTTCTTTTCTCTGCAACGAAGAAAAAAGCTCGTAAGCATGTTGTCTCAAATGTTTCCTATAACCTGCTCCCTAATACATCACTCTCTCAGATTGAAGCAGACTAGTGTATATTTGAATAGTAGTTTTGAATAATATGCGACCCAATAATCGCTTCAAGATGAACTCAGATATTTGTACTATTCAATCTGTCGATAGAGGCGGATCAGAGCCGTATATGTAGGGAGCTTGGCCATTCGTCGGGAAGTATAGGAGACAAATGAGGAGGCACCATTGGCCGAAAGCGGGCTGGGCGTGTTCCAGGGCGTCTTCAGAAATTTGAATGTGACCAACCAGAAGCCGGAAATAATTACCTGGCGGTGGTCGCAAGAAACAAACCTGATAAGAGCATCGGAGTAACTCTCGGTGACTGAAAATATGGTACACATGATGTTTCAATATCGCTCATCCAAAATGATGGTGGAACAGTGCGACTAGCAGAACGATCGGCATAATCCTTACGCCAAGCGCCGAGAATCTGTCGTCCCAGCAAAACAGTTGAGCAGCACATTCGTTTCTTACATCTTTCTGCATGATCATGATCGAAACAGCACGTGCACTCTATTTTCAAGCACAAAGAGTTACTACACTTCACTCTTATGCGCTTATTAAAGCCATATACGAACATATATACCTTTGATCAGAACTGCCTCTCGCTACCACCGCTAGGGGATTCTTTTCGGCTTCTGGTTGGTCAAGAGAGCATGTCAAGCCCCCTTTCAGAGTCTGGTGCGTGCCCTGGCTCTGCCCGCGCCTCCCATTGACCAAACTCTCTCTATACACGGCTCTGAGGCGGATGAGCCCCATTGAGTGCGCTTCTCACCGAGCGCCCGTGTGCTGCGGGGAAGCAACTCCCATGCAGCTTGTGGGCTCCGCAGGTATTGCTTCTCCGCATTGCGCAGGTGCTTGGTGAAAAGCACACTCGAAGGGGCTAACCGACTGCGATTATGCAAAAGTATTTTATGCAACAATGCCTCAACAACCCACATTCATTAATCACACTTTTTTCTTTTTATTTATGTCAAATTTGAAATTGGAAAAAAACTTGCAGATAGCGAGCAGATTTATAAACCCCTCGATCGGAATAGCTGTAACAAATTTGATATTTACGTGCCTTCATAAATATAGGTGTATTAAGACTAACTGAGCTTAGAAGTGGACGGTTGAGCACAACCTCCGCAAGTTCCGCTGAATTTTCGTTTTCTGCATGGTGCACAGTACTGAATGACTTAAAGAAACTATTCAATATTCAACCAAAACCACTATTCGATTCGAATTCACTTCGAATTCACAATGCACTACTCGCACATGCCTAGTAATGATGTTGGAGGAGGAAAGACGCAGGGGCTCGTCTTCCAGGCGATACTGCCCAGACCGCTCGAAACCTAGCGGCCCCCACTTCACTCCCTGTCTACTCCCTTCGAAAAGCATTGCCCATGTACAGCAGCTCAGGATTCCCAACTTAAGAAAACAGGGGGGTAAAAAGTCTTGTGGCAGTTTCCGGAGCACGTCGGACTCAACCTGGGAGGGTGTAGTTTGCGTAAAAGAGGGTGCAGGTATTCGTTTAAAGGGGGGCCTTTGGTGGTGCAAGTGTGTATAGAATTCCCGCACCTGTCCATCTCCTTGGCCTTCTCGAGAGCCTCCCGCTCCTTGCGCTCTTTCTCGGCCTCCAGGCGGCGCTGCTTCTCGCTCTCGTGCTCCAGCCTCTCCCGGTCGGCCTCCGCCTTGAGGCCGCCCCACGCACCGCTGGCCACCGAGGAGCGGTCCACAGCCCCCTGCAGGGGCCCCAGGGAGGGAGCCCCCGGGAACGGGGGTGCGCGGTGCAGGCGCCCCCAGGGGTCCTGCCCCAGGCAGCCTGCGGGGCCCAGGTCCCGCCCGGCCCCAAACAGGCCCGCGGGGCCGGTTGCCGACATGCCTGGGGACATTGGTTAAGTGAGTGTGGCACAGTTGTACCAAGATATACCGGATAAACTGTTACTCCCTGCCGACTATTACAGTAGGCTCTCATTTATTAAAACTATAAGAAGCCACAAATATTGTTTGAATTATCGGAAGTTTGAATTATCTGAAATTCATCTAAATATGATGCAAGATAAAATTATGATTTGCCATATGAATGTCTTTTGATGACTTCTACATAGGCCCACTTGTCATAAGCGGTATGTCACATATGAAACGTTTGTGAGATGTATGACATAAGTTTATTTATCCCTCAAAAATTATGTTTATCATGGACTGTTTGAACAGCGCATGACAACTCAAAACAAAATTAAGTTTGTTCATTGGGCCAAGAAGTTGTTTAATGGGAAATATACAGCAGGATACACAGGAGCGAGAAAAACAGGCACCGTGCGGCAGTGACTCAGACCTATGCCATGCCGCCACGTCACAGCGTCTGCGCAAGTTGCTGTGGAAATTTCCATATTGTGCCTGTTTATATGGCTCATGTGTGCCCTGCTTGAGCCCCGTTGAGTGTGCTTCTCACCGAACACCAATGCACTGGGGAGAAGCAACACCTACAAAAGGAAACTCCACGGGTGTTGCTTCCCTGCAGTGCTCTGGTGCTAAGAAAAAAGCCCACTAACGGGGCCATGTTAACAAAAGTATGAATTGCACGAAAAAGCCATTCGCATAGACCTTTCGCTACATTACCCAAGCATCAAAGAGCATGCTGGGAATGTAAGTACACGCGCTGCATGCACTGGCCCTCCTTATACGGAAGATTCAAAATAAACAACCAAAATAAAGTTTGTGGGACTCGCAAAGTGCCATTTGTTTAAGATTTTTGCTTTCAAAGAGTTATAGCTGCAGTGCCAGCACGCACAGCCCCTGTACACCTCCATTCCCGGCATTCTCATTGATGCCTGGGTAATTCGGTAAAAGGTCTATTAAGCAGTCTATGAATACATTAAAAACATAGTGGAGTAACCAAAATTTTGAAATTTGTTTGATTTAACAGTATGAAATATCACAGTTTGAATTATCGCGATCCTAATGTAATGACCTATTGCGGACAATATGAGCTGAAGCAGTCCTTCAAGCTCTTTTGGCGCACCTGCCAGTTTTTGAGAGAGGTGTGGTTCGACCTAGGGATGGAAGGGAAGTTGAGGAAGTTTTTACAAATTGAGAGATAAAAGCTCGCAAAGAGAGTAGACGCAGAAAAAAGTTGGATTGGATGTTTCAGCTCACATTGTCTGCGGGACTACATTTGGTCATTGCACACACATCGGTCTGCAGAGTGCCCATATGTCAGGCTACTACAACCCACAGAAATCCTCGTAGAGCCGATAGGACGTCAATTTATGCAGCCAGCTGCCATCTTAAGGGGTAAAGGATCCGCGCAACATTTTTTTCAGTTTTTGCAGGTTCTGGCAGATCGTCTCTGGGGTCAGACCAAGCATAGAACAACAATTTTGTACAGTTAATGTTGCAGACGCTGGCGCCGCACGCGGGCGCCTTCCCTGTATAAAAGGTTTGAAGTAAATAACCAAAATAAAGCATTGATGGATGTGTGTGCAATATGTCATTTGTTTTAGGCTTTTGCTTACGCTAGCGCCGCATGTGCACGCCTTCATCGTATAAAAGATTCATTCTAAATAAGCAAAATAAAGCGATGACGAACATGCCTGTAAGATGCCATTTGTTTTAGGCTTTGGCTTTAGAACAGTTAATGCTGCAGACGCCCGCGACGCACGCCTTCTTTACGCGCGGCATTTCTCCTCCCTCCCCTCCCCCTCCTCCTCCTCCTCCTCCTCCTCCTCCTCCTCCTCCTCCTCCTCCTCCTCCTCCTCCTCCTCCTCCCGACATTGCGCAATACCGCGCGCTCTTCAGCGGCCACCTGCCGAAGATTGCGCCACTGTCCTTATCAGTTCGACTTCAGACTTCACATGGGTTGTACCCGTGTAGTACACTCTGAAGAGGAGCAGCAAGAATACGAGGACCGTCGGCGCGCCCAGAAGCGAGAATGGGCACGCCGCCAACGTGAAATCACCGTTGCTGCTGCTCCCAGCCCGACGTAGCAAATCCGACCAGAGCACTAGCTTCGCTGGACTTCCCTCTTCACGGGGTGGAAGAGCTCTCAATTTTTTATTTTTATATCGACGAGAATGATTGAACAATGGTGGCCTCTGAAAGCCTGAACTCTCTTTCATAAAAGCACGCATAATAGCAACGAGCCTCACAGAAAGCCTGTGAGCTTTCCCAACATTCTTGAAGGCCAATCCAAAGCCAACCGGGCCCTGTCACAAATGTGGCACACAGTGTTCACAGCTCTGGGCACCAACTGGAGAATGGAATACCTCGTGGGAAGGCTGTGCCCTGTGCCGCCGGACCCACGCCGTAGCTTGAGCTGGTTTGCTCCGCCGTCACGTGTGGCCTCAGGTCGGCAAAGACTGTACACGAAACCCCGCCATTAAACCCTAAAGTCAACAAGCTCAAGTGCAGATGCTATAAATCTAAAAAACTGCAATTCAGAAATGTGTCCCCTTGAAATTGTGATCACAACCAAAGACAGGGATGAAGGAAAAAAAAAAGGGCATAATGTTCGCCTACTTTTGGTCTTTTTTTCAGAATTTCTGCGACGCAGCGTGTTCTGCGTGAACGGTTTGTTTCGGTTTTTCTTTGTATTTGTGTGTGAGATTTTCATGCTGTGTTTTCGAACCTACCGTAATATCCCGTAATATCCCGAGTCATCGCCCATCCCCGAACCATCGCCCACCCCATTTTTTGGGCCAATATCGATTTCCGAAAAAAAAAACCGAGTCATCGCCCACCCCTTCAAATACCCCAGCGCGGACTCTGCGATCCGCGAACACTCATCCTACCCGAATGACGCGGCCGCGGACCTTACAGTTGGAGGACGTCCGTGACAAAGTAAAACGAAGGAGGAAAGACACTTCTTTTTGTTTACGCATTTCCTCCGTGAGCGACCCCAAAGTGGTCGTGTATCCGTGCAAAAAGAAAACGATGGAGATAACAAAATAAGAGTTTGTTAATGTAACCGCGGAGTGTTAGGTCAAAGTCTGTTTCCGCCGAAGTAAGGTCACCGCGAACCCGCTCCCTCTTCCCGCCCGTCGCGACCGCTGTTGTGCAATATTTTAGGCAAAGCCAACGCGTAAATAAAGCTTTGCTGGAACACAGACGTTTGCAGAGCGCAGGGGTGGAACTCATAGAATTTATTTGGGAGCAGCCACGGGAGCAGCTGAAACAGCTGTTTTGGAGCAGGTTGGGAGCAGCTAAAACTACATTCTGGAGCAGGCTGGGAGCAGCTCAGATCAGTTTTCATTGCACTTCAGCTTATGTCTTAGACGAGCACGGGAGCCATTTCAATTGTGCTTAGCAGCACAGATGAACAGGAGTGGCTAGGGACCTTAGGTAGATGGGATAACAGTGTAACAGATGGGAAAACTTGAAACTTTGTGACCCTTAATGAGAACCAAAAATCAAGTACCATATGTTTCTGAAGACAGTGTCGTTGACATTTTCTGAGTGGCTTTCAGCTGCTCAAAATGAAAACCAGCACTGCTTATCGCACAACCCACACGTGTTCAACACACTAATTATATGTGCGAACCAGGTGACGTGCATAGGCAACGGACGTGCAGTTGCGCGGAGGAACAGGGCAACAAATTTCGAGTTTATCCTATATTGCAACTCAATATCGAAGTAGCAGACTACGATTACGGAGTTATCTTATTCGAAGCGATAAGCAGGAGCAACGTTAAATAAAGTACAGTGCTAATCACACTTGTCTACAACGCGCGAGCGTGCGGCTTTCTCCGGGGAGCACTAGACTGGTGGCATTCGCGAAAACTAAGCTAGTCACGTGGCGCAACATGGAACGGCCCGCTCGAGGGGTGTCCTGCGCACTCTATCAGCTGGCGGCGAACGCGGAAGGCTGCTCGCACGCTTTTTACAAACATCATTGTTCGAACAATAAACAAACTAAAGCATGAAGGCGTATCAACGATGTCGTCATCAAAACACAAAAATATATCATAAAGCACTTTACTTATATCGCTTATCAAGCTGATAGAGTGGGCAGGACACCCCTCGAGCGGGCCGTTCCATGCTGCGCCACGTGACTAGCTTACTTTCCGCGAATGCCACCAGTCTAGCGCTCCCCGGAGAAAGCCGCACGCTCGCGCGCTATAGACAAGTGTGATTAGCACTCTACGTCGAGCAGATCTACCGCTCGCGTTGGAGCGGCTGGCCGGCAAGGTTTCGGATCGGACCGCGTTTCAGTTCTATCAAATCCCGATTTATCTTGCGCAAATGCGGTTCCAACTTCTAACGATGAAGTACTAAAAGGAATCTTCTGCTCATTCGTTTTCAGCTGGCTGACGTCTAGATCCCGGGCTGCAGAGCCTCAGGCAACCCGACGCTTAACGACTCGACCTCACCTCGGGTGACTTGCTTATTAACCGCTTATGGTTGAAGAATAAAAATCCAGTCGCAGGTGGTGTAGTGCTTGGAATCCGACCCCCGAGTTTTTTCGCGCGCTTCCGACTCGGGATACACAGGGAGGATAAACAGAACAAATGATTGCAAGACCGACTAAGCTAAACACGCTCATTGTTGCCAATCGAGTCTATAGAAACCGAAACCAAGACGCAATAGTATTTTTTGGAGCACGTTTTGCGATTTGGCGCATAATGGCGCGAGGTATTGGCTGTGGCGCAGTTTCCGCAACATGGCGCAGGATGGTGCAGACAAATGCGTTTGGCGCAAAATGGCGCAAATGGCGCAGCCGTTCCACCTTTGAGAGCGTCCCAACCGTGCATTGATAGCCCGCCGTGCACGGACGCACGTATGTACGCACCAAACAAGAAAGTTGCGCAAGAGCTTGCAATTGACAAGGCGCCCGACTTGGCCCGACGCCAAAGTATTTGCCAACGCGACCGCCGGCTTTCCCGCTTTCCCAGCATTGCTCTTGGTCGCTTCTTTGGTCCGCTCGCTCGCTCGCTCGCTCGTTGCGCCTGGTCGGTTTTTCTATTTTCTTGTAGACTTTTCTTTCTTTTTTTTTTTTACTAACTAGGAGAACATAGTGGTGACATTCTTTCACGGAACAAACGTTCGCACTATATGCAGATCGGCGGTGTTTCTAGCGCCTATGCAAGCAACGGACTTCGCTATAGTAAAATATTCTTTCGTGAGCATTTTTTTCTATAAAACAATGAAACTAAATCGAGTTTTGAGTTTGATGTATCTCTTGGGCATCAGCGATAGATACGCAGAGAAAAATAGGCGGTTTTTTCCGCTTTTTTTTCAAGTGTTTGTGCTCACCCACCGAGACATGGCCCACCCTACTTTTTTTAATGAATTTCAGGCGGTAGGGGGGTGGGCGATGACTCGGGATATTACGGTAGTTTCATAGCTTCTTTAGATTACCAGGCACTGTGAACATTCGATTCGTTCGAGAAAGCCGGCAAACGAACCTGTCGCGACAGCTTTCCTTTCTAGCCACTTGGTGCCGTCCATTTCAGAGAAGTCGCCAATAGAGGATGGTTACTCGTTCTGGTGGCAGGCACGTTATCGTCTGCTTTGGCAAATAAATCTCAGCTGCCTGTCTAAGTCTTCAGTGTCCTCCGTCAACCTGTCCCTCATTGTGCCTCGGTCTTGACCTTGAATCATGCGCATCTAGCAGCTCTCCTGCCTTACTGAACTCGTTGCATGGCTCCTTTAAGTGACGCAAGCACAAAAAAAAACAGCCATTGATCGTGGACTCGCATTTCACCGACCCAAAACTGCGACCCCTTTGCAAGTGCTTCTACGAAGAGCCCGGCGATGGCCGCTTACCGAGGCCCCCCAGGGTGCCGTAGGCGCTGTTGGCAGGAGGGCCGAAGCTGGGGAAGCCCGGCCTGGCAAAGGGGGACATGCCGGGGGGAAGGCCCCTCGAGGAGGAGGACGACCGGCTCATGGAGCTGCTAGACGTCGACACGGGCATCCTGCTCATGCCTGCACGCGGCGGAGGGGGCAAAAAGGTAGCACGCGTGAGTAAGCATGCTTGCGCGCAAAATAGCACAAACAAGACACTTGTTCATGTAAGATCGACACACTAACATTGCCATTGACGGGACAAGGTGTTCGGTTTTTCGTGTCTCCAATGTGTCAACTGCACACAACCTTCAACCGTATGTGTGCAGTTGCGCTAGGAACCCTGAATCTTTAGGACCAGATCCGAAAGACCCGAAAAGGTCCGTCCAAAGAGCCCGACGAGGCACCGGTCCCTTTCGGTGTCTTCCGTCATGCTCCCAAACGTATTGTTGACTCCTCCTAGCTTCGGCAAGAGCCACGGCACCGAGTGAGAAAGAAAATGTATCCTAGAGGGTGCGTCTCGCGTGTGCTCCATACGAGTCGCAGGTAAATCGCTCGTAAGATGCAACCGGTAGTTATTAGTTTCGATTACAAGTTAAGGAAGGCCTCGTATTTGTTGGTTCGTATAACCAACAGTCGTGTCGTGCAAGATTTTATCTAGACCAGGGGCAGAAAAAGATCTTGCCATCCTGCACAGTGTAAACTGCAAACGTGGAAGTTTACCAACACCCCTTGTTTGGACAGCGAACAGAATATTGAGCGAGGTTTCTCACAAGTACTGAAAGCGTGGCTCTTCAAGAAGATACTGCATACCGGGGAAAGACGACATACTTGGGAGCTCTCTCATCCGAAACTCTGCATATTAGTGACCGTGGCCTTACAGCTAGGTCAACCAAGCATGAATACTCGTGGCTTTTGCATTCAGCTCTTTTATACTTCTTTGAAAGCTCATATGACACTGCGAATGCCAATACGCTTTAATGCACCGGGCAATGCTAAAATGTTTTGATTTTGCTCTCGAACACACACCTGTATGCCATCGCAATTCCTGTTAGCTTAAAGCGGGTTAATTGGTGTCGCCTATCTTACACATTTTTAACTCTTTCCTACCGTGCCTTTCAAATTTATCGATTTGATAGATGGATTTCAAACCTCTATTTCAACACGCCCGCACCGTTTTTAGACATGTGGCGCTGTCTAGGATGTTACGAAGAAACTCCACCTTGAGTTTCGGTTTAAATTTTTTTTCTTTTCCTCGAGGGGGCGATTTTTGACGGGGCCTTGATGTCCCAGGATCGTGAGTGATTGTAGCAAGCACAGTGCACGACGTCCTCGTCATGTTCCTCAGAAGCGTCATTTGAATGGCGATTCTGGTGTATATGCAATCAATATTGTGGGCGACAGTGGCAGCAGCAAGTCAGAAGATGACATTCATTCGTTTGATTTTAGTTTGAATTGTGGAAGTGGGTCGAACGAGCCGAGATTACCCCCCAAGTGCGTGCTGGTATGTTTCCTTTTCCTCACTGGGCGCATTTATTTCCTCTGTAATAAACTGTACGTGTTCCAAAAGCATTATTTTTAATCTGCAGTGTGTCAACCTCGTATAGACACGACTTCATGCAATCAGCAGCAAAACTAACCGAGTTTTCTTCGAAAAGGCGGCCCGGTTCCGACTTCGGCATAACGCTACGAAGTAGCACGAAACGCTTTGGTGGGGGTTCGGAAAGTGGTACAGTCATCACGGAGGCTAACTTTTTGTTTCTTCTACTGAACAAGAAGTTTTGCGCGGAGGCTTTTCAAACTTGTAGGATTTGTTTCCTGAACAGCAAGGTACAAAATCTGTACTTCGCATTTTTGTTTACTCGTATTACTTTGCAAGGCACATTGAAATAAAGTATAAAGTTCTGCTTCTATGTAAAAAAAAAGTCTTTTTTTTGGTACGCTATATATAACAAATAGTTTGCTTGAAATTCCTGTTTTTTTTTTAAATGTAACTTCCTTTAGCTACATTTTGGTGTGCTTTGGTACATCTAATAACGAAAATTGCATCTAAACAATTGTTTTACTGAGACCACCCCTTAACAGCCTTTTTACCTGAAGTAAGGAAAGAGTTAAAGTTCCTGTAAAAGTGCTTTCTGACAAGAACTGCCCATAAAAAAGATAAGCACCCAAAACACAAACAAAAGGAACAAGAACACTGTTTATGTCTGGAACACTATGCAAATTGAATAGAATCTAGCTGCCTCATACAGCCAAAGAATTTTCACAAGAGAAAACTCTCAAAGTTAAAATTTTGGTCGAGTCTACACTCTATGAGCAGCTGGCTCGATTAACGGAGGTCCACACTAAAAATGAGGCGATCCCTAACTATGACTACCTCCCCCAACGTACCGTATCTTTGCGAGTACAACCATGACTGTGATTGTTGCGCGAGGTCAGGTTGTAGAGCTACGAGATTTGGGGGAAAAAAGCGCGTCAAATTGTGAGCTCCAACCAAAGTGCAAGCTTTGTAAAGGTGTGACAAGTCAAATTCAACAACCAAACTGCCTGAAGATAAAAACAGAACAAAACATGATTCATTCCTCACGACTGTGCACTGGTTACTTGTCTCAAACAGCTCTAGGGGCATTACAGACATTGTAGTTGTCACATAATTAAATAAGATGAGCGAGGCATGTCAGTACAATATTTGCGAGCTGGAAATGAACAAATCTCACTTGGCCCATAACAGCTAGTCAAGATCCCAGGCTGCAGAAAACATTATTTTGTCTTTAATACGAGCAAATAGGCACCCTTTATCCTCCGCATATATTTCATATCATCGGCAAAAGTAGGACAGTGGAAATTGTAATGTTCACTTGTTTGTTACCAACTGTACAAAATCAACAACCACAGTTCAGAGATAACAAATGTTAGTGAAAACCTACATCAAACAGCCAACTTACTCATATGACTGGGGTTTGGCGTGAGGAAGTTTCCATGAGGTGATGCTTCAAATGAAGTCCGTGCGTGGCCAGCTGCAAAGGAAGGACATTTGAGCTATCCCTTCATTCTTAAGAGCAAAATGCAGATTTAAACATCTAGTTGCATAGTAAAAACTCGAGTGCCATACAAACATACTAAAGGATTAATATATTTTTAAAAAAAAGCATACGGGCTGAAACATCTTAACTTTGTACCAAAAAAATGACCTGCTTTCTTCTTTTGTTTGCAATAATTGGGCCAACTGTCATAAAAACATCAGCCCTGGCACACAATGAACTTATTTGTGAGCAACCATTGAGACTGATAATGCGCAAATGTGGTCACCTATATTGCTTTATTTCTACAGTCAATACTGCAAACCTATTCAGCTAAGGCATTATTTTATACTTTTAATAAGAAAAAATAAAAATACATTGTAAAAATATAAAAAAATTTAAATCTCTAGATTTTTACTGTCAGGACTCGAACCTTACTGTTAGAAAGTTCCCTGGAAAATTGAGTCCCGTGTTGCAAGCGTAAAATACCCAGAATCTAAAAAAAAATTTGGGGTCTAACTTCAGGTGACAACAGCTAGGGAGAAAGGAATGTTGACACAAGAAGCAGGAGCGTGCCCTTGACTGACGGGATACTACCATGCAGCTAGACCCAGAAGTGAGAACAACTTGGCAGCTGGCCACCTCTGCAGCAGCTGCCATTCTCAAAAAGCTTTTTGCAACTTTTTTTTTAAGTGGCAAAGGTTAAGGCAATTAGTAAGAAAACATTCCATGCTTGAAAAGCATCTGAAATTCACCCCAGATCCTTTAAAAGAGAGGGTACCTCCTGCCGCCGCTGCGGCCGCAGCCCCCAGCAGGGCAGAGGGAAAGCTGGCAAGGTCGTGTGGCCTGGGCATGGCAGAGTAGAGGTGGTGGTTGGGGGCCCGCAGCATGTCCCCCTTGCCTGCAGACGACAGGGAGGGACCGGCGGACATGGCGGGGGGGCCCTTGTGCGAGGGCATCACCCCCGGGTCGGGCCCCACTCCGGGCTGTTGCTGCTGCTGCTGCTGCTGCTTCTGCTGGTGCTTGTAGATCTCCCAGGCTATGCGCACGTGCATGGCACACCAGCGACCAGACTTCTGCAATGATCACAAGGGAAGAGACAGGTGCAGGTCAGTGACTGCCTGCCTGACAGGCACTGGAAGTGCTTCAAAGCTGGTAAACCAGAGACAAAGAATCTACCACTCCACACACGAGAGTTTAAAAAAATAGTTGTTCATCTCTTTATTGCACAACACAATGATACCAATCACTGCAATTTGTTCGATAAGCCTAGATAAGGTTTGTACCGAAATAGAGACCAAGATATTGAGGCAATGTTACACACGCTAAGAATCTAGGTGCATACCACAATTTTAAGTTCAAATATTTTCTGGGCTTCTTCATCTACCTTTCACAGATTGCAATGACCAACACTCCCCTGGTCTGCGAAGAAGCAGACAGGGTGTTCTTTGCAAGAAGGGGTCACCTACATACATGCACATAATGTATGCTGTTTCACCTTGATCCTTTCAGACCGGCAGGGAAGCCTGGCTCATCCAGGCATGTGGACATTGCTCAATCATTTCTGAATTTTCAGAGCACATGCTCGTTCATGAGTCCTTCCGTTGCCTGAGCCCTAAGTCACCTGCCACACGCAAAACACTCCATGTTTGATGTGACCTACTTTAAAGCTCAGTAGCTTTAGAAGACCTTAAAGGCCTGTCAGCTACCACATCTATAATGTGAAATTTATTCGTAGCCAAAGCACCACCTCCGATTTTGTGTCCCCAGGAGCTACTATTCAAGACGCTTAGTACAGAATGCATGCCATAACCATAATAAAAGGCTGCATGTTCTCCGTTGGTATTTAATGTTCTAGAATTTGGCCTACAAACATCTCCAACATACTTCTAGAGAGTCTCAATCATAGGGTTAAAGGAACCATTTGGACAGTGTTGTGTGCTAGCTAATAAGTCTGCTTTTATTCTCGATTACTGCTTTCTCAATGCATACTTTTTGTTTATAAAAACCTTTGTCAGTAGAAAAAAAGTACATACCTGATGTACTTTTTTACTTGAGTGCAATATATTGGTGTGTCCAACAATAGGCTTATTTCTTTTGTTTTTGTATGCCTTAAAAAAAGAAAGAAAATGTGTCACAGACATTACGGCCACTAGAAACAAAGCCATCTTGTCAAGTTTTCCTCATACTGAAAAAACCAGATGCAAAACTTTTTTTTTTTTGTTTTTCTTTCGATTAAAGTTTACTTATATTTGTTCAATTGCCAATTCTTTACACAAGCAGCGACCCTTCTCTCCATTTTTTCTACAGCAAAGAACTAAACAAAGCACCTTCAGCCTCTTTTGCGTTATATCAGGCTTAAAGGGGCACTGACACCCCACAGGTCCTATTTTTGTGCATGCATTTTTTTTTTTTATTTTTGCAGTGTTTCTCTCCCTTTTCTCTCCTCCTCGCTTCTTTTTATTTGTAATGTAATCGATTAGAAAATTTAGAAGCTTTGTAAGCAACATTTCTATAGTATTTAATAACGGCATTCGTAAAACATGTTTTTTAAAGCAATTCTGATTGCTATACTTTTTGATACCGAAAATTGGAGTCCGGACGGATGTCGCCTCCTGGCTTTTTATCCTCCTTAAAAAACATGGCGGCACTCGGCACATGCACCGAGGATAATCGGCGAGTCGGGGAATCGGACGAAGTGGTCTTTTTTAGGTGCCCGACGACCTCTCAGACTTCGAAAAGGAAATCATCAAACAGTCAAAACAACTGAGTTTAGTGTCTGTGTACCGTTGTTTCGGTAGCGACTTCGCTGGGGCGACCTTTCACGCAGAACCCTCGTGTCGCTCACAAAAGTCCTCTGCGTGTTCTCTTCGACCTCGCACAGTTTAAAAAAATGTGAGATTGATGAAAGGACCCCAAGAGAACTTCAAACTCAAAAGTGGAGAGTCTTTTGCTCACAGCGACAGCTGGCACGCACGGAGGAGAGCAGTTGATTCCGGGCCGGGCAAACACTACACTTTGGGTTGGGACGGTTCGGAGGGATGAGAGAAAGTCGAGTTGCAGGACGACTCAATCTTTGACGTCACTGCATTGGAGCGGATCGTGCGGAAACTTCAAACTCAGCTTTGGGAAATTGTTTTTTTACTTCATAAATACTGAGTTCCCAAGTTTTGAATTTTGAGGGTAATGTCCTGGCATCGTTTTCATTCGTTTCAGATAATAAAAAAAAAAATACTATGATGAGAATTTTATAAAAACAACCCAAACAGAATGGAATGCAGAACAGACTGTGCTTGCAGTTATTTAAAAATTCTCTCATCTGATGTAAAAATTAATAAATTTTGTTCACAGACAGTATGAATGGGTAGCAACACATCTAATTTTGCCATAATTACACAAACACACTGCAACCTCTTTCCTTAACATCACTAGCTTTCTGCCCATAAATCTTCCTCCATAAATTTAAATCGTTGGCTGTCAGTGTTGTGTGCGAGAGATCAGACAAGCGGGTCTTTTTAATAAACAAAAGGTGTATCTCAGTGAATAAGGTCATGTTACCATATACTTCGAGCCTTTTTTCGAGGCACATTTCATGGTACATTGCTATGCGACAGCCAACTGGTCTTTCAAGTGTATGAGGCTTGCAAAGGCTCTTTCTGTGTTTACTTATGTAACGGCAACTATTGGGGCACTTTAGATGAAATCAAATTAATGTATCATCAAACCCGCACTTCAAAAGCTGTCAATGATTTAAGGTTATTTCCAACAGCCGACTGCATCTGTAAGAACGTGCCAACCGATCCCACTCCTGTGACAGAATAGGGTTGTATACAAACACTAGTTCCAATCCAAACAACGCCGCATCATTTATACTTTTTTTCCGAGCAGACTGTTAAAAAGCTCCTATTTGTTAATCACCAACTCGCTTGAGCGAGTTGGTGATTTATCTTGTATTCTCATTTGAATTACTGTTCTTTAGTCTGGAGCACAACTACAATAACAAACTTGGAGAAAGTACACTTAATTCAAAAAAGAATACTAAGAACTATTGCAAACGCACCCTATTTGTCGCATACAGAAAACTTATTCAAAATTTATAATATACTTAGTATCAAAAATATGTATAGCCATAGACTATCCACAAGCCTTAAAAAAGAATTGCAACATAACACCTCTTCCTTGGTAACATTGTCAAATTTACAAAAACATGTTTTAACGTATCAAACTCGTAACCCCGATTATTGGCAAATACCAACGTGTCGATTGAATGTTGGCAAAGAAATGTTAGCCTACCGGGTCCCAAGACTTCTCAATTCACTAATTTTACACAATATTGATATAGATAAATTGAGTTTAAATGCATTACGTTCTGTCATGTATACCTTTGATGTAGTCTACTGATATTTGGTTTTGTATATCTTCGATGTTGTATCTCTCTGTTCTCGGTAAGTTGTTAATAATTCCCTTCATGTCCATGTATTTGTATTTATTATGTAAACGTAGATTTTGTACATTGATATGCTTTAAAGATTAACTAGGTAATTGATATCCGTTAAATGTGCTTATTCTTTGATTGAATGCCTTTGTATTTTATTTTGTTCCCTCTGACTGCTGCTGAATGTAACTGGGGCCGAGAGCTTGTCAAGCCGTCTATCGCGGCTTTTGTTCTCGGCCCCATCATTACCTGTAATGGGAAATAAAAAATAAAGCTTATTATTATTATTATACAAATAGCACACAAAAGACAAGGGACGAAAGGAAGACATAAAAGACGAATAAAGCACAAACTTACATCTCTGATTGTAATTCATGCATAGCTATGAATGAAGTGCTATTGTTACGAATCACTGCTACATGAACAGAACTGCATCAGCACCCCACCCCTTCCCTAACGTTATCAGGGAAGGAATCGGAATATTTAGTGGGACATTTTTAGCAAGGATTCTTTCTGGGTGTGTTTGTATGTTTATATATGTATATGTATGTATGCTTATACATGTTTTTATCTCTTTATATACAGTCCCGGACAGATTTTTCGGATGCCGAAAATTCACACTTGCTTGTTATTCCGAATGTTGACAAAGAACCGTGACTCACCCAATTGAAATAGTACATATTACCAACTAATTTTTTTAACACTTTGCAGTCCGAAAGTTAGATACGAGTGCAGGCCACCGAGAGGCTGCCACCTTGGATTTTTTGCTGGCTTGAGCTTGGCTTTATATTTCAGAAGGATTGGATTGGTATGGCAGCACTATTTTATTGCTGCCGAACCAGTTGTATGCGACTGTATGCATATCATTTGTATGTAGGTATCTGTACTGGTATGTATGGATCTATAAACGCTTTGCAGCAAATCTGCATGGGTGCCGCCAGAACCGACCTTCAGTTTTTGTTTACTCTTCTACTGTTTACTTCACTCCAACATTACCATAGCAGTCCAGGTTATTGTCATTTTAGATTCTACCGTGCCCTTCTCCCCAGCATTGGCCTTTGCGGAGGCTCATCAACGTCCGTTTCAGTGACTCGGTATCTCGGTAAGACAAGGGAAGGTCAGCAATGGCGGCTGTAATGTGGCACATGTGTAAAGCGCCTATTAACTGATCTAGCGCACATACCACTCCCAACTAAGCAGGTGTAGAAAAAGAAGAAGAAGAAATTATAAGAAGAGTTGTAAGTAAGCACTTTGTTTGTCCTTTGCATCTCTCTTTTGTCCCTTGTCTTTTGTGCGCTATTTCTATTTGTGCTATTACTGAGGATGATCCAACTAATGTAGCGGAACAAAAAGTAACGCTTCCGTTTTCGCAACCCCCACAGCCAGCCAGACAGCGAGCCAGGGAACCTAAAAGCACACACTACAAGCACACAGCTACAGATAAGCAAACAAACTAAACAGAGCCACAGTTGCCGACAGGATGAGAAGGCAGGAAAACCTTTCAGTTGTTCCTACAGTTGATAATACATCCACATCTTACGAGCCTCGGGCGCGCGCCCGCAGCCATAATAGATTGGTGGCGGACGACGAGCGCATGTTAGTGGTCGGGCATCCGAAAGAGACACCCCGGCATTCTCATCTTGTCAGAAAACGATAAAGCAAAGCAACGCTAGCCGTCCAACAATGAGAGCCAAGCCACGGGGCCACTTCATTCTGAGAAGCAAGCATGCACAGGGTAACGAGGCAAAGAGTAGTCTACAGAAGAAACCGGGGAAAGGTTGTCACCGACACGAGGTAGGGTCACACACCTCGCGTCGGTATTGGGTTCTTCCAGTTAGGCATCTTTTAGCGGGGAGCTCGCATTAAACTTAACGTCTTGCTTCGTGGTTACCCCTATCGGAACCACGACGAGACTGGTTCACTCACGATCTGAAGCAGACTGCAGTGTACGGGCTTTTGTACGGGGGAGAAACCTCTACCCAAAGCGACACTCTGCCTGCAGCGGTCAGGAGGGTGAGTGAACGAGGCGGGCATTTTCTTTCGTGGCACCGAGAGGGTCAAAGGTAGAAACCACCTCCGAGGACGAAGGTTTCTTTTTCGTTCACTCAACGTGTGGGACTTTCCTTACGGAACACCGGACGGCATAATGAGCTAAAGTGCAGAATTTTGTCTAGGTACTACAGAATCGAAAATCTCCACCGCTGAATGCGGGGGAAAGTTCAGAGTCTGACGAGCCCAATAATCCAACTGCACCTTGTGTTCGTCTCGTATTTTGAATCGAGATAGTGTTAGAATGAGGGATGAGGCTAGAATTACCATGTTCTTGTTCTTGACAAGGGGGTTCATCTGAAACAGCAGAACAGACGAGTTCACGCAGGTTCGACACAGGGATACGGGCGTGCCTCTACACAGAGCTTCGCCAGACTTGGGCTCCAGCCTCAAGCTCCGCAAACATTACAATTGTCGAGAGAAGGGCGTCTCTCGACAACCCGTTTGCGCAAAGGCCTCTAACGGTGACACAAAAAGCACAGAGAACAACTCAAGCGGCAGTCCACGCGAGGCTGACACGCAGGGTATGCATGCAGAAGGCGACGGCTGCAGGGGTTCAATCTAGACAGATCGATACATCCGACATCAAAAAGGAACTCAAGAAACTCCGTCACATGTCTTGCAATGAGCACCGCACGAACATAAAATTGACTTTGAGACTCGCAGCAAGCACACGAGAATAGCAGCGACGGAGACTCGAATAGGTGCCACCGACATAAGCACACTTCTCCGAGCATACAACTAAATTATAAATATGAGCAAAGAAAAATTTCATCTTTCCATCTTCTTTAGTTACCCCAAATATTCTATTCATACTAAATTAGACAAACAGCCAATGCCCTAATGATTTATCAGAGACATAAAATCAGAGTGGCCAGGTTCATTAAAACGTTTTTGCACGTTAGAACTGTTCAAACCTAAAAAAAAAAAAAAAAAGTGTGTAGAAACTTGCACGTTAAATGAGTTCCAGAACAAGACTACCTGCCCCTAGAGTTTATTTTTGTTATATGGGGTTCGAGGCAAACCCTTTCTCTCTTCCCATTGTTTCCAGACATGGGGCTCTGAGAGAAAAATTGGGCAACTCTAACCATACTTTCAATGTAGGTGTCACCCTACCCTTCTACCAATGTAAAAAAAAGAAGAGTATTACGAATCCCAAGTATGCCAATTTGCCATTTCCCATCTCTGGCTAGTCATGCCAGTCAAGAGCTAGCACGAGCTGCACCCAATTTAAATAGTCCATGCAAGGCACCCTCTGAGCCGGGAGGTTACCTTTGGCTGAAATGCCGCTAGGTGACCGGGCGCAACGAAGGGAGTCCCAGACGTCATGCTTGGGTTGAGGAGCGGCGACAGGCCAGTGTAGCCCGACAGCCCCAACTGCAGCCAGCAAAGGCAGAGTGATCGGGGCTTCAAGAGGTATCCAAAGAATGCAACAGCCCACAGTTGTCGTAAGTAGCCCACGCAACAGATATCAGTCACAAAGCCGGGGCGGTACAGCCAGATCGGCTGCTACCAAACTCTCGTTTGTTCGAGCGGAGCTTAGAGTCGGTCCGACAATCAGACTTTCTAGAGGTGAAAATCAATGTACGCGTCACTCGTGACGCCTCGTAAAAAGGGGGGGCCACTTCATACGTAATAGGCTCTGCATATTGTATACAAAGCGTGAAGCATCTAGTATATTGCATATTACATCACGAATTTAGTTGCTACCTTTGATTTCTAATTACTCCCACTCTCCATTTACAACTTTTATGAAGTCAATGGCACCTTGTAATCAAAGTCGGCTTATCGCTTCCTCACGAGCAGAATTAAAATATTAAAGGCTCCTGTTGGTCAAAACGCAGAGCTACAAAAACAAACTCACCAATGTGCTGGAAATTTACAGTAAACTGAGTCTAATGATTTAGGCCTCGAAGGAGCAAGTATTCGAAGGAGTTGAAGCCATTCGAAGCTAAATATAAAATTATGGTGAAATCGTAAATTGGATGTGCCAGGCGAAAAAGTTTTAAACATCTATATGTTGAGCTACAGACAGAAGGTGACGGACTTGTAAGTAACTCACCGCACTCCTCGAATAGAACGGAGAGTCCAACTTGGTGTGAAACTTGTCGTACTGTCGAACAAGAGAAACGAGGGTTTAAGTATGTGCCTCACTCTACGAGCTAAAAACCAACCCTCCACACTGCTAATACGGCCGACGAGCACTAAGCTGAATTCTGAGTAAAGAACCGAACCATCCCGGTCATTTGGCTTTCAACTTTCCTCCATGTTCATTCAGTTCCTCCCTTATAAACAATGCAAAGATAGCATCAATAAAAAAGATGAAACAGAAACTGGAAAAAAAAAAAATAAATAAAGTGGGAAGTCTACCTGTTTTTCATTTACTTAACCGACCTCTAAATATTTCTGGGCGTTGTGTCGCAACCTTAGGAGAGAAGACAATCGTCGACGGTTAGGGGCATACAGCTAAGCTTAGCTCCGTAAAGTACATTGTCTCCATCATCTATCAGCAATCAGAAAAGCATTTTCCTAAAGCCATTTGTACACAGGGCACTATATACCGTGGAACTGACCGGGAATCCATTAGTTTTAGACATAGGAGAATGCAGTTAAAATCTACGAAATGCTCAACAAATGCATAACCCTCCAGAGCACCGAAACTTTACAGGGTCGATATTTGGTGCTGCAATGTTTGATTCATTTCCGAAATTGCTTTTATTGTGATCTATTAAAGCGAAGCAGACAACAAACGTTCAGAAAGCCATTGCAGAGAAGACAGAGCAAGAAGGATGGCCCAACTCACGAGGTGTGGGCCCGGCTGTGGCACCAGGGAGCCCGCCAGGGCGGGTGGCAGGAAGGGGCTGTGTGGGTGCAGGTGCTGCTGGTGAGGTGCGTGGTGCTGGTGAAGCTCCGTCCGCATGTACGGCGGTGGAGGGATCGCTATCGACCTGTCCTGGGACGCCAGGAACCGCGTGTCCAGCTCACGCCGCAGCAGGTCTTGATCTGCAGGGGAGGCAACAAGGACACTGATCGTGTCGCCCACACTCCTTCGAGCTCGAGGTTTCTACCAACGGTACAGTGGCCACGTTAGGATGGGAATGCCAACACAATGCAGTAGCGCTTTTTAGAAATGAAGGTGGCACAGTCTTAAGTGCTACAAGCTAGAATCAAGGGAACTATGAGCCACAATGTACGAAACAATCGAGAAACATATCTGTGGAGCCGCCGTCTAGGTAGTACACCTCTCCTCCCTCGCTCACCTAAAAAAAAATTACCGGTACATTTCAGACTAGTACAGTGGTGCAGAAGCTTTACTGTATGAGACGTCTTGCTTTACCTGTTCGCTAAACTAAAAGCGCCAATTTAGTTGTCTTTTTTTTTCTTTCTTTCTTTTTTTTTTTTTTTTCAATCTTTAATTTATAATTAGAAGATGACACTAGTAGGGCCACTACTGCATTCTAAAAAAGAGCAGAGTACATTAATCCCATTATTAGCAGTTCTGTACAGAGAAAGGAAGTTTCACACTGGTCCACAGAACCAAGGACAACGTAAGACTTGGACTTCAAAGTAAATTACAAATAGGACTAAGACAAGGACAGAGGAAGAAGTGGACAGGACAGGTGCTAACTCACAACTGACGGTTTTATATACAACGATAAAGAAGAAGGTGAAGGAAGTGTCTGGTGTTGAAAAAAGAAATACCGTAAAATCCTGAAATAGCGCCCACACTCGATAGATCGCCCACTCCGCTTTTATGTTCGAATACGTGTTTCCCTCGAATACTGATAGGTCACCCACCTTCCAAAAATAGCAATGCCCGAAGGTTGAGAAAAGTGCCGGAGGGTAGGGGTGAAGGTTTGGAAAGCCTAGGATTCCCTTTCCAAAAAGAAGAGGCCACACACAATAAGGGAGATAAGATAACGGAAGGAACCCGGAAAGCGGTCAAGGTCACTTATTGAATGACATCAGGAAAGTGTTGAAGGTCACTTAGTCGTTGTCGTCAGATCGCCCGAGAGCCCCAGAAAATCTTTCGACCAGCAAACTGTGAAGACGTTTCTTGTGTATACTCGGGATGAGGTCCAGCTATACCATCCAGAAGAAAGTGGAAGTCGTGGAATGGCACCGCAAGAACGGAGCTAACGTGATCAAGACTGCTCGCCATTTCGAAGTTGACCGGAAGCGTGTACGGGAATGGAATACGAGCTACCAAGTACTTCTACAACAATGCCATGGAACGAACAAGTTGAAGAGAGCAATAGGTAGGGGACGATCCGTTTTTAGTGAAGAAATCGACGACGCACTGATTGACTTCCTGGAGACTGAGAGATCCGCCGGTCGAGCAGTCAGCAATCGCCTGCTTCTAGAGCATGCGCGGAAACTGGCAGAACAGATGGGCCTAGGAAACTTCCAAGCGTCATGCCAGTACATAGCTAACTGGAAGAAGCGATTTAATGTGTCTATGCGGGTGGGGACCAACGAAAGTCAGAAGCTGCCTGCCGCTACGTTGAAGCAATTATGGTGTTCCGAAAGGCTGTGTCAACTCTGCGCCTGGAGCACAACTACTCGGGCTACAACATAGCCAACATGGATCAGACTATGGTCCGGATGGATTGCCCTGCTGCGAGAACCAACAATGCTGTCGGCGAGTCGAGTATTCGCATCGCCAACACCGGCTGTGCTCGGCGAGGGATGACGGTGGCCTTGTGCGCGACGGCAGCGGGCATCAAGCTACCTGCTTTGATCGTACTGAAGGAGCCAACCGGCCGGATTCCCCCCCGAGTACTCTGTTCTCTAAGGATTCCAGGTATGTTGTAATTAATCACCATTCAGGGTATAAATGTCGAAACAAAGCCTTAGAAATACGTAAAAATAAGGCTGACAGCATTTTTTTTTTTTTTTTAAATAGAGCGATTGTTGCGTCATCCATTGACAAAACGCCACAGCCCGTTTTGTTTTGTATCGCCCCATTTCCGAAAGATGGCGTAGCCGTTCTGGCCGGCGCCATCTTGAGCGCACGAGCAGTTGGCGCGTGACTTGCTGGCTTTCCGAAGCTTACTCACTTGCGCGTGCTTCGGCGCTCGGCCATAAAATCGGGCAGTTCGCATATCTTCACTCATCGGCGTAGCATGTGTAATGTGCGTTTAGGGCCCGAACTGTTATTTCATGTTATACTTGTTGTACTTGCAGCAAATGTGCGAGTTACTTCTTCCAAGAACGGTTGGATGACCTCTCCCGTCCTACTGGAGTGGACTAGGAGAGTTTGGGGCCCGAACGCCGACGACGTGAGGAGACTGCTCATACTGGACCAAGCACCCATACACAAGACAGAGGCGGCCCGAGAAGCGCTCGACGCAAAAGACACCGACGTCGTCTTGATACCGGGCGGTTGCACGTCCATTTTGCAACCCGCGGACGTCTCATGGATGAAGCCCTCCAAGGACGCGCTGCGTGGAATTTAAGCATCGTTCTTCCGGAAAGGTTCGGTGACTCCAAAGGGCAACCTTCGCAAGCCGTCGCATCAAGAGGTTGTGGACTTGGTGGCTCAGGCGTGGGCCTCCGTCTCCGAGGGTACCGTGCGGAGTTCGTTCAAACGGTGCGGAATATCCACAAGGCTCTATGGTTCCGAGGACGGCGAGCTCAACGACCGTTTGGCTTCAATAACCAATGGACCCGAGGATCTCGAGAGCCTCATTGACGAGGCGTTATATTTAATCTTCGATAGCGAAAGCGATGTGTCGTTTGACGGTTTCAGCGATGAGAGCTAGGGAAATAAAAACCCACGCTGCTTTGGCGCACGCGTTACTCGATTTTTGTTTGTGATTTTGGTTATTAAATACTGAAAGATCGCCCACCCCACTTTTTTTGACAATTATCTACGGCGAAAAGGGGGGCGTTAATTCAGGATTTTACGGTAAGTCTATTTCTAGCCGGGGCGCTCTAAGAAGATTGTTAGACTGAAAAGACTAAAGCACAGTAGACCAAAACGAAAATATTAAAAATGAAACAAAGGTAATGATTTTGAACTATATACGATACTATTCTGAAGGCTTAGGAAATAACCTCTAGACTGTGAGAGACAAAATAAGAATAAAAAATGAATCAAAAATGAAAAGAAAATTAATAAGTGATTGTTCGTAGGCCGCCGATCGGTGCCTTGTACAGCCTATTTTCCTTTTTAGATCCAACAGGCACCACAGCCAAAGCTATACCGGCGCGAACGCGAAGACCCACCCGGTGCACCACCTCCATGCGCTCGCGTGCAGACGTAAATACGAAGATTGTCATGTATAGTGGTTCAAGTACTGAACCTCTTGGTCAGTCAATGCCAAAGATGGTGCGGAGACGCATTTTTCTCCATTGGCTTGTATGATCTGTGCTTCAAAAATTTCCCTGTTCCTCTTGTCTTTAAAACGTCTGATCACTTTTGTGTCCGAAAGCAAAGGTGTGCAGGAGCAATCTCGCACATGCATAGCTAAATGTCCAGAAGGTGTTGACTTCAAGGTCAGAGCATGTTCTCTCAGTCGTGTATTCATGCAGCGTCCAGTCTGTCCTATATACACTTTCCCACATGTGAAAGAGATTTCATACACCACTCCGCTGTTGCAGTTGACGTGGTTTACGTCGCATTCATAATGTTGTTGCTTGACATTGTTGATTTTTGGGCACATTTGTTTTAATTTATCCGGTGCCGATATTACGACTTGGACATCAAACGTGGATGCTATCTTCTTCATGTTGTGCGAAATCTTGTGGATGTAAGGCACAACAGCCGGACGGCGTCTCTTCTCTTTGATTTTTTTTTCTCTTCTTTTGTTCTTTGTCAATAACTTTTCGGCGATCTCAGTCAGAACTGGAAAGGGGTAACCCGAAGCTTTCAAACGAGTCACTTGTAATTCGAAGGTTGATTTTGCTCTGTGCTCATTTTTTCTTCTTATTTAGTCTCTCACGGTCTAGAGGTTAATTTCTAAGCCTTCAGAATAGTATTGTATATAGTTCAAAATCATTACCTTTGTTTAATTTTTAATATTTTCGTTTTGGTCTACTGTGCTTAAGTCTTTTTAGTCTAACAATCTTCTTAAAGCACCCCGGCTAGAATAGACTTATATCTTCTTTTTTCAACACCAGACACTTCCTTCACCTTTTTCTTTATCGTTGTATATAAAACCGTCAGTTGTGAGTCAGCGCCTGTCCTGTCCAGTTCTTCGTCTGTCCTTGTCTTAGCGCTATTTGTAATTTAGTATGTATAACCAACTAGCCCGCCAGAATATTTTGACTTGGACTTCAAACAGGGTAAGTTGACCTGTGCCATTACCGAGAATGGTACAGACTGAGAATCATCAAACACCCCCAAATTAGGCTGGGCAAATTCAATTGGAATCAGGAACAGGCAAAATAAGGGAAAGGGGGCCCCACAGCTTTCCCCATACTCACAGTCTTTAATGAGAAACAAAACAGCTAAGTTTGTCCCCTGCCCTGTTTTAGTTCTGCCCCGTCATCTAACCATGTTAGTTGTCTGCTTGTCCTTTTTGTTTCCTCTTCTCCAGCACAATATGGGTCATATTTTTCCCTCCCCATTGGAAACACCCAGTTGGCAAGCGGGGAGAATCCCCACATAACTTTCCCTCCACATAACTTGCCTCAAGGTCAGTAGCTAAGATTTCAAAGTATCAGAATTCTTTTTCTCTTTCCCAATAACCTTTTCGTTTGTCTTGTTGCAATTGGCTGTGCAATCACCTTGAGACGCTGTCACTTTGAGACGCTTTCTGTCAGCTTTCTTCTGTACCTTCTAATTTATCAAGGTCCTTCCCAGTCTCAGAGTTTAAACATCATGATTAATATGCACCAGCTCGTCTGCACTTTTTCGCAACGTTTCTCATCTGCACCGATCACCAAAAAGAAAATCCTTTCATTCCTTTTCTTACCGTCTCAAAAATTACTTTTTAATACCATCACAACCATCAAAATTCAGCAACATGAGCGGCAACCCCTAGCGGAGACAGTGCGAACCCATGCGCTCATTTGCCCAACCTCTTTATTTGAGAAAGCATAATTTTGTTGGAGCTAAAGAAAAGAGCTTTATTTGTAGGTTTTTTTTTGTAAGAGATCAATTAAGGATGATCAGCACTCTGCTGCTATAGTGGTCAAGTTCAGGCATAAGAAAATGTTGGTGCACAAGAAATTTATAAAACCATCGGTCACTGCAAAGTTCAAATGGCTTGCTCAAACTTGAGTGGCCACAAACAAACTCCGCCATCAAATAGACTCAAGATGGCAATGCTTCGCCCCCAAAAAAGATAATTCCAGCACGCTGGATACATGTCTGTAATCGGTGGCAGGTGAAGAGTTCCGCGGAAGGTCCTCCCACCTCTTTTTACTTCAGCAGAGGGAACGTTGGAGAGGGGGCAGCCTCCCTGCCAGCGTTCGCTCGGATAAGGTGGAAAGAGGTGGGATGAGCTTCCCCCGAACTCTTCCGCTCTCACCTACTGCAGTGACTCCAGCTCACTCCCCCCCCCCACAACTCCCATCCCTACTTGGGACACTCACTTGGCAAGAGGGGAGAGTCCCCCACGTAGCCCGCGGGCCCGCCAGGCAGCCCCAGGGCAGAGGAGGCTAGCGTCGGGGCCGGAGGGGGTGGGATGGGGGCCGCAAACATGCCCGGGTGGGGCGGGAAGTGGTGGCTGTTGCCCAGGGGGGTCGCCCCCGCGGGGGCCCCGGAGGGGAGTGCGGGGGGCGGCGTGGGCCGGTGGTGGGGCACCGGAGACGTTCCCACCCCGAGGGGGGGCCCGTTGCTGGCGCCCGGGTAGCTGCCTGCGCTCGGACTGGAGCAGAGAAAGGAGAGAATGTCAGTACAACCGAACCTCCGCAGTAAAGCCCCGTACAATAACGGCGGGGATGAGGCAAACGTTATATTGGCGTGGTTACGCTACGAATTGGCGATGTAGGTCGATGACGACAACCTTAAAGCGGGCGAATGAAGGAGACTGAAAATCTCGCTATGCACTAACGGGGCAACTGGGCTAAGCAATGACGGCACGAAAGGGCTGAAGGACGAGTCCAAGAAATGAACGAAGCGGGTGCTTTTTTTATTCTGCCACGCATCGACAGCTTGCACGAGTTTATACTCTTCTACAAGATGACTAGAGTAGCGTGAAAGATGTGGCAAAGTGGAGGACGTATAGGCAATGTGACAGGGCCAGGATTGAGAGGGTGAACAATGAAAGTAAAGTATGGAAGCATGTACGATGTAGTCTTGACTTTTGACACGAGATAAAACTGACTTCATTGTAGAGGCATTATATTGTGTATTTCATCGGGAGGCTCGGCATGTAGGGCACGCAGTACGAGACTTGGCACCTGTGAGCTTTTGTGTACATTGTAAAATTATAAACAAAAAAATCAGTGACAACGCTGGGCTAGAAGAATAAAGCACTCTTGCTATTATGATAAAAAAATATTTGTGCACATAGCATGCACGGGATATTTTTGCTGTTGTAGTTTTAAATTAGTTTGTTAAATGTTTACACAGTAGGAAGCAAATCCACTTAATCCTACTGCAGCTTCTTTTGCGTGCCAGTACGAGGCTCATCCAAAGTGAAACCAGTAGGAAAGAAAATTCGAGCCACACACAACATTTCAAGTCTGCAGGGGATAGAATGGGTGCCAAATGTGGCCTTTGTGCACAAAAAATGTACTGTCCTAAAAAACAAAAATATAAAGGAACGTTTTAATGTTCCCATAAAATCTTTGTCGCTGCAGGGGTTATTTCCCAACTGCCCCATACTGCCGCATACATTCAAAATCCTCGTGAGCAGAGAGTAGCAAGATGACGTGGCCTTTCATTTTACCTTTTGGAAAGCACTAAAATTTGGACATTAAAATGAGTTATTAGGTTGCATGAAGCTAGCCATTTCGTCTTCTTATGGAATTTGTTTTGCTGCATGATTTGTGGGTGATGCAATTTGGGGGGGATCGGTGGCCGAGTGGGCTAGCGCACACCAGCTCGGAGTGCATGGAGCGAAAGCTCACGCTGCAGAACCGAGGGATCTGGGTTCAACCCCCGCCCCTGCCCGTTTCGATCTGAATGAGCATCGTACCGGCGTGCGGTCGTGTACCACTACTGCGTGGCGCACGTTAAAGACCCCAGGCTAGCGGTTGTACTGCACTGCCTAAATTTCTCATCTACAGCGAGTGACTCGTCGCAACTTTGAAATGGCTGACCAACTACACGCTGTCTAAATATCCACGCAACCCCAATTATTTTATGCAACGGTGGGAAGACAGCGCTTGCTTTTTCCCCTAGATTAAGTGTTACACAACATTTTGTGTGCGAGATTGTCTGAATTAAACCTATTACAGTCGCATACTTTGTGCCATAAAGGTGATAAAGTAATGTGGGCCAAGCAGTACTCTGCAAGTGTGGAAAATAAATGTGCCGCTTGCAACGTAGGCTGTATTGTGCATGCCCAAAACAAAAACATTAAAATGAGGTGCAATTGGCGGCTCATCAGCACAACATGTTGCTCTAACTATGAAAGCGAGCAACCAGCATCTGCGCACGAAGCCCAGCATGCCTTGCAAACCTGGGCTTCGTTTTTACAACAGCTGTTGATTCCACATTAAACCAGATGTGCCAGTAAATACAGCATATGTAGAAGGAAACATGCGGGGCCCTAGAAAGGTTGCAGATTGCTGAAAATAGATAATTTATATAAACTCCCTGAAACACAAACAAAGTTCTGTTTTGCAAACTACATAACAATGACAGCAATTAAAGCATTTAAACCAAAATTTCTAAAATTTACGTGACACAATGCTATGCAGAGAACCAACTGTGCTTTTTAACAGTATTTCATTCTACTGAAGTTCAAGTATATTCCGGAACAGTCACAGCACGCCCCATTAACGTCTTACAAAAATGGCAAATGACATAATTGCCTAGGGACCTAGAGGGGGAAGAGATTGACGCAAATGTCAAGAATTCCAAAGGAAATTCCAAAGTTTTGTGTCGGTTGCATCATACCCACGAGGGAACAAAATTAGGTTATACTTTTCCGAGCAGAAGCTGAAATTACTATTCGTGCCTGAAAAGACAACAAGCAGCTGCTACGCTGCCAATATTGTGACGATTTGGCTCAACAGAGCATGTTAGCCTGTCTGCAAAAGTCTCGGTGCCCACCATCCAGTGGAATTGTAAAAATGCGAGAAGTACCAGGAGTTTAAAAGAAAGAGAACCGCGATTCTCGCATCGTGAGAATAGACCGTGCGTCGCCAGATACCAAAGTTTTAGAACTTACTCGTATTGATTCAAAAAGTTTTTCAGAAATTTTCAATAGGGAAATGGGGCCCAGTAGCAGGCCCCATTCATCTCAATGTATTTGCGGGTTCGGTTAACAGCCATTTTCTCACTGAAAAGTTCTGCGCTCAAACCTTGACATTTGGTTCCAACTGCCACATTTGAGCAGTGTAAGAGCATCGTTTGATGAACTCACCTGACCCAAGGCTTGGAGAAGACCAGGCTGGTGAGACTGTTGGAAGACGCCGTGGAGTAGCCCCCGACTGAGGCTCCGCACGGCGCGGCAGAGTTCCCCGGAGGCGGCACGGCCGCCCCAAGGGGCGCCAGCGCCGAGGGCGTCGTGTTGCGCGAGCGGCCGCTCTCCTTGCCCTGCAGCGACTGGCTCAGCTGGCTGAGGCTGGACAGGCTGCTGTTGGAGTGCGAGCTGCCCAGGCTGGGGGTCGGGGTCGGGGCCTGGCCGGGCGGGGTGGCCACGCCGGGCCGGCTCACGGCCGCGGTCTGGGGCGCGCCGGCCGAGAGGAAGCCCTGGGGCGAGGCCCGGCTCAGCGAGAAGGGGAACAGGGGCGCCGGGGCGGGGGCAGCCGCGGCGGGGGTCACAGGCTTGGAAACGCTGCCGCTGCTCTCCCGGCTGCTGGCCCCGCCGCCCGAGTGCACCAGGTGGCTCGCCAACAGCGGGGACGGCGACGAGCTGTTGGCGAACAGGCTGCCGTTGCGCAGCGCTGGCGTGCCGGCCGCCGAGGACGGAGTCCGGCCGCCGAAGAGCTGCAGGTCGCGGGGCGCTAGCCCGCCTGGGGCCGACCCGTTGGACGAGTGGCTGCCATTGAGGGCTTCCGAGGACAGGAACGAGGGCTGCGAGAGCAGCTCCGAGACCAGGCTCGGGGCCGAGGGGGCCGGGGGCGAGGGCGGCTCCCCCGGGGGCCGGCACTGCGGGGGCGCCACGGGACTCGGGCCCAGCCGGGGCCGCTGAGGGGCCGCGCACGGCGGGGGCGACGGGGGTCGCGTCGTTGCCGGGGGACTCACGGGCGAAGGGGCCGCAGGGGGTGGGGGCCACGAGGGCCCATTTTGCAGTGGGGCGGGGGACGGCACCAGCCGGGCCAGGGGGGGACTAGAGCGGGCACTCGGCACGCATGGGCTGCTGGCGTTGGTCGTGGTGGTGGTGGTCGGGGTGCACGTTGCGGTGGTGACGGCCGTCGGGTGGGTTGGGGCCGAGGCCGGGGTGTTGGCCTGTAGACTCGGGGCCTGCGGTTGCCCTGCGAAGAAAACAACGGAGGGGTCACTCGCTGCGCTAGTTTCGGGCTCTGCAACACTTATTTCGACTCGGGATAATTAGCCCGGGGGAGATCATCGTGCCGGTACTTCAGCAACAGAGGATGACTCTTATTTTAAGTAGCTTGCTTGCTTTCATAGTCAGAATAAATTTTTTTTAAATAAGAGCTTTATGGGTGACATTTTGCCGAGATTTCGTCCTTATCGTCGCTGTGTACTTAAAGAATGGAAAAACCCTTCTTCTCAACCCCCTTGCTGCGAGAAGAAGTCGGGGCTTCCCGTCCACCATGCTGCGTGAAGCGAGCGAAAAGGGCAGTTCTGGCATCCCTCCAAGAATTATGCAACAGAGGAAGAACCAATGCGTCGTCTGCTTGAAAGACTTGTTTTCAAGCATTACTCGCGTTATGCGAAATCCCATTTTCGCAGTACCCAGTTGCTACGCGTAATGTGGTATGGTTTTAGAAACTTCCACCACGCTTGTCTACTTACGTCACGGATCACTGGTGCAGTCGTCGGTGGCATGCATCCACGACAGCTATGGGAATTAACCACGTCGCACCTCCATCCTCAGGTATGTGACAGCACCATTCCACCCGCATTGCGCAATTATGCTACAGCTATCACTTTCATTTCTTGGCACGGTATAAACGAAAAATACAACTTTCTTTTTCTTTTTTACTTTAGAAGTTTTTATTATTAATATTCCAAATTTGGCTTCCTCAGCTCACATTACGGACGATTTTCATGAAGTACGGAAGTGTTCCTATTACTGAGACATAACTGTTATAAAAACAAAGCTTTTACTTTGAATTTGTACACATCAATGGCAATTTTTGGTAGAGTTTTATTATGCAAAGTAAGCATGGTGGCGATAATGTATTTTTGAAAGATCCACCTGAACTCGTTAAGATTATTCCCATCTTCCATTCACCCACTACTAAGGCTCAGTCCATTTTTCCCTGACTTTGCCCTCAAACTCTTGGAGGCCTTTATTGAGGTGCCCTCAAACTGTTGGAGGCCTTTATTGAGGTAGTAACTAAATGAATGATCACTAGTAAAAACTTACACCTATGATGCTGCCCAACTACACCTAATCAAGGTTATTTAGAAATCATCTTACTGTACCCCAGTATCCTTCCACAAACCTCGAATTTGAAAATAAAATTATGAAAAAAATGCGCGCAACTCTTCAGGAAATCCAAATGTGTACATATGCCAGCTGTTGTTTTACTCTGAAATCTTTACTGCAAGGTGGATTAGCCACATCAGCATACACCAAATTCAATTATTTTCTCCCAATGCACGATGAAGGCACATACACTATTTGGCTCTGAAGGAGCGCACTTCCCCTCAGCACACAGCTGCGCTGCTGCGAAGCGAGATACAAAACATCGTGACGTCTAATCCGCGGGGTCGCTTCGCCGCAGTGCACCAGTGCGCGGAGGGAAGCGCACTCAACGGAGCTAACCAGCCCGCCCGGACACACCACGAACAATGACAAATATAGCGGAACTTGCGAGTACTGTCAATTATGTATGGATAAGCATATCATACTGAATATGTTACTCCAAGCAATAATTGAAAGTGTTCAATTCCTCCAACCCTAAAGTAACAATGAGTAGTGAAATTGAAAGTTACTTTTGGAGCAATGTTGGTGCAACTTTCTCATAGCTTGACTAAACATAGCAGAATTATAGCAGGGTAATTACTTACACCCACTTTGGGGCAAATGACGCGGTAATCGCATCATTGCATAAGGGTGCAACTTTGAGGCCGATGAAACGTTAAAACAAGGTCTCAAGTAAAATTTAAAAAAAACTGGTATTTTTTGCTTCCAATGTGCGAAGAAGCGAAACCGATAGCGGCAGCACGGTCGCGCCATGCGGGTGGAATGGCGCCGCCACGTACCTGAGGGCCGAGATGCGACGTACTTAGTTCTATAAAAGCCGTCATGGTTGGCATCCTGAATGCCACCGACGACTGCCACCGGTGATCCGTGAAGTGAGCAAGCGCGGTGGAAGTTTCTGAAACCGTCCCACATTACGCGTAGCAACTGGATGCTGCCAAAGTGGGATTACGCATAAGGCGAGTAATGTTTGAAAACAAGTCTTTGAAGCAGACGACACGATGGTTCTCCCTTCATCGCACAACTCTTGGCAGGACGCCAGGGCTGCCCTTTTCGCTCGCTTCGCGCGGCACGGAGGACGGGAAGTCCCGACTTCTCTCTCCTCGCGGCAAGGGGGGTGAGAAGAGGTTTTTTTTCCATTCTTCGGGCGCCCGGCGACAAGTGCACAGTGTCGCCGATAAAGCTCTCGCGTTAAAACAAAAGCAAACCACCAGACGGCCCCAGATATTCAAACTACGGCTTCAATTATGTGGGGCCGTCCGAGGCCATCTTCACAGTAGCCTCAATTTCAGAACACTGCGATCCAGCGCACACGGACTGACTCATTCTCTGCAATCAGGGCAGAACAACGGCGACGGGGCCCGCACTGCATACCCGACCATCAACTGCTCGGTGCGCGAGGAAGCGCGCGTGATTTGCGCCATTGTTTGCCAAGCCGGTCATCCCGGGCAGGCTATCGGGCAGGCAGGGCAGCAGGCCGCGCGAGGGCCCTCGGAGGGGGACGGGGCAGGGGCCAACCGAGCGGAGCGACCGGGAGGGGGCCACAACCGCCGACCCCGGCAACACCCCGGACGACAGGGCCCCGCGAGCGGAAGCACGGCGAGCCCTGCATGCGCGGCCGATCACGGGCGCCGCCGCACGATGCCGCTCGGCCGCCTAATCACCGGTCGACCGCGCGCGCACGCACGCCCACCACCCCTAGGAAGAGAGGAGGGAGGAACAAGCTACGGGGAGGCCCCCCGACCATGTCTACTCTCTTTCTCGGCCGCCGCTAATAACCGTTTTCAGGCGCGCTTCAAAATCACCGGGCCGGCCAGCGGGGGCGAAGCCAACGAACCGTTCATCCATCAAGCGTGACTCGCGCACGCTTCTCTTCCCCCCGTCCGCGGGCTTTCACACCCCGATCGCTGCCCCCTCGGAAAACAGGGCCCAAGACAACGGCGGCGGCTTTCCAACCGGCGCCGCTTGACCACGTGCTGCCGCCGAGACGAGCAAGCGCCAGTCCACCCACGACAGTGGAGAAGGAACATGCACAGACATACTGAATGAATGCCTGCAGGAGATCACTCTCGGTGCATTTGCCGTCGATCGGTACGGTTGCAACAAAGCCGTAGTGCTTCCCAGGTCAGCTACCTGGCACAGCACGAGTACTGGGTTCGGCTGGGAGTCCGTGTTCAATCGGTAAGGACAACAGCTACATTGGCTCACACTTGTGGGAGAGCCGCCCTCCCGTGTCTCGCTAAGCGGACGGCTTGAGCTCTTCGTCGCGGTCACTGCTACCAGCACACGGGGGATTCGAGGCGGCGTCCGACTAATCCCGCCAACGGCACGGCTCCAGCCCGGGCTGAGCGGCCGAGTCCGCGAAGGGATTTCCAGGCAAGTGAGCCGCGCCGCCGCGGCACTCAAGAAGCCGACCGGCAGCGAACCTCCCCGTGACCGAGGAAAGACGGCTTCTCTGCGGCGCACGATCGTGGAGGGGGGGCGGTAAGTGTACCACGACGGGCCGGCGCCATTTTGATCGCCGTCGTAACGCAGCGCTTCTCTTGCCGGTGTTTGCGGCGCTGGGAGCGGCGGTAACGACCCATTTACGAGCCAAGTGCCGGCGTAACTTGGCTCCGGCCCGAGCGTACGGGCCTAATACGAGCGGGACACGCCACACGGAACGATCGTCGGGGACCCTAATACCCGGGCCGCCTTTTACGAGCTCGTAAAACGGGAAACGACGAAACAAACATCGGGGAAACGGTCTGCGCGGGATGACCGGGCCAGACAACGGACGCGCCGACGTCGGACCGCCGACGGGTAACGACCGCCTTCGCAGCGAGGTCGGACGACAGCGGCGCTGTCGTCGTCCCCCGGGTCGGCAGGGGCTCCGCTGGTCCTCAAGAGAGCTCCTCCGTCCACACCTAAGATGATAGAGCTGCGAAAACTAACCGGTCGCCGACTAATCAACCGCATCCTCCTACGAACCGGCCCCGTTCTCTCTGCGGTGTTCGTCGTCCTTTCATCGGCGCGTCGTTTTTTTAGCGCTTTTATCGTACACAATATGACCGGTTCATCGAGCACGTAGTTCCACCTCACTGCCAGCTTAGGGAGTGCACGAGAGCGCGCTCGCTTACGGGTCAGCTCAGCAGGTCGGTATAGCGCACTTGCTACCAGAGTGTCGAACCGATATTTTTATTGGTTCGGTTCGGGTTCGGGTTCACGGCTTTCGGTTCAGTTCCGGTTCAGTTCCGGGGCGCAAAAAATAACGGTTCAAACCGGTTCGAACCGGTTTGAACCGCTAAATTGAGAATATATTTTCCGCGTTGTTCTGTCAATAGGCGCTATTTAGGCCGTGAAACTAACTGCTGTAAACGATCTGATTTTTGCGAGGACCTATTTTTGAGAATTTCGCGAATCGCCTACAATTCGCGAAAAATTGGTCCCGCGAACAATTTCGGTAAAATGTGAACAGATTGAAATTTATATTGAGATTCCACCGCGTCGAGAAAATTACAACCCGCGAATTATTCCAAAACTTCACCTTTGACCTAAATCGCGAAATATTGAGCCCACGAAAAATAAGTCGTTTACAGTATATAGTTTTCTTTTTTTTATCGTTTGTTCAATTCAGTTTTATTTTCAGGTACCAAAATGATAAAATTCTGTTATTTATTCCTACACAACAAGGAAAATCTACGTTAACATACAAAACGTCGTGTTTATACGACTCAGCATCCCTTCGTTTACCAGAGTCACATATATTGTACCTGAATCGAAATGTTTTCGCGAAGTGAAGTAGGTTGCCTAAAATACCCGTGATTGGTACAACTTTGTATCGCAGTATTAGATGTTGAATCGTGGTTTTGCCCCTGA